AAACATTTCTATTTTATCCCTACACAATTGTAAATAACTAGAATTGTGTAACTTTAAATTATTTCAGAATTATAACTATTGTGGATTCAATAAAATAATTATCACTTTTGTATCCTTGTATCCTTGACATTATTGTCGCCTGGATATCACAGTTTATGATGATTTTTCTAGTTTTAGTTCCAGATTCCTGTAATATTTTTGCCGCTGTACCTACGGCAAAGGTCTAGGCCTGGAAGACGGTTGAGTTGGTTCCTAGGTGGTAGGACTCCTCATGTGGAGGGGTGTCGTTATCCACAATGTACACTGCTGCTCCAACTTGTTCATTAATTTTGGAGCCGTCTGTGTAGCATTGTATGGTGTTGGTATCGTTCTCAATTTCCTCATACTCTGAGAGTCGAGGAATTTCTGTAGTAAAACAAATGTCAGCATTCAGTGATGTAGTCTGTTGATCTTGCCCTTCACAATTGAGATTGATAGCCTTTAGTAATTGTTCGTTTAGTTTTGTGTGGGTGGCATGGTTAGGTTGCCCTTCTTGTTAAAACCATTGGCTTATGTATCCAGTGGTTGTTGGATTTGAGTCTAAGAGCTCCTTTTGCTGCTTCCTCTTCTATCACCAGGTCAATGGGGATAATTCCGGTGATGATGTCTAGAGCTGCTCCATGAGTTGATGGTAACCCTCCTGTTATGAGAATATTCCCTAGCTGCTGTACGCAGCTTAGGATTGTTAAGTTATGTTTTTTGGACACATCAGTGAGCCAGACTAGATTGTTGCAGTGATGTCAAGGAAGGTCTGATATATATCCATTTCATGGTCTTGGGGGTGAACCCCCATGTTGGTCCAATGGCTCTCCTGCAATCCATGAGTATGCCTTTGGCTTTTTTACACTGGTTTTTGATGTGGTCATTCCACGTGTGTTTGCTATCGAGTGTTACTCCTAGAAACTTAGTGGAATTTCGCATACTTATTTCAGTTCCGTTCATTGTTAGAGGTTCTAAGAATACCCATTTCCTCGTCCAAGTGAACATTACAGTATGTGTTTTTAGTGTACTTAGTTTCAGCACGTTATCAGTGCACCAGTTCATGATGGCTTCAAGACTTTGCTGTGTCATCTCTCTGAGATGATCAGCATCAAAGCCTTGGTTGCCACATGTTGCAGGTCCCTCCAACGTAGCTTATAATGCAATTTCGTCCGCAAACCCTTGAGGTCACATGAGATCATATCTCTATTCTCTGGTGTACGACATGAGACTGTCAACTACCAGGTTCCATAAGAATGGAGACAGGATCCCACCTTGCATCCGTTTAATTCCACGTTTTTAGTTCTATTGCAGAGTAGAAACATAATCCATTTGTTGAATGAGGACAACTCACATTTCCGGTTCAGGGCCTTCTCTATAGACTTGAAAGCTACATTGTCAAAGGCCCCTTCGACATATAAGAAAGTTCCTGTTGATCTTGTCTGTTGATCTTGCCCTTCACAATTGAGATTGATAGCCTTTAGTAATTGTTCGTTTAGTTTTGTGTGGGTGGCATGGTTAGGTTGCCCTTCTTGTTAAAACCATTGGCTTATGTATCCAGTGGTTGTTGGATTTGAGTCTAAGAGCTCCTTTTGCTGCTTCCTCTTCTATCACCAGGTCAATGGGGATAATTCCGGTGATGATGTCTAGAGCTGCTCCATGAGTTGATGGTAACCCTCCTGTTATGAGAATATTCCCTAGCTGCTGTACGCAGCTTAGGATTGTTAAGTTATGTTTTTTGGACACATCAGTGAGCCAGATTGTTGCAGTGATGTCAAGGAAGGTCTGATATATATCCATTTCATGGTCTTGGGGGTGAACCCCCATGTTGGTCCAATGGCTCTCCTGCAATCCATGAGTATGCCTTTGGCTTTTTTACACTGGTTTTTGATGTGGTCATTCCACGTGTGTTTGCTATCGAGTGTTACTCCTAGAAACTTAGTGGAATTTCGCATACTTATTTCAGTTCCGTTCATTGTTAGAGGTTCTAAGAATACCCATTTCCTCGTCCAAGTGAACATTACAGTATGTGTTTTTAGTGTACTTAGTTTCAGCACGTTATCAGTGCACCAGTTCATGATGGCTTCAAGACTTTGCTGTGTCATCTCTCTGAGATGATCAGCATCAAAGCCTTGGTTGCCACATGTTGCAGGTCCCTCCAACGTAGCTTATAATGCAATATCGTCCGCAAACCCTTGAGGTCACATGAGATCATATCTCTATTCTCTGGTGTACGACATGAGACTGTCAACTACCAGGTTCCATAAGAATGGAGACAGGATCCCACCTTGCATCCGTTTAATTCCACGTTTTTAGTTCTATTGCAGAGTAGAAACATAATCCATTTGTTGAATGAGGACAACTCACATTTCCGGTTCAGGGCCTTCTCTATAGACTTGAAAGCTACATTGTCAAAGGCCCCTTCGACATATAAGAAAGTTCCTGTTGATCTTGTCTGTTGATCTTGCCCTTCACAATTGAGATTGATAGCCTTTAGTAATTGTTCGTTTAGTTTTGTGTGGGTGGCATGGTTAGGTTGCCCTTCTTGTTAAAACCATTGGCTTATGTATCCAGTGGTTGTTGGATTTGAGTCTAAGAGCTCCTTTTGCTGCTTCCTCTTCTATCACCAGGTCAATGGGGATAATTCCGGTGATGATGTCTAGAGCTGCTCCATGAGTTGATGGTAACCCTCCTGTTATGAGAATATTCCCTAGCTGCTGTACGCAGCTTAGGATTGTTAAGTTATGTTTTTTGGACACATCAGTGAGCCAGATTGTTGCAGTGATGTCAAGGAAGGTCTGATATATATCCATTTCATGGTCTTGGGGGTGAACCCCCATGTTGGTCCAATGGCTCTCCTGCAATCCATGAGTATGCCTTTGGCTTTTTTACACTGGTTTTTGATGTGGTCATTCCACGTGTGTTTGCTATCGAGTGTTACTCCTAGAAACTTAGTGGAATTTCGCATACTTATTTCAGTTCCGTTCATTGTTAGAGGTTCTAAGAATACCCATTTCCTCGTCCAAGTGAACATTACAGTATGTGTTTTTAGTGTACTTAGTTTCAGCACGTTATCAGTGCACCAGTTCATGATGGCTTCAAGACTTTGCTGTGTCATCTCTCTGAGATGATCAGCATCAAAGCCTTGGTTGCCACATGTTGCAGGTCCCTCCAACGTAGCTTATAATGCAATATCGTCCGCAAACCCTTGAGGTCACATGAGATCATATCTCTATTCTCTGGTGTACGACATGAGACTGTCAACTACCAGGTTCCATAAGAATGGAGACAGGATCCCACCTTGCATCCGTTTAGTTCCACGTTTTTGGTTCTATTGCAGAGTAGAAACATAATCCATTTGTTGAATGAGGACAACTCACATTTCCGGTTCAGGGCCTTCTCTATAGACTTGAAAGCTACATTGTCAAAGGCCCCTTCGACATATAAGAAAGTTCCTAGAGCCATACCGGAGCTTATGATTGTCCATTCTATTTTGTGTACTATTTTGTGTAAAGCTGTCTCAGTTGAGGCACCTTTTACAAAACCGTATTGTTTTTTTAAAGCTTAGAGTATATCTTAAGGTCTTCCTCCATATGCCATAACTGATAACACTATTCGTTCCATCCACTTGAGTGGTATTGGAGCCAGAGTGATGGTTCAGTAGGATTTAGGGTTATATTAGTCAGTTTTCCCTGGTTTTGGTAGGAAAATGCCTGTCGAGTTGTGCCAGCTATCAGGAACATATCCACTTTGGAAACTTGCCTTTGTTAGTTTTGTGAAGACATCGCCTATGAGTGGTAGTCCCTTCTGTAGCATTATAGGGCGCAGACCGTCAGGTCCACTGGCTTTTAAGCCGTCAAATTCTAGTACTGCCTTCTCAACTCTACCTCTGCTCTGGAGAAGATCCTCTGTGACATTGGTAGATGGTCATTCAAGGAAAATTCAGTCAAAACAGTGAAATTTAGGTCACGGAAAACTAAAATTTGAATATGGACATATTCAAAATTTTGATTGCATCAACATTTTCTCCGGATATAGATATACTGGTTCGGGTACCTTGATGGCGACTGGTGTCACTCTTACCGACCTCACTGATTGGTCAACAACAACAAGATACAAGGGCAGGTCTCTCCCAAACGTTGGGATGGCCTGAGCTGCTTATCTTCTTTTCAGTAACCCTAAGCCACTCTGTGCCGAGGCACTATACTAGCTGTAGGGGGGGTTAGTTCTACGAGCCAGAGAGTGTGTATCACCAGCCGTAGCTGCACCAAATCACAGCTTGGTAACTGGCCGACTTGCATCCGACCAGATTTGAACCCGGGTTCGCTTGGGAGGCGATCGTGTTACCACTACACCACCCGGCCGTAATTAAATTTAAATTTAAAATGAATTTAAATTTCTATTAAACGGCAAAAGAGCTTGAACTATTCAAAAATCTTCCAAAATGTTTCCTACATTGGATCACAAGCATTACCAACTGGTTCTAGCAAATCCATTCAGAAGGTAGCATTTACACACTCTAACCTTCCATAGTGACACACAATGATAATTTCAGAAAATTAACATGATAATAGACTCAGTGATTTAATATGCCACAAATGTTTCTCTACAGGAATGTGTTGTTCATAGTCCCAGGATAGAATTAGGATAGGACCCAACCCATTAGGGTTTGGGAACATTCTGATGAAAGCCTGGCTGTAGCAGTGTAGCCACTTCATTAACTCCTTCAAGTCAGGAACCCTAATCTTTTACATTTTACTGAGTTCCATTTGGATTTACCTTTGTCATCTAGGAATATACCAGATCATTGCTAGTGGCAGGAACCATTTGGGAATAAGGGAAGGTGCTGCTTCTAAAATGGACAATCGATAGCAAGACATAAACCCTGGGAAATTTTTTAATAAATATACAAGGATTAATACACTGTATCTCTAGAACCATTGTGTACATTAAATGTTCTATTCTGAATAGTATGTTTACTTCAGTAATTTAAAGTAAATATTTGCAGGAGTAGCATGGTATGAATCGCCTTAGAAGCCTATCGTCTTGGTTTACTGTAAGTACAAAAAACGAGCTGTTCGTTATTATTGTAGTAACATTTTAATTGCTGTGGTGCCAGTAGTAACTACTTGTGATATTAGCATCACAAATTTTGTTTTAAAATCTTTGATTAGAAATAAGCTAGTTGCACGTTTTGATTTTGATTTGATACTCACATGACTGCAGCACTCTGCACTCATGACCCAGTTTCTTACAAATCAAAAAATAGATTAGCTTTATTTTTACCTCATTTTTATCCGGCATGTTTTGCTGCTGACAGACAACCTTCCACCTATCGTCCGTACTCTCAATAAGTAACTTACTTTGATCTACTCATTGAGTGTATAAACTCCACAAAGCACTCTATTTAGGTGGAACTAGGAAATTGCTCAATTAAAGCCTTATCAGCACAACACGCACAAGATCACATATCATCAACGTACTTGATCTCAACGCATCATAATAACAACCATGCGCACACACACCCACTTCCCACTACACAGTACCACACAGAGCCCGGCGATTCAAATAACGCCTAGCTGATTTTGATAGAAAAACATCGTGATCCAGCGTGATCAATTATTTTAATTTTAATTGAAGTTAAACGGCTGCACCCCTGCCTTTTTAACTAAAGATAAGAGACTTCTATATTAGGACATTTGTAGTCTGATAAAATTTAAAGTTTTGGTGTGTGAATTAAAGCTTGGTGTGAGAATTAGTGTGGAAATAAAAGAAATTTATTTTATTACATCATATATCTTAATTAAGTGACAGTAAGTATTATTATTTTAACTACAGATTGTATTATTTCAGTTAGTATTGACATGAATGTTACGATTTCAGTTTATTTATATATTATATTGTCAATAAACCGGTTTCAAAGCCCTTAAGGGTGGCCCTCGGGTCTTTAAACCAAACAAAATCTTCAAAACCCATCAACTTGTTAAAAAGTTCGTTTGCTGTGAACACTTGAAAAGTGTGGTTCACTCACTCACCTGAATCCAGATCTATTGGATATTCTCACAAAGATGACAGGTCGGCATCATTTTGATCACCATCCACATTTTGATTCCTTATCATTTGTTAACGTTTTATTTATGTTTTTATTGATGTCTTGTAACTTCATCTACACGTGAAAAGGGCATGCTTTTCTTTCTGTTTTAATCAAGTTTATCTCACAGAATAAATTATTTCTTAGACCAATGGCCTCAAATGGGAAACTTGGCAAAGTATGAACATGTCTGCAATTAGCTATACTATCCGAAGAATAGATGTAGTACGAGTGTATTGAAAATTCGTAGGAAATAACCTGTTATTCACAGCGGCATGGTGCTATTACCAACCACAAATTGCAACATCAAATTATCTAATTGACAAATATGGAAATATCAAAAGCGAAAGTTAAAATTCTGAGTAGTTGGCAGTTGCTTAGGTATGTGAGTACTCACTAGGTAGTAGGTATGTGCTTAGGTATGTGAGTACTCACTAGGTATGTGCTTAGGTATGTGAGTACTCACTAGAGCTGGTGATGTATTCTTTTAAACGTTTTGGGAGTTATTGTATTATATCAGTCTATAAGCATCCTTTACTTTTTATATAATTTTGTGGGTTGCTTAGAGGCAATGTAACGTGATAGGTGCGGTTTGGGCTTTTTGCTTACTTTCATAGGCGAACTTTATTGGTGATGATTTCGTGATTGATCAGGTTATCACGCAGACATTTAATATACCCTCATTATATCTAGATCTATTTATTCCTTAAAATGATTTTCCCGTTGTAATGTAACCCAGCATTCCATCCTAATAGTTCAACTATTATTAAACACAATCCCATTAATTTTCTTTGATATTTTGCTTTGAAATTGCTCAACCATACTATGCAGCTGCATATTGCATATTGTTTCAGCAAATTGCACACAAAACGAGTAATTCAATGTTGCAATAGTCACATACCAACTTAGTTTTAAACGAACAGCTCAATGATTGTAACAATCTTAATATTCATTATGCATCATATTTTTTGTAATGTTTACACTTGTTTTGTCGCGTGATGGCAATTACCCGAGCAGTTTAAAGGCATTATGTTGGTGGAGCTGTCACTTAATAACTTGGACAATCCTGTTAAAATCAATGTATTTGCGAAATTCCTGAGAATCTTTGACACACATGAATTTGTCGGATTTATCCGGGTTTGTTTTCAGACAAATGTTGATTTGCTTATATCAATTCTCTGAGATGTCCATTAGCCCAAGTTTCGAAATGCAGTCTTACAACCAACATGCTGGATCTTGTTACGCTGTTGACTGTGTTAAAATGATAACCCCGATTGAGTTCCAATAAAATGTTATTTAATCGTTCGTATTTTATGAATTGTGGCAGGCATTTTTACCTCAACGCTACCGGCTGCATCCTTCTTTCTTATTTGTTAACAGAAAGCTTGCTATGATATTGTGATCGCTATCAAACAACGTTATAAAATTTCAAGACATATGAATCGTGTTATGCCCACATGTGTAATTTAGTTTTCGAGTGACAGGCTACCGCTACAGCTTATCGCTTTTAAAACGCACCATTTTTACTTACTTCGCTTATCATAGATATCTGGAATGTCGATATAACTTTTCCCGCCCTGAGCTACTATCTATACATATCTCTGTTGAAAGCTGATACGTTGGTGAACTTAAACACTATAAGGTGTATGACTTGGCCAGGTATTATCCAGGGCTACATATTCCAGCAATTATCGTATCACATTACAGGCCACACACAGGGTTACAGTGCTGCGCGCAGTACGCGCCCAGATTTGAACCATGCTTTGGGCCATCACGGTAGACTTAACTCTTGGTACTAGCAAATTTTCAGGATTTGTTTTACAGAAAGTGCATTAATTAGCAGCCACTACAATAATTTGCGCGCGTGCGCCGCGCATAATGTTTTACTTTTTTGGCTTCTTTCCAAAATTAGTAATTAAATAGGTGAAATTACTAGTCTTAAATTTAATTATCCTTTTGGAAAACTTCCATACATAACAATTCATGAATAACATTACAATTCCATACAGTAGCTATGATATGAAATGCAGTCATGGTAAGTCTTCTACCGATGCATGTGCTAATCAATCACAGATAGAGCTTGCATTCGTGATTTCTTTGGAACTTGCTACTAAGTGTGAAATGTCTGCATCAAAATTTGTGTAACATCTTCGAATAAAGTGCTGTATTCATTCTGTCTGTGTGTGTCTCATCTACTAAATGTTTCATTCCGTCCTTAGTACATGAATATTTCGCCATTATCAATATGAATTTAAGGCAATAGTTTGGTAGAATGGTAGAACGGTCATGAATAGATCATTCCACGCACTTGTGAAATACAAGGAGCTTTAATTAAATGTTGAAAATATTGTTAGGATGTTGAAATAATTCGTGCGTGGATACTTGGGCGGGAGTTTTCAAATGTATTACGCTATAAGCCATGTCTTAATGTGACATCTGGTTTAAGGGCGCAAGTTTCAGCCACAATGAAAAGTGGAAAGCTTCAGGCCAGTCATTGAACATGGCAACCGAAAGGGAACCTGATTTGGACTTAGAATAAACTTAAATGACATATTTCCCGCGAAATATTTATGTTTTAAGGAATGGTTTGCTTTTATGACCTTATATCATTCAATATAAGTGGATTTCAGTGAGCTGCTTGCCAATAGAGTTCCACACGACCATCTAACACATCATTCCTCCAGACAGAGACAGAAGAAACCCCTAATAAGAAGATAAAGTTATCTAAGGATTATGATGCCAATCCTTGTGAGTTATTTATCAAACAGTCACACATCGCAAATTTCATTTTATGAAGGAGGAGACATTATTTGATTGAATGCCTAATCGGGATTTTTAGACATCAAAGAGCTGGTCTTCTTGACTGGTCCGTATTCTCTTAAGTATCACGCTATAATCAAGATTCGATGTGCATGACGACTCAACGTACTGCTTTGGCACTGGTCGAATATCCACTAAAATATCTACTGAAACTAACTTTCAGAGCGGACTGCTCTTGATGAATTTTTCATCTCAATAATATTATTGTTGTTTCAGTTATTACAAGCTCACCGCCCGCATCGCCATCAATTCCGAAGTAAGCCAATCAGTTTAGAATTCAGGACTTAGTATAGTACGTAGTAAGATTCATGAGTAATGACATGTTTTTGAGGCATTTTCAACACATTTTTGAGACGTATTTATGATACTTCGTTACATGCCGATATAGATGTTCTCGGGCACACGAAAAGCAATTATTTTAATTTCCACTCCAAAACGTCTACGACTATCTGGTGTGATGTAAGCAACCAATCTAAAATAATATAAATAATAATATTTCTGCAAATTTAAAGTTCCTAAAATCTTCTATCTTTCAGGCGGCACTCGCTATTAGGGTCGCTGCTCTCGCCAGTGCTGACCCTCTTTTCTAGGGACAGAGATGAAGATGATCAGAAGTCAACCTCTAGTGACACTAGTGACTCCCAGACTCAAATACGTGAGTACTATTTCCCTTTTCAAACCCCGGTGGTATTTGAACATAGCTACGTTCAGCCAAATTGCTTTTGGACTGAGGCCAAAATTTATCTGAGGAATTTTCTCTCCTTTCATTTATCTTTTGTAGTTTCCGGATAGGACCATTGTTTGCAAGTCGCATTTATTTATAATTATTATTATGATGATTATTCTTAGAAATTCCTGCTTAGTAAGTTTTAAGGTTAACAAGTATCAATAGTTAAAAAGCAATACGATATAACAAACATTCTTAGAATATGAATATCAGAATATTGTCTTAATAACACCTTCGTAGAATAAGCTTGTTTACCTTGTCTTCGACACGTTATAACAGGATTTCTAACAATAACCATAAATTACTCTTCGACGTGAAATCTTCCCATTTTCTGTGGTGACTAGAACCTTAATATCACTCCAGATATAGAAGAAGAGCTACCTCCAATCTTCCCAATGTGCGACACCTGTGCCGGATTAGCACGACAGTACAAATGTAAAAGCGACCTGGACCTCCTGCACGCGTACGACAACCCAGACGACTGCATGCCGGACTGGCAGGACCCGTACTATTTCATCAAACATGTCCCCCCACTGCCGGAGTACCTCAAGTTTAGGAAACCAGGTAAGATTTGTTTTTAAGTTGGGCTGCTCTAAGAGTATGTAAAGTCGAAACGAGAGGATAAATTTACAAATTGAAGTTTAATGTGAAATTACCGTGAAAGTGGGGAATCTGCCCCGAACTAGGTATTATCTTAAATTCAATTAATTGTGTAATTCTAAATGTTGGGAGCTTAGTGTATAATTTGCGGCCTCTACTTCCTCCGTCCAAAAATGTAATTAATGACCATGACATGTTGTGCAAGAAAGGTTAACTAAGCCTGAGTTTTTTCTGCTTATCCAGCTACCACTGCAGTGATTTCATGACTACTTTCTGTAACAGAGGTACGATTTGGCACAATCAAAACATCGAATTTAGCACACAGTCTGAAAGTTGGATAAGAATGCTCAAATCTAGACATGCAAGCGGTTGTGTGTCCTGTGGTAACATGTTCCGATCAATTAGTTCCACGCTAGCTCGGTTTTAAAATAGAAGTGAGATGTTGTTCACCGGCTTTACCGTTAATAAATCGTTTCCTTTAAGGGCCATATTTGTCAAAACAAACTATTTTGACCTTACGTTGACCAAGATGATCAAGGCCTCACCGCGATGGTACAATTTGGCAAATGTGATGTGCCCAGCCTGGTTGAACTAGTTTTGGGTATAATTTTATGCAGAAGAGAGTAATCTGATTAGCAGTGGGTTTGCGGATGTTATTCTCACGGTTTCTCGTCCAATCAGCGCACAGAGTCTCAGTCACGTGTTGAACAGTGAAGTTCTAGAAAGGAAACACTGGTTACTGGCCACAATTTTAAGCTTAACTCAGCTGGTAAATATTCCGTACTTTTATGAGGACCGGAGGCTGCGGCTGGTCTGTGAATATAGCTGCCTAAATACCTTTCGAGGACAAACCTAAACATTCATGATTATATAAATTATATGCTCCCACCATAACGCCGAATTTTCCCAAGCATACCTAAAACCACAGAAATATTTAACGCTAAAAGCATATAGCCGTGAAAGAACATGACAAAGAATTTAAGAGCTGTAACTCCACCATTACGATTTAATACCCCCGCTCCTATTTCAGTGCTCCCAATGAAATCCAGACAGACCCCTCGCAAGACGATTGTTCTAGATCTGGTAAGAAATGTTTGAATTTGAAAGCACGGCGAAAATGTTTATGTATTAATATGTCCATCTGAAATGGAAACTTTTGGTCTTTAAAATACCTCATCTTGATTTAATACTGTCGATTTGTCAGTAATGGTTTTGGGACAGATTCAATGGAATTCACTCCTGATTAAGTTAATTGTTACGACCCTTCTCTCTGTCTAGGACGAGACACTGGTTCATTGCAGTCTGGAGCTATTACACGATGCTACCCTCGTCTTCCCCGTCTACTTTCAACAGAACACCTACCAGGTATGTGGAATGTGTGGCAAATATCAAGACCTTAAATCACCTTAGTATCCCATCTTAAATCACCCTCACGGAGATGGGATTAAATATGTTTTTTGGTTAGGTTAGGTTGGGTTAAGAGGCGCGTTTAATGTTAGGTTTTTGCAATAAAGCTAAAGGTGGGAGACAACCGGGCAACTACAAATTTGGGCGAAGAATTTTGTGAAACTCTGTACAATGCTGTTATATAGTGTAGGAATGTCTGAAATTCTCGTGAGTATCTCAATAATAGATTTATCAACATTTCATCTGATTATTTTGAGAAACAAGGAGACTCAACCCTCAGTTTTTAGTAACACTAAAAACTCACACGACTCGGTGTCACCTCAGTTACACTTACATGTCTGTAAGTTAAATTAAGTTAAGTTAAAGTTATTTAGTTTATAGCTATAATTTACCTATGCTCACCAGGGACCAGACTGGCTGACAGGATGTCTGATTTTCATTTTTCATGGTGTCGTGATTAAAATAAAACTTTTAAGAAATTATGAGCTGTCGTTTCAAGTAAGACAAGCTTGTTAAAAACTTAGAATAAATTTCATTATAATTAATGTTATATTGAAGAAACTAAACCAGAATTAATCTGGTTAAATGAATTGAAATCGTATTTATCATCGCCAACAATCCCTTCATAGAAATTGATGATAAAACTTGCTGTATAAAGAGAGGTCATAGATTACAAATAAAGTTAAATATTATTAAAAAAGACACATAATATTATAATAATAACAACGTCAAATATTTTGTTATGGGTATAAATAATGAAATAGTTATTGTCTTCAGTTTCTGCTCAGTGCTCATCCTAGCATACAACTCTCATGTTTCAACATTTCAACTAGTTTCTGACAAACTGTGTGCAGTCTGGTTTCCAAGGAAACAGCTGAGTACTCCTGCTGAACTGTTTAGTACCGCGGTCTGGCTCAATTGTTATAGATAGCTGAGGGCTGGTCGTACTTAAAATGTACTTAAATGTTTGCCCACAATTGTCTTGAGTTCTCTTCTCGCCGTCTCTTCGCAGTGGACTCTTGAGTATGTCCCTGATACATGACAGTGACAAACCAATCAGAAAACGGTATTCTGGTCACGTGACACTTACCACGACAATAGCGCGACAGATCACTTCTAGACTCACAGATTGACGGTGCCCTGAATGGAGGAAAGTGTCTGGAAACTGATCTCCTTCTCGCTCTTACAACAGCACATCAGCTTGAAGGCTTGTCGGAATGGAGGATAAGATATTATCAGGACGTAGGGGGAGATAACAGGGGATACGTACACAACCCACTTACTGAACATCTGAGAAGTGTGGTCTGTTAACTATAAATGGTTTAACGACAAATATCTTGAACTTTTGGGTTATTACTCGTATTGATGATAGAAAGAATTAAACAAAAATTACTTGGTTTTTGTGATAATTCAATCTCGTATGATGTGATTTAATTTGGGTCACCCGAATTCTTACCACGACAAGAGTAGATAAATGCATAGCGTCAGATTGGAAAAACGTAAAACCGAATCGATGAATGATTTACAAGACACGCCCCGGAATAATTAACTAATTGAACCTCATTAGATTTACCATTCAACCCTAAGACTAAGAATATCTTATCTTTTGGCATATTAGAAAATTACAAGATTTCTTATTTTAGGTCATGATATGATTGCCGTACGTAAAACCATGATCCAAGACAATTCCCTAGGACCGTAGTAGATTTTCCGAATGTCTTCAAAAATAGAGTCATGCACATTGCACATTGCATAGACATTAGACGTAATACAACTGCTAGGGAAACACCAATATTATTTTCACGGCACTGGCTTTCTAAACTCAAATGATACAAATAAAACAGCCTTTCTCTAAAACACAAGAGTTCTCACCTCGAGCCTCCAGTCAGATAGCTGGTATCTGATATCAAACAGTTTTCTGAGAGTAAGCACAGAACACGGTATCCAGGAGATCAGGAATACTAGAGCCAGCAGCAGGAACACTTTGATATTGTACGAGATTATATCCTGATCTTGGTACCATTCTCCACCAGGAATCTGTCGTAGAACCTGTTTTGTTAGTACAATAGTTTAGTTTGTTTATTGTCCAGGAGTTAGTTTCTAATAATAGTATTTCCCGCTAGACTCTCAAACCCCTCCGGCCCCACCCCTTCAATTAGGTTACAATAGCCTGATTTGAGCTGCACATTTTAGTTGATGGCCGAGTCAGGCTGACCGCATAAAATTTTTAAAAGTTCGAGCTCATGTTCTACAGAAAGGTGCATTGCAAAGAGCCCCTAGCAGACATAGTTGGAGATATTATCACATTACTGCGGTTTCTTTGATCGAATTTTGGAAATGCGAACAGTGCACATATTGTGGGTATAACGGTTACATGATTGAATAAAGCCCAAACCAAGGTGTCATCAGACACAAGTTATGTTTGTCTGGCTGTGGGGAGCTGGGGCTGGTTGGTGGTTGGTGGTGGCAGTTTGGTTGTTAATAACTAATTAGTGGAGGTATAAATACTGGTTAATTAGATAATAAGCGAGGGATGCTATCTTTAGGCATGTTTATCACGACAATTAATATATCATGAAGGAGCTGCTAAGTCCAGCTACATTTAATCTCCTTTAATAGGCGCCACATTATAACACTAGAACTGTTGAGAGATTGGAATATTATTGAGCAAGGTAGCTGAAGTTGAACTTCCAGTTCCTCTATCTCAGGAACTAGCTGGAGCCAATGAATGAGCCGTATTCTAGTCAGATGACAGCAGCAAGCTAATCGTCTTGAGTTTTAAAATTTAGCTGGAAGAGTTTTATTTAATAAAAGGAGTATTTTTAATTCGTTAAGCAACTTATTTATTATTATAAGTAAACGTTCTAAACAAGGGATAGTTAAAAACAACGCCCAAGTCTAATCTTTCCCTTAAACAAATAACTAAATGTCAAAACTTCACTGTACAGTTTCTGTCAATATATCTTGTCATAAGCTAAATTACTCAACTTAACTTTATTTTAACTTTATTTTAGTTTAACTGACCTGATCTTGGGCGTAGAACCTCCGTAGTCTAGCGTAAATGTAGCAATAACACCCGAATATGACAAGTCCCGGTACGAACATGTAGCTTAGCACATACATCACATCATACACGTGAACGCGGTGGTAGATCTGAGAAGAACAAATGTCAAACACAAGGAAATGTTTTAGCGTTGAATCTGGTAGACTTATCAAAAATCCTTTTAGGATGTTTAACTTTAGAAGATGATGAATTCATGACTGTGACGGCAACCTTTCCGTATTATATTTCTCACTGGAATTCAGGAATTGTATCAACTCCTGGTCACTCCACACAGATGGAATTTCGGGAATTCGATTTCCACTATCGGGTAAATGGCTTCTGTAGTTAGATTAGACTGACACAATCACGTACCCGTGACCAGATCTTATTGTAGCGCTAGTGGCTGAAAGAAAATTGCACGAAATTGAAAAATTTACTCTCATCTTCATTCCTTAACTCTAGAATTCATGGCCACTTCGTGCCCGGTAAATAGTGGAGTTAACTGTTCGTCTGGGTATACATGATTTAAGGAACTTCAAAACTTCAAAAGGATTTAGTTTTAAATAATTTGAGTGATAAATCTTGATTGTCTGACCCGTATGCCAATGGTTATGACATGTTATTGTCACGTGTTACTCCACCCCACAGATGGTTGCTTGTATGAGGGGTACAATAGTTTACTCTTGCAAGGAGCAAGTTCGGATGGTAAATCAATTAATTAAGTTGCTGAGAGTGGTGTACGTTGATTAATTAGCCGCACCGTAGTCAGTTCAGACCGTAATAGTAGCTGCAGTTACGAGCTTGTCTGTGAAACTTAAACTTGAATATTGGGTATGAGTAAAAGATAAACCATCAGGGATTAGACTATACAATAATTTAGCCTATTTGTCCACCAAACATTCTATATTACGATAGATTAGTTGAACACTGCTCTAGATAGTAGTAGTACTAGTAGTAGTGCTCTAGATAAAAGTACCTGCTCTGGAGTGTACATCTCACAATGTGCGGTGGTGTTATTGTAACGAATAGAAGTCTCTGTTAGCAGCTCCATGGTTAAGTAGGGCACCTCCACCACAAACAGGGATACCATCACCGCTAACAGTACCATGAACATTCCAGATACCTGAAATATACCCACAATTAAGATCAAGTATTGTGTGTAGCTGTCATCGGTTGTTGTTTAATGTTAGCAATCCCGCCGCTTATTGTTGTATGTACTTGTACTATGTGGTTGTAAAGTAAATGTCGTGGAGTTCGCTGAAATTTGAGCTCCGGTTTAGATCCAGAATCTGTTCTATGAAGTTAAGTCGTCTCTCACGCACCTTATTTATAGACTCGACTAAATTTTATTGGACAGTATTGTTGTGAAATGCCTACAATTAAAGTTTAAAATTTTAAATAAGCACTTTAAATGTTGATAAAGGCGTTCAGTATCATATCAGGGCTGTTTTAGAGATCATGGAAATATTTGAATAATCTGAAGGAGAAATGCAGAACATACGATCATAAGATCAGTTTTTTCGTGAATCATAACACGATTATCATGCCTTAATAATGAATATCAGACGGTGCTACTGGTCGTTGATACTAGCAATTTATAGTATATATATTTTTAATCAAATGATAGAATCATTTATTGACTTCATAGAACACTCTAAACGTATAGTGAAGACATTGTCAGCTTCTATTTGTAGAATCAAGAACTGACCTGTTTCATACGGTAATTACTAAAGAAGCCCATTACAATGTGTCTCTGATCCACTGCTATCATAGTGTGTAGTAAGTAACAAATCATAAAGAGGAGGAACGGCAAACTCCCACTTATCTGAGGGATTGTGAGAAATGTGAGAAAGGTTCGCTTAAGAGATCGGTGTTGTTATTTAAAATCCGATTTCTTACAACAGTTGACTTGTAAAACAAAACACTCATTAATAAATAAAAGGATCCTAATTCCTACCTGACAGTGAGATGACATACCTTGCACCAGAGATCACCCCCAAACCAGACCCCCACAGCTCCGCTAACCCCCACAAGTTACCTGGTTACCTGGTTACCTGGTTACCTGGTTACCTGGTTACCTGACAGTGCAGTGAGATGACATACCTTGCACCAGAGATCACCCCCAAACCAGACCCCCACAGCTCCGCTAACCCCCACAAACACCATCACAAAGGTAGCTCGGAGGAAGTCAGCTGCTGCCAATGCTGCTAGGAGCCAGTGTGTCCTCGTCATCCGCAGAAACCGGTACTGGGCTACCTGGAGTTATAAATTGACATTGGGGTTTTATAGGTTGGTGTTCACAATTTTGAATGGATTTTTGGCAACGTTGGAATTATTCAATCACACCGCTCTTCGGGAAAGATGTGAAGGATTGACTTATCTATATGCTATGGATATTCTAAATTTCTAACTAGTATGATGCCCCTCCCCTCCCTTCCCCGGTCCCTCCCCCCCCCCCCCCCCAATCAGACTGCTTTCAGCGCTGAATAGTTTTGGAACAATGCACCAAAGCGAGGGAGGATTTAAAAGTCGAATATCTTCATATCGTTCGTCTTTTAAATTTCATTGGATAACTAATCTTTAGTGGTTCCATCAATTCACCATTTGTCCCACGGAGGATTTAAGTTTGCGGTCATAGTATCTGGGAGTGTTTTTAACATTGTATATTCATCTCATTGTTATCACTGTCCAGTCATTCGAGCAAACACGCATAAGTATCTTTAAACTTGATTTAAACTTTGATTATTCAAAAGTATTTGTATCGCGTAGGATGCAGCATTTTTGTGTCAATGGTCATTGTTCTCATCTATTTAATACAATTTTTCTACTAAATATGGTTAGACAGAGAAGAATTTAGGAGTGAAATTTCGGAAGGCCTAGACGGCGCAGGAATTCGGGTTTTAGTCTACCACTTCCTGTCGGGATTATCACCTCTAAAAGGCATATTGTCGGTGCTTTAAAACCGACAAGATAAAAAGCTCTGACAACCGACAAATAGTAACCACTGACAAAGTATTGAAAACTGACAAAGTATTGGAAACTGACAAAGTACTGACCATGACTATGACAGTGAGGTTGCCGGTGATGGCAAAAGCAGATAGACTCAGGAGAACGTAGGCCGGGGTGTAGGTGTCTCCATTCTCGTCCATTCCATCTAGCTGAAAAATACACATTTTAAGTTTCATCTCCGGTTTGATGCTGATTCTCGGTGAACGGTAAATGTTCAGCTATTCCGATAATTTAACGTCAGATCATAGGTACTCCTTATTGCTGACATGACATTCATATTCTATTTGATTATTACAAGGCATAACCAAGAGGTTAGCTGGAGTTCAAAGCCGTGACGTCGGGTCTGTAGACTTCTCCATTTTCGCAAGGTAAAGATAATTCTAGCCCCGGCTCTGACCTATATCAGTCATTTGAGTCCTAACATCTACCCAATACTTGCCCATGCCCTGCCTAAATTCTTGACTTCCCAGTTCCTATTAAGGTTAGAATTTACATCACGTCAGAGTGGTCTAGTCCTAACGATTGAGGTTGAAAATCTTGGGCACGTAGTATTTAGACAAAACTTTCTGGGCTCAAGTACATAATGAGGGGGCTATAATCGGAGGACTGAAATGGAGATTATATACTGATGACTTGGGATTGGGCTTGAAGATGTGGAGATCTAACTAAAGGGTCATCAAAAATTAAGAAAATTTAATAAAATATAAGTTGACAATGATTTATCCTTTCAATGGCTCGATTGGACGGTTACTAAATAAGATGATATATCTGGAAATACAAATGTCACAAGGAGATGAAAATGAAAGCAGCTGAAACAGAAAGTGTGAAGACAGCTGAAGAGGCAAACAATTTCAACTATGTGACCTGCCCTCCGACACGCAAACAATCAACAAAAACATGATTTTCACTGCAACAGATAGCCTCAATAACATGCACTGCTCACCGCACCATTGCTGGATAATTGGCCGCGAGGAGAAAACATGTTGCGATGGTGTGGTGGGGAGATGTGCAGGGGGGGTCTTACACTCGCTCTCTGCAGAGCTAGATACTATCACTCTATCATATCAAACGTGATTATTCCATACATGGTTATATTGACTTGTGGCGGGGTCAATACACTTCGGGCTGACCTCAATTATACTGCAAATCAAGTGATTTGAAGTGTATAAAATACAGCTGATTTTAAACAATACTAGCCACAAAGCTAGTATATTTAGTATAGCTAGTATATTTAGTATAGCTAGTATATTTGCCAACTCAAGCTATAGAAAGTAATGGCAGATAGAGGAAAGAGCTATTTCCTATCTCTCAACAAAATCAATTACTGATCCACTCTACACTGTACACGGTCATCAATCAACAAAGCTTATTAATATTTCATAGAACAAATCCATTTGCGCCGTTGAGTGAAATTGTTCTGAAAAGCTGCCAAATTCCAAACTATCGATTCAAGTATTCAAAATGACAAATTTTGTGCATGAAATCAGGAATTCAATGCTCAAATTTCAAAATCTGTGAAATATCTTGATATCAGGTGATATGTTGATTCACTGATGAACCAAAATGAACCTAGCTGAGTGGGTACAAATGGAGACCAAACCCAGTTTGTAACTAACTCTAATGAATACTTCCATGTTTAACCATGAGTGTAAATTTGCAAATGTAGAGACTAGAGAGTATCCGATACAAAGTCCGGGCTGAGATCCCCTGCCCCCAGAGATATCAGATAGCTTTCTTAATTGGGTCTAATTGGGCTGTCTTGTGTTACAATTTGCAACTAGAGGGAAGAGAGGGAGGTTATGGGGGATAAGTTGCTGACTGGTGATTAGGTGCGGAATTATTGGGGTTTCAATTAGCGGCACTGTTCTTGTGGTTAGGTAGTTGTATTTCCCTTTCGCAGTATGGGTGTGTATTAGAAACTACTAAATTCAAGCAAGCACTGATGAACACTTACTTTCACAGTATGGGTGTGTATTAGAAACTGCCCAATTCAAGCAAGCACTAATGAACACTAACTGAGTGCGGTTGATCAATGTTTGAGTTAAGATCAGATTACGCTGGAGGACAATACTTCATTCAAGTTTCTCTATTACCACAAACAACAAACTTCAATACTAAATTCAGAACTGCTTGAAGGTATGGGGTTGTAGAACGGAGGAATTTAAGAGCAGAATGTTTGGGACGGAAGGGAAGGGACAGCTGTGAAATATCCCGGTTTCCAAGCTAACAACTTGATGGAAACTGGATACGCTAATTCTATTAAATATTTCACAAATTCAAACCCTGTCGGGTGTTTGGGTGTGGGAGGGAACTTTACCAGACGTGAATTGAGAGTTAGGTAAACCAGACATTGAAAGTGAGGGTATCGTAAATAAAGAGTATTTGCTGATGATAGGGGCTCGATAGAAGCTGACTCTACCTTGCCTTATTTTTCGACATGTTTAAAAACGAGGCGATTTGAAACAAAGCAATGTCATTTTGGGGACATCCTGCAAGCTCAAACTGTTTGGGTACAAGGAATTATTTTAAATTTACAGAGTTGTACGGTTTTAAAGACTGGGAAAAGTTTGTCGGGTGAACCCAAAAAGAGGAGCGTAAAACATTCCGGAGACCCGAGGAGTCAGTTACTCAATATGGTAGTAAGTTGTTGTGTGAAGCAACTCTGGGTAAAATGAATATTGTGAGGTTCCTCTGCAAAAATTTGTCAGGTGCTGCCAATGTCAGGATATTTGTTTTCAATAATTTCAGCATAAAATATGACAATGTTTCCTAAAATATGACAATTTTCAACATGAAATATGAAAATGTTCCTAATAAGTTAGAGGGCGATATCTCCTTTAATCATTTTTCTCGGTTAAGTTTATGACGGCTTGCTGATTTAGTATAAAACCAGCTGTAAAAGATTGTAAAGTTTTCAAGAAGCAAAAGAGTCGAATGTGGTCAGAGTTAAAACTACTGTACTAGCTAGATATTATGTACTGGCTAGACATTATGCAATAACAAAGCGATATATAATAACTGCTACCTGGTCAATAATACTAGTCATGATGGCCAACTCACATTAAGTGACAATAGACCTACCAAAATGTGGACTAAAGCCAACACCTATACCACACCATAGGTCCCAGAGGTGCACAGATATTCTGGACATTTGCCAACACACCCTTAATCAAATATTTTTGAACTTACCCAAAATCTCTCCCACATCTTCAGCCCAGTTAAACTCAATATACTGAACGGTACACTGCTGTAAACGCAATAAAAAGGTATATGTTATGTACTACAAAGTAGAGAAATGGCAATAACATGCAGGAGTAGTTTAGACAGACGCTGCTCTCTGCTGTGGTACGCAGTTGGTCACAGCTAATTGCTATCAATTTAGAACCAGATTCCAATATATATATACGGGCGTCACTATATTATAATGTATTTGAGGAGAGAAGATTCTAAAATAAGACACAAGACAATTTGATATCCGATCTACTGTCGATTTAATTCCCGGAATTTGATCGTGCCAATAAATTTGTTAAGCATTAGTCAATTGAATGTCAGGCTTTATTCAGCCGATTTGTTTTGACTTTAGCATTGCTGGGCAATTAGATTAATAACATCAGTGCACAGCAACTATCTCTCAAAATGAATAATACAATGGAATACTAGAAATTTCGAAGAGCGGCTAAAAGCAACGATCTAGCCGAACAAATTAGGGACAAGTGCAGTACATATTTTAATACTTTTTACTTGGCTCTGGTATTTGGCTCCTCCTTTTTACTGTACAATACACGTATTCACTATTCACTATCCAGGGACCTATTTAAAGTGCCGTCGTGAAGAATTCTTTTGTAATTTTAGATCTGCCGATGCTCGGAACAATTTAGGAGGCATCATCTCAAAGTTGTTTCTTGACAAATGACGGCGTCTGTATGTGAACAACAACGGTGCATGCGATATTTTGGGAAGGGCCCTTTATCGGTATGCTTTCGGGCAGCTTCCTCGGAATGCAGGTTCTTCCGTTCAAATTTTTCTAAAAAACTAAGGTTATCACTTCAAATAAAACAGTACAGATCACAGAGGCCCAAGGATCAGTCGAAAAAAGTTGTTTCCAACGTTACATCTCTTAAATTAAGTTATCGGATTTTTTCATTATGTAGCAACAAAGATCAATTCTAAAAAGTTGAACAAAACGAATTCTAAGACGTACGATGTATAGAATAATGACAAATTTTTCATGATCTGATAATAACTCCATAACTGTGTGTCTCGACGTACGAGCCGGAGAAGGAATTACGCCAATATTTCTTGACTTTCTAACCATCACAAAATAGACAGAAATTTGGCGACAAAAATAACTCAAGGTTGGGTCTCTTCTGGAGAGCATTATTTGGCGAAGAAAAGAAAGATGCGGTGCGGAACAGGGGGTGAACTGCGGTGTGTAATGATCATGTACTTGTCCCACATGTCCCCGGCCCCGGTGTGATATCTAACCGGCGGTATCTAACCAATCCTTTGTAAAATGATATCCTTTTTTACACCAGCCCTCCCAATTCAAGCTTCAAACTCGGTTCTATTCATACACTCAAATGCATTCCATTGTTTCAGGGCCTCTAATTTCCCTAATTTAGTAATCAGAAGTTAAGCAGGAAACAGGGGTAGAGTTGTCTGAGTAGGGTGACATTGTCTGAGCCCTCTCTGTTGCGCTGTCCCAGATCTCCAATTTAATAATAAATGCCAGATAGCGGCATAGATGTGAAGTTCTTCTAGGTGGTTGCCAAGTGAACGTCAACAGATTTGGTGATTTTGTGTGTCCTTATTGTCGTTTGTTGGTAAATAAGGTCTAATTTTTGTTTTTAAGTCACATTTTAAATTAAATGATTGAGTAGGATGTGGGCAAATATGCATGAAAACTGATATCAAAAGGTACCAATATTTTGGAAACGATCCAAAAGTAAACTCAGTAGTAATAAGTAACGAGATTAACCTTTGTGTACTGAGACCCGACTGAGCAACACCAAACCGAGATCCAAGGACAGAGCACGGTCATTTCCTCTCTTCCTCTCTTCTTGTTCTCTTTATCTTTACACTTTGCTGAGCGGTTGGTTAAGTATGTATGAAATATTTTGAGGGGGTTTTAAACATCTGGTATCATGTGAAAGTATCAGAGCAGGTCGTTCATGTCAAAAGTTAGATGCAAAGTAACGAATGAAAGCGGCGAAACTTGCAGGCAGCAGCTACAGAAACGAATGGCAGACAATTTAAAATTCAAACAGACGGGTCAATTCGAAAATAGAGAGGAAAATATTTGGTATTTTAAAACGGGGAGTTTTTCGGTTATGAATTGCAGACGCAGACGAAAATATTTCACATATTATGCAAGTTCTAATTATTACATATAACGGGGAATGGCGTGTCACGTTTAAAAATTAAGTAAAATATCCGTTTTAGAGAAGCATATCATCCACAAATTCAATCAATTTAAACTCCCAAATACTTCAGGAAGCTTTAATATTTAATAAGTTAAAAGCATTTAAAAGCTCAGTATTATTTCAACCCCTCGCACAAGATTTAAAACAACTTAGATAATAAAATAATAACGCGGAGTAACATTACCACAGTTGCTCCTTTATAAATACTTATAACATTACCACAGGTATACGTGAGAATACGACCACACTTCAAGGAGTTCCTCCAAACGATCAGCGAGAAATACGAAGTAATCCTGTTCACCGCCAGCAAGAAAGTTTACGCAGGTATCGTTACCTTATTATGTGCCACGTGATAATGTCACGTGTCATGTGTTGTGATGTGCGTTAGCCATTAAATTTGATTTTAACGTGTCATCTTCTGCCGGAACTAGTTTAGCTGATGTAATTGGTCTCCGACTTTTAGATGACCGGACCGTGAGGCGTGAAGGGAAAATGGTTAACCACACTGCTGGAAAGTTGGTTGGAAACTGCTGGATGAAAATAAGAATCCCTGGTTCACTTCGTGGTATGGCGATCATGGGTTCGTTATGATAAGCTGGTGACGGATTTAATACGAAAATTGAATATAACAAAGCTTCGTTTCAGACAAACTACTTAATCTGCTGGATCCGGATAGATCGCTAGTAAAGCACAGGCTGTTCAGGGAACACTGTGTCCAGGTATGTTTTACTTGTACTTCTCTCAGTTTATTGGGCTTTATATGTTAACGTAGAACATTTCGATAACTTAATCAAAAATTATCTAATCACTGATTTGATAGGTGGCATACCTTCATACTTGTTTTCGTGATATATGTGTGACACTTTCCTGGTGCGAGTTTGAAAGAAAACCTCGTACTCATCAACATTTACATACCTTCATTAATTGGCAGAGATTTTCTTTGGTCACCGTCTTAGTGTCACAATCTTTCGGTAGACCATATATCCTGTAGTGAGGTAAATCTTGATCAGATGTATTTAAATGATTAATGTGGTCAATGAAATAACCGGAACATTATCTTCAGGTACACGGAAACTACGTAAAAGATCTGGAGGTTTTAGGACGAGATTTGTCTCATACAGTTATCATCGACAATTCCCCCCAGGCATTTGCATACCAGGTATATGGAAGGTGGTATTCTTTCTATTTATCTGGAAAATTGGAGAATATAGCATTGGCCTTCCCCCCCCCCCCTCCCCCCTCGCCAGCTTAATCTTGACAGAGCATAAGATGTAAGATTCTGAACGGACCATATCATAGTTACAGATGTGATAGTTGTAATCGTGATTAGTATGATATCTGACAATTTCTAGGACTCCTTGATCCGCCCGCTAATTTCCGTGGTTACTTTTAATTGTTGTAATTTGTTTTCGAATCTCTAATTTATCTAATGCATTTTTCGAATTCTTCAGTTATTCAACGGTATTCCGATAGAGTCCTGGTTCAAGGATCAGGATGACAAGGAGTTACTGAACCTCGTACCTTTCCTTGAACATCTCGCTTCACTCGTTAGTTCGTTACACCTTTTTTGCCATAATTATCGCTAGGTGCCTGTGATAATTTTATAGGTGCTGAATTTCAATCCAGCCACAGCTTTTATAAAGAATATAATATTAATACAAATAATAAAGTGTTACGAAAGTAAAGTGTCGACTCGCGGCAAAATAAATCTTAAAACTTTTAAAATTACAACTGAAAATTAAGAATATAGCAACGCTAATGCTAACTTCTAGAAAATACTTTAGTTAAATAACTGGGTGACCACTGACCTGGGTATTTACGCACACCTGTGCCGGCCTCATTAACATTTTCTAGACACGTTGGGGCCGTGCTAATTGACCTGCACCCTCATTTACAGATCATCAATATAATCAAATTTTTGTAGAATTTTGTTATTTAAAAAAATATCCTGTCCAATCAGATACAATAATGTTGGACGCTAAGACCTAAGTTATTTTTGTTTTGTTATTTCCTGAGTGCAATTATGTTAATCTGATCATGTATAATGCACATAAATTAATTCTAATAAGTTAAGAGAGGCATCTAGCAGTAGTAATTACAGCCTTGTCAGCTTTTCCAGTACTGTTGATAATTATGATTCATAATCATAGTTATAAATATAAACATAACGTAAAAGTTAACTGGATTCGATTAAAGTTAATGTTGATGATTTTATCAACTTAATATATTAACGGTAAAATGTTGGTAAAATGCATATTTTATTATTTAAAAAATAATCGTGCAAATGGTCCCTATTTTATGATACAGTGCAGTAAACAAATTTTACTGCGGGATATTCTATCAAATGTGTTACAATGAAAAGTTAGATTTAAAAAACTATCGATGAGGCGGCAAATAACAAATTTCACAAATTTCACAATCCAGTAAAATTTATGCACACATTGTTTTTGAAATACGATAAATTGTTAAATATTCCCATTATACGTGCCGTGGTGACCACTGCTTGTTGGCATTCGAGAATTCAGCGCCTGATATCTAAAAGGAAAACCACCCAGCCATCCCCCTCTTCAACACATGGGTAGAAAAAACCGTAACCTTTTATGATGTCTGTACGCTAAACTTTTCTCGATGCATGCCCTAACATGCACACTATTTTCAGGAGGAGGACGTGAGACCCCACATCAAACAAAGATTCAAACTGCACAAACTGTTACCCCCGGATTAACCACACTCTCTCTCTCTCTCATTAACATCTGTATTTAGTAATTTATTTTCCTACGTTTTGTAAGATAGACCTCCCGCGCGCTTGTCTTCTGTGTTTGGTTTGTGAAGCAAAGTAAGCCCCGGAGTTCTGTGAAGGATAGTAGGGTTACCATGGTAACAGGTGGGTGACACTTTGTGTCTTCTGTGAAGGAGCAGGATTACACAAATTTGGAGATAATAATAAAATAATGCAAATACAGACCATGCTAATTTCGACGTAAGATGGAAATGTCGTGCAACTTTTGAGATGATGCTCATATTGATCAATGATCATCCTAATTCAATTAGCAATTAGCAGCTAATTGCGAGATAATGCGAATTTTAATCATGCTAATTCTAAAATGATGGAAATTAGTTTGATCCTACTAATACCTGGGTAGTTTAATGGCTTTTGTATTTCTTGTTTGCGAGGTTCAAATGAAAATTCGGCTCACGGCGTACTTTGTTCCACAACATTCATACATGTTCACAACGCAGAATGTTAAATTATTATCACGTAAGTGTCATCGCATGTTGGGTTAAATATTGTAAAAACTAAGTTTCATTTTAAACTTTTAATACATATAATATTGTTTATTTTATCTTGTTCATAGTACTTTAAATATATTCGAAAGTTATGTATTTCGTGACTGAAAATCTTTTAATCTTGTTAAAATCATCTTTAACGGATATATGTATAGTTATACGGTGTTTTTATCCACTTACTAATGTACTGCAACCCAAATTACTGATATATCCGAATTAATATTTTACGTTTCGGAAAATATGATAATTTAAATTTAAAATATGTCACAACAGTATTAGGGCTGATCAACTGGTCTGTGTGCATTATTGGATATTGATGATTGTTCTCGTTGTTTGGAGTATCTAAAACCAAAACCCGTTGCAGTTACCGTGGACACTATATTCTATTTAAACCGTTTGCGCTGAAAATGTGTAGTGATATGTAAAAATGAGTTGTGTAATTATCATTGGATCAAAGTTCCTTAATCACGAAAATACGAAAATACGAAAATAAAGTTCAATTTCCAAAGTTGCGGCGAGAAGTATTGTTAAACTGGTGTTTTCTTTTTCGAAAGAAAGCTCCTTAAATTTGATTTTGACCTATTATAGTATTACAACTACAAGCACCACAACAATTCCAAATCGTATCGAGTTCAGAGTTGATCTAGGAACTTTGATCTTTAATGGCTACTGCTAATTCGTAAATGGATTTAGCATTTCGTTTACCCTATTCAACTGTTTTATTTATTATTTGGAATATTTAAGTGGCGCAAAATTCTCATATAGTCTAATATTTGAACCAATTATTTACGTGTTAACAGTTAACATGTCACGGGTATTATCATTACTTGCTCCACGCTGTGGCACCTGCCGTGCACGAGTGGACGGCCATTTCGGATCGCGGAAAATTGCCACAAAATATTGATTTAACATTAACAAAAACCAGGTATCGCGACGCACGACGATTGAAGGCTTGTAGGTTTACAACTTACCAGGACGCGCGCCGAGTTGGACTCAATATGGAACAAATATTTTATGAGTATCACCCGTTAATCGAAGGCAAGTCTGCATACCAAGCGCGCCCACTTTTTTAACGGTGGGTGATACTCGTAAAATATTTGTTCCAGGACCGTCGACGAGTCCAACTCGGCGTGCGTCCTGGTAGGTTATAATTATAAACTAACAACCACTTTTATGCGCGGCGTTCTTTTATTTTTGAGCTTCTTGCATAGAGAAAATCGATCAGCAATAGACTAGTACATAGTAAGCATGTGTAGCGCGATGCACTACCGGTTCGCGCAGCGCATCCAGTAACATGCTTCGTTAAATTGGTACGATGAACCACTAGGTCATGCCGAACTGCAAAGGATTGACATGCAATCGTCAATCAACGTATAACTATAAACGCAAGCTAGATAAAAAATGTAATGCGCGGTATTACGTTTACGGGTAAACGTTAAATAATAGTGGAGCCGCGGCAAAAATGCGCGGCTCCATCGAAATGCGCGGGCATTTCTGCAATTTATTATGCCGCTTATATGTTGTAGCGGCGCGATGCACTACTGGGCCGCACCGCGCATCAAATAATTCTTCTCGCAACCGGTAGATCGGCGAAATGCACCACTGGGACTCGCCGAGCTGCGAAGGATTGACATCGTGAATCAATTATGTCGCCCAATAAAATGTGACCTCCAGATCAGTAAAATTAGGTGCGCTGGGAGAGCTGCATAGAGTCCACTATTATTTAATATTAGCCTGTACTGGCTCAATAAAATGTTACCTCCAGATCAGTAAAATTAGGTGCGCTGGGGGAGCTGCATAGAGTCCACTACTATTTAATATTAGCCGCGGCCGGCCCATTGGCAGTTATGATCAACATGTATGATGTAACAGTAGTAATATAAATTATTGCAACCTCAAACCTTGACGGATGGTATGTGATAAGCTGATCGCGTCGTTTTATTTGGCACACCAATTCCAATGCGCGGTGATTTTCGAGCTTCTCGAATCGATTTTTTGTCTCACGTCGTGATCCTCATCCGGTCATCGTCATTTCATTTAATAATTCCGTGACAAAAGGGCCATGATACGGCCGCGCACTGTACTTGTGCGTGGCGGGCCTACAATTACGTGAGGCAACTACAAACTATTTTTGCTAATACGATTGAGAGTAGCACATAGCTTATATATTAATTGACGATGTCAATTCTTGTATCACGTGGTGACCCCCACGGTCGCTTCACTATAAAGTTTCACTGTAGGGTTTCGACGATACAGGGGGAGCACTCGTGCGCGGCGGGTCATACAACGTATGACAAGTCAATTCATTGCAGCTCGGCGAGGCACAGGAGCGCATCTCGCCGATCTAGCGAGAAGCATAATTGAGTGCGCGGCGCGGCACAGTAACGCTGAACGCATCGCGCTACAACACATAGCAAGCTAAATTATATTTGATCGTTTAAATTTTTTGCAAGTCACAAGTATAGCGCACCCGTTTTGCTTTTTTAAAACAGGTAATACTCGTAAAATAGTTGTTTCAAATATAATTATATTCAAGACCGTCGACGAGTCCAACTCGGCGCGCGTCTCGGTAGGTTATAAACCTACGATTTTCTTTTTCAAGATTGAAAATATATACATGGCTGAATTCAGATTTTCATAGAAAGCAAGCCTAATCGTTTTAGAACCAAATTAAAAAAGAATTAAGTATAAAAATGTTAAAACTTCAAAATTATCAATGGAATGAATTGGCAACGTCCAAATATGTGTAAAATAAGACGAAGGGAGGTCACAACACTGCGCGCAGGAGTGAGATTGTAAAACGCATGCGCGTGCGAGCAGCGAGCTTTACGTCACGCTCGACGACAAACACGCATGCTATTGAAAAATTTTATCAGTTATATCACCTCTAGCAAGCTCGCCAGGCAGTTTACAGTTTACCTGGGGACCCCAGGCTATTATGTTCATAAACATAATAAAGATTTGGCGGAATGACAGGCTGAGCGTCGCCCAGTAACAGGCAGTAAGGTTTTTTGGGTAGCGCGTGCCGGGTTAGTCCATTAACAATGGACAAAGCCTGTCCTTGGTCATGTCACGTCGTCATTTAATGATGATGGTTCAAATATCAAAACTATGTGTACGAGAATTAATCATTGACATGATTGAAAATAAAAAGTAAAATGAAAAAGTTCTAAAATTATTTCATATTTGCGGAAACTCAAAAATTATAACTCACTACTTAAGAACGTCAGGCCCAAATGTTAACACCAATTGAAAATGTAGTAATGGAATAAACTGGGACTTTCGATCTAGTACGAAAATTCAAAATTACAGACTTTATTTATAATTCATAGTTGATTTTGTAAATTAAAGCCGCGCACTCAGCGACATAACGCGTAAACCTCAACCCAAGAATGTTTATAAACTAATTTCGCGTTGGATTGCGATATTATAAAATCGAGCATGTGACGATTCGGTTCGCGTGTTACGGTCTCTTTGCTTCTGTTGCAACTCTAGTCTCTCCAAGACCGTAAACTGTTGCTGATTGCCATTCGTTTTAATAACATAGTCAGAAGCCATAATTATATCTCTCATTAACCTAATAAGTCTGTGTTCAGTATTCACATGACCAATATTCGTTGTATATTATTTTATCACTTTATATTGTTGGGTTCTATTTTTATCCCTTTTATTTCCTACTGGTTCAAGTATCTTTGTACTAGTGTTGAGTACTCTCCGTCAATTTTGACTTCTATATCCTTGATATACTGTAGACAGTAGACTGTGTGATGAGTACTGATCCAATGTCACCGACCTAGGAAAACTGAAATGCTTTGGTTGATAGAATCTGCACAGAGGATATTGGGGATGAGAGGACGGGATATGCCCGACAGAGAGGCCAGATGGGAAAGGGATGGGGCAGCTCATGGAAAGTTTTACAGAGATTACCTCCCAGAACAGAACAAGAGATATAGCTGCGTTCACTGCCAGGCACATCTCGCTTTTCATGATGATATTATATCTAAGGTGAGCTTTTAATAACCTAATCAGTGTTTATCCTGTTCATTTTTCATAAATTTTGAAAAAAACTTTGGTTAATTTGTCGTACTAATCCCTTTGCATCAGTATGATTTCATTGCGGATATAAATACTGATAAAATTGAAGAGGTTATCCTGAATCCTCAAAAAACGTACTTCTAAGGAATTCCGCTCTTAAAGTTTGAACCTAGAAAATAGTTGTTAAGTTTCAACAAAGCTCTGAATATAATGATAGCACTGTCTACTTATTGTTAAAGTTCGTGTCTCGCATACCGACCAGCCAACTGTGAACTGTTGTTTACCACGTCTCTTTCTGTACTGTCACATCACATGCTCACTACTCAGGTATAACACACAGTCACAATGACATCCATTACATGTTAATTGCTAAGATGTTGTCATGTGGCACTCTCCACATTCTCCGTCTTTATTTCACTGTGATATGAAGCGCTCAGACCGGAGCGTTGTAATGCATTATACTATTTGGCTAGCTGACAATAACCTGTCATACTGTTATTTTGGGTTGCAGGAAATAATGCATTTGTGCAGACTTTTAGATAACGCCTGTTTCGACTAAACCGGATTTAAAACCGGATTTAAACTGGTATGACCAAAGTATATGATATATTAAATTGTTATCTTTCAGTCGTTTCACGGAAGCCAAGGACGAGCCTATCTTTTCAATGAAGTGTAAGTTAATTTAGTCATAAGTCATACTTAAATTTGTCACGATTATGTAATTGTTCCTGTTTCTGTAATATAATGTTACGTGGACTCACAAATTATCACACCTTACTATTGTCATGTTGTAAACAAATTGGTTCATGACCTCACATTTCTATTACAAATCAGAGCCTTCAGGATCCCGTGACTAAGATTCGGATGATCTTCAGCAGAAATGGATAATTAACACATTATTAGTTCTAAATTGGCAATAATCCTCGATTCATTAAATTCCCCAGAAATATGCTTACGTCTAGAATAATCGAATATATCATATAAAATCTGGATGTCATAACGTTAATAAATAAATAATAATACTGTTGAAAAGTTACAGTTTGTATTTAAATACCCTAAATAGAATTAATAACTCGAACTTTACTAGTGACTAGCCTTCCAAAACAGTGTGTATACTTTAGTAATAGAATAATGTGTTACGACTTACAGCACAGTTTAGCTACAGCGGACCGTGTCTTTAGTGACGATAAATAGCAATTATCTGCAGTTGAAGCCCCACCGCCCGTCCAAATCAGTCCAGCCGGCACCAGGAAAGCATACTTCCACCCAGAGAGCGGGTCAGCTTAAGGGTTTCTAAACAGTCACAGTATGTACAAAGAGCGAAGGAGAGTGTATTTATAGCTTTATATCTGAACTCATTCTACTCTAGGTTAAGTTTATCAGGTGATCACCAGGTAATAATAACATAACAACACACTTATTGTGGGGAGACTGGTAATGACTACTTGTGTTTATTACCCGACCGTGTCGTGGTCATACCCTTGTCTGCTGTCTTCCGGTAGATAATGAAATAGGGAGGCTGTGAGCAGCGGTTCGTATCAGCTCCGGAGTGATTATGAGTGTTAAGTATCCACTGTCGTGGTAGTTCATTATCAGCCGCACGTGAGACATATTACACAATTACTGTGTCATGTGATGAGTGAACATGCTCACTACTCCCATCTCTTGTAGTAAACATGCTCACTACTCTCATCTCTTGTAGTAAACATGCTCACTACTCTCATCTCTTGTAGTAAATATGCTCACTACTCCCATCTCTTGTAGTAAACATGCTCACTACTCTCATCTCTTGTAGTAAACATGCTCACTACTCTCATCTCTTGTAGTAAACATGCTCACTACTCTCATCTCTTGTAGTAAACATGCTCACTACTCTCATCTCTTGTAGTAAACATGCTCACTACTCCCATCTCTTGTAGTAAACATGCTCACTACTCTCATCTCTTGTAGTAAACATGCTCACTACTCCCATCTCTTGTAGTAAACATGCTGACTACTCTCATCTCTAGTAGTAAACATGCTCACTACTCTCATCTCTTGTAGTAAACATGCTCACTACTCTTATCTCTTGTAGTAAACATGCTCACTACTCTCATCTCTTGTAGTAAACATGCTCACTACTCTCATCTCTTGTAGTAAACATGCTCACTACTCTTATCTCTTGTAGTAAACATGCTCACTACTCCCATCTCTTGTAGTAAACATGCTCACTACTCTAATCTCTTGTAGTAAACATGCTCACTACTCTCATCTCTTGTAGTAAACATGCTCACTACTCCCATCTCTTGTAGTAAACATGCTCACTACTCTCATCTCTTGTAGTAAACATGCTCACTACTCCCATCTCTTGTAGTAAATATGCTCACTACTCCCATCTCTTGTAGTAAATATGTTCACTACTCTCATCTCTTGTAATAAACATGCTCACTACTCTCATCTCTTGTAGTAAACATGCTCACTACTCTCATCTCTTGTAGTAAACATGCTCACTACTCCCATCTCTTGTAGTAAACATGCTCACTACTCTCATCTCTTGTAGTAAACATGCTCACTACTCTCATCTCTTGTAGTAAACATGCTCACTACTCCCATCTCTTGTAGTAAATATGCTCACTACTCCCATCTCTCGTAGTAAACATGCTCACTACTCTCATCTCTTGTAGTAAACATGCTCACTACTCTCATCTCTTGTAATAAACATGCTCACTACTCTCATCTCTTGTAGTAAACATGTTCACTACTCTCATCTCTTGTAGTAAACATGCTCACTACTCCCATCTCTTGTAGTAAACATGCTCACTACTCCCATCTCTTGTAGTAAACATGCTCACTACTCTCATCTCTTGTAGTAAACATGCTCACTACTCTCATCTCTCGAACAAAGAGCTCCGCCCTCTTATTATTTCATGTTAGAAGTTGGATGCACATTATACATATTACATAGTGTGCTGTGTGTATCACTATCATGTATACACTATACAATATTGTGTACTGGTACTAGCAGTTTATACTCAGTCTGCGCTCAGTTGGGTCGCTCTGAGATCCTTAGTAAAATCAGCCGTTATGATTCCAGACCTCTAATGAACATTATCAGCGAATCTCTACCTCATCTAATGAATAAAGTATTAACTTATCACGAGGTCTAACGACAGCACTGTCGCCTAGATACTGATCTCTTTATTAAAACTAGTAGACTCTACATCGATCAGATGACCTCCCTTACACTGGAGACAATGTAACAGCTCCTTTGTCTCACTCATTTTGTATCACTCGGCACTATCCTGGCTGCCATCTGGCAGTATCCTGGCTGCCGGTATATTGGCAGCCATTATGTTGGTTGTCGCCAGATTGCCAGCGATCATGATGCCCTAATGAGTGTCCGTTTATGAATCGATCTTTTGTTGGATCATTAATCATTGATTTCGTGCGCGCGGTCATGTGCAGGGTAGATCGAGCAAATCTCGTGCGATATCGACAAAAAGCGAGAGAATATGAGTTACTGACAGGAAATGGATGGCATCTGTTAGATCTTGTAACTTTCTTGACAGTAATGAGGCCATTTATTTGTTGATACTGCCAGCAAATTGACAATTAACTTCATGATGATAATGTGTAAAAATTGAGCCCATTTACTTTGTAATGTTTTAGATTTTCCTGGAAGTACTAGAAGTTCTAAAAGTTCTAGAAGCGCTAGAACCATGCCGGGAGGTAATTCTTATCAGTTACTGAGAAATAGAATCACTAATCTATATTTAGACTTTAGGGGTATCTTCAAGGACATACAAATTTACCGTCACAAATTTAATTTTAAAATTTGAATTAATCAGCCGTACAGAATATGACATACCATATATTATATAATATCAAGCGGAACAAAGACATAAGTCTTCTACTGGAAACTTTCCAGCAAACTCACAACGTAACTTTTAAGTCTAAACGTTAGTCCATTGTCCGAGCAGCCGCACAAAAATGTAAGTTTGTCCGAGCTACAACATCAGCTAAACTCTCTCTGGTAGATATATGATATATATTATATGTCTTAACTAGTTAGATGTGCCAACTGAGAGCTTATGGTGTTTCCCTCTGTAAATAATATGTCAAGAATGTGTGATGCCTTACAGTGGCACACCTCGCTAAATTTGCAGAGTAAAATTTATACTTCTGGTCACAAGTTTCGTCCTTGTAGGGTAGCCCTTATCGGCCATCGGGTCCTGAAAACTTGGGGGACTTTATCAGCGGGCAGCGTACTTGAATATTGGACAATATATGGTCCCTTGTACAGATACACATCAAATATTATTGGATACACTATCATGTGCAGTGAGTAGTAAAAGGAATTACAAAGTACAGCTGGAACGTGTCAAATACCAAGTTCCTTATCGTATATATCATTACGTACTGGTCTAACTCTCAAGTCACAACTATGATATTGACAGTTGGAATACCTCTGAAAAACACTAGTATCCCCTATTCCGTCAACACTTGCAACACAGTTAAAAAAGAAATACTTCAATTATTGTATCTTCATCGAACCTATAAAGGTATCTGGGAGTTAACACGTGTTATTTGAAAGCCTCTAAAACAAACATCCTACATCCTACATCCTACATCCTACATCCTACATCCTACATCCTACATCCTACATCCTACATCATACATCCTACATCCTACATCCTACATCCTACATCCTACGCTACATCTTATCACTGTTTCCAGAACTCTCCTCCGGTTACAATAATGATAGAATTCCCGAGTTCCTGTGGCTATAGTGATTAGTCAATAAACTGTACCAATAGCAAAATGTAGGGCATCTCTGTCGGCAGGGTCAGCTTTCCGACAAACAACAATTTGGCCAATACTATTTTGGAGACAAAGTTTTCGAGTAATTGTTATTTCACCACCCTTACCAAAATATGATAAAACACTTTAGTTGAGCCTCATTTCAACATCAAACAGCTCGTGTTAACAGTGAATTAACCTCTTTTAAATGTCATATTAACAGTGAAGTAACCTCTTTTAAATGTCATATTAACAATGAATTAACCTCTTTTAAACGCCATATTAACAATGAATTAACCTCTTTTAAACGTCATATTAACAATGAATTAACCTCTTTTAAACGCCATATTAACAATGAATTAACCTCTTTTAAACGTCATATTAACAATGAATTAACCTCTTTTAAACGTCATATTAACAATAAATTAACCTCTTTTAAACGTCATATTAACAATGAATTAACCTCTTTTAAACGCCATATTAACAATAAATTAACCTCTTTTAAACGTCATATTAACAATGAGTTAACCTCTTTTAAACGTCATATTAACAATGAATTAACCTCTTTTAAACGTCATATTAACAATGAATTAACCTCTTGAATAAACCTCATGTTCACAATGAATTCACTTCAGGGTAAACGTAAGGACTGGACCTGCTGAAGAAAGGATACTGTTGACTGGACGACACAGTGTTGCTGACATTTTCTGCGCTTCTTGCAAAACCACTCTCGGCTGGAAATATGTAAGTCAGCTCTCAGTTTCTCTTTACAATGTTTTAAGTTGAAGATTTTAGATGTTTTCTGATCTGAGTAAAGGAGTAAAGAGTAAAAACAAACTATTTTTAGAACGTCATGAGTCCTAATTATCTTTTAAAAGTTAGCTACCTGCCGCTATAGCAGACTAAAGCTGATAACAAGGCATGCTTTAGCCGAGTTCGGCTTTGATGACAAATATTATCATTATCAGTCTTTATAGTTCTAGAATATTGTAGAACCTGGCCACTGGTGGGAGGTTTACTCAGGTTGAATCAGGACTTACTGGTTTAGTAAATCCGGTTTACCTTGTACGCAAGAGAAAGAGAGAGAGAGAGAGAGAGAGAGAGAGAGAGAGAGAGAGAGAGAGAGAGAGAGAGAGAGAGAGAGAGAGAGAGAGAGAGAGAGAGAGAGAGAGAGAGAGAGAGAGAGAGAGAGAGAGAGAGAGAGAGAGAGAGAGAGAGAGAGAGAGAGAGAGAGAGAGAGAGAGAGAGAGAGAGAGAGAATTGGCATAATTGATAAAGCTCGGGGGAGAATTAGAATTGTGTTGAGATCTTAATTATGGAGCCAACCGGGTCCATGCCACTACAACCGGGTCCATGCCACGCTCAACAGGAGTATAATAATTAGTGTTGAGATAATTGAAAATTAGGATCATTTGTCTAGGTGCCTGACAGAAAAATAATACATAAAGATGGCTTAATAATAATAACCCTAAGAGTGTAGATCTCATAATGACCCTAATGAGTCAGCTGAAGTGACCGTGCATACGTGCGTCATGTCTGATTTCTGAAGTAGATAATCTGATATTAGGTTACTATCATCGTAAGAGAAGACTGCCTAATAACCTTTAAAATCTTTAAAAGACAGCCTAAGTGCCTATATACTAAGTTAAGTAAGTAGTAAAGTGCCTAAGAGGACCACTTTATTATGTTAATAGTTTTATTGGGCTAATTTCACGTCTCCAACCTATCTCAGTTGGCTATATCTTTGTTTCCAGAAGACCTAACTCCTCAGTACCGAATCTGTTTTGGCCATGTAATTCTTTAAAACGGGGGGTTTGTCGACTTTTCCGGTTTTGGAACAGTTCACTGTTCAGCCACACGCAAACCGTAACCACGGGTAAGCAGAATCATGTCCGACAGTGTGTCTGCTGGGTCCCACTCTGCAAAGATCATAATAAATGATCATTTATCTCTGTTTACCACAGCAACAGAACAAAAGTAAAATGTTTCTATAATAATTCCTACTATCTTCTTATTAATGTGACTACGCCCTACCATTGTGCATGACGTTATAGTTGGATCTATAAAATTGCTCGATTTTTCTAAAAATAAATCATGTACCATTACTTACCGGCCATTTGATCTCAGTCTACTGTAAAACTGTCAAAACTCTGGCGGTGATATTACTTTCTATAGTTTCCTCCCCACACTGCTATGCATCAAGAATAATCTCTTCCATTATTATATTATACATTGTTATAGTGACACAGTGACACAGTGTGAAAGTTGGGATAATTTATCAGGAATTCGGCAAACCTGCATCACGCGGAAATCTAAGATCTGGCATACAATACCTAATCAATCTAATTATATCAAACGTAATTTTAATTATCATCAATATGCCATCAATTGTTGTGATGTAATGAATAATATAAGATATTGGTAAGGTGCCAGGAAACTAGTGCTCAGAGGAAGCACGTACTTACTTAGATGATATTATTTTTTACGAAATTGCGGAACCGTCAAAGTAATAATTGAGCCTAGTTTACCCAGATTTACACTTGTAGTTAGTCAGTGAGATTGCCTAAATTGTGGGCGGTATTTTTCGCGCATTTTCACACGCCATCCTCTCATTTATTGGCTTTCACGAACGTTGAGCTGAAGCACTGCCCACTTCTATTAAATCTGCTACAGAGAGAAACTGCTCGTTGCCATGTTAAGTTAAATGAAAGTGCCTCAAAGGACAAGTACAGTTTCAGTTTTAGGTGTAATTTGCATCTGTCTCTAACTATCCGTTGGTAGTAGACGTTGTTTACCGAAGAGTCTAATTAGACTAATTGACTAATTAGATCTTTTATGCTGTAAATCTTCAACAATCTGTCATGTAGTGGAAACATATTCGTTTTATACTGGAAAAACGTTCAAATTTAGCAACGTTCAACTAACACAATTCAGATTCTATGTTCTACTTATGTTTTTTGTTTTGTTGTACTTCACTTTTACGTTTCAGATAACTAAACTCAAATGCATCATTATATTCATGTTCTTATCACAGCGTAACAAACCGTATGTGTTACTAACTAAACCTACCAATGTGTTATTTGTCAGAAACCTCACTTCGAGTCAGTAGTACCTTCTGTTGTAACAAAGGACTCCCTGGGGGTTACGTTACTTGTTTGTTCCGTCTACAAAAGTAATTAAAGGCTTCCTCTATATTAAATACGTACGAGCCTGCTCAGGGGGGATTGTCAGCCCATTAGCAGCAATTGTCATACGCAGTGGTGAGCCCTCTTTCCCAAGGGGCGACAGTTGTGAATCTGCCTTAGTATAAGTATCTTCTCTAAAATAAACATTAAGCATTTGTCACTGAAGTATCGAAAAGTAGCTACATGGACCCAACTGCCTTGAATCAAGTACCAACTCTAATTACCTATTATAGTTATTCGTATGTGTTAAATTTACCAGACAATGCTAACATTGTTCTAATTGTTTAAAATACATTATTAAATTAAGATCGACTCTTCATCTATTATAAAATTAAAATTTTAATTAGTTGTTTTTAAACAGTTACAACAGTTTAAAGTAATGATATATATTTTTAAATCAGAATTCGAGTCATTACACTGATCACGCAATGTCACCGGCTGTCACATTTTTTGAAATTGTGAGATAATTGCAGAAAAGCAACAGACCACTAAAGACTATTCCCCCAGGAGTTTGCGTTTGAACGATCCCAGAAGTACAAGGAAGGGAAGTTTATAATTGAGACTATACACATGGTCAAGGACAACGGCTGGGACCTGATGGCTCAATAACGACTGCCTTCTCCTTTGACGGCTATTTGATGAATTGAAGTGCTATGTCCTACAAAGAGGTACAGGCGGTGTATCTTACATCTGAAGTAAGTGAGCTAGATCCGAGATCTGAGAAACTTTATTGGCGTTACAACGAACTGCTTGAGCTGTATCCACTGGCCCACTTGTCTATTATATCCTGGCAACAGAGAGCAAACTGTTCGTTGCCATGGTAAAAACTGAAACTGTGAACATTCAAATGACAAGTGGACCAGTTTTCAGTTTTCAGTGTTTTTATGCATGCTGGTTCTCTAACTAATCCACGTTCGTAGTAAGGACGTTGTATTAAGACTCCTGTTAATTGAGTCTAATTAGACTAATTGGACTAATTAGACTCCTTTTAATGTTAGAAACTTCAACAATCTGATCATGGTACGTGGAAATCATATTCAGATTTTCACTACTGGCAAAATATTCAAATTTGAACAACGTTCAATAAACAATTTCAGATTTCTGAGGTTTCTACTTATGTTTTTGTTTTTTGTTTTTACTTTTACTTTTACGTTCAGATAACTAAACTCAAAATGCAGGTATAATATTTCAAAACTGTTCCGTTATTACAGCGGTAAATTAAACCGTTGTGTAACCTAACAACACTCTACCAGAGTGTGTAATTTGTCAGAAAACCTGCACTTCGAGTTCAGGGTAGTACCTCTTCCTGGTTGTGAACAAATGGGGACTACCCTGGGGGTTCCTACTGTCTGACTTTTCATGCTTCCGTTACAAAAGTAATAAAGGCTTCCTCTACTGAGTCGAGCACATTGCCTCTAGGGGTGGAGGGGTTGGGTCAGCCACATTATTGCAGCAAATTGTCCAATACGGCAGTGGCTGAGCCCCTCTTCTTCCCCAAGGGGCGAGCAGTTGTGCAAATCATGGCCTTAGTATAAGTAAGGTTCCTTCTCTGAAAATATAACATTAAGCATTTGTCACTGAAGTATCGAAAAGTCAGCTACAAATGGACCCCTAACTGCCTTGAATCAAGGACCAACTCTAATGTACCTATTATATTTATTCGTATGTTGTTTAAAATGTGATGAGACGAGATCAGATGCTAACATTTTAAGTTTTAAAAAGATACGATCTATTAAAAAGATACGATCCTTCAATCTTATCGTATTAAAATTAAATTTTCAGAACTTTAGATGTCGTGACTCTTCTAAAAGTTAAAAGTATTCTAAAAGTAAAATATTTAAATATTTTGTTTTTGAAAAAGAAATTCGATGTTATCATTTACATATCTATACCCATGTAAATAAACTATTTAATTTATTTAAATTTTCTTGAAGATGTCAGAATATCTTTAAAAATTTGTATTTGATTTTCCTTTGTACGAGTAATTGTTGTTGTAAGCATATATTTATTTGATTGCTAAACCTGCAAGTTTATCGAAAAATAATGACCAGTTTTTCAGATATCCTAATATTTAAAAACTATTTTGTATATCAACCAAAGTCGATATACGACCATAACCTTTAATATTCGTTAATTTAATGTTTACGAATGTGACTCATATTGCTTAAAAGGTATTACCAGAATTCCAGTTCAGTTTTTTAATGAAAACTTTGGGCTGGCCCTGAATCTTGGGCTGTGTCCCAGAAAATTTCAACAACGTTGATCGGAAATTTCAAAAGCAGTGTTAACTGCAAAAAACTTATATTTCTTCTCTGTGTGAGTGTATTCTGTTACATGTCTTTAGGACAGTCTTAACATTTCATAAGTTAAAATTGAAACTAATATGTGTGTTTAATTTCTTTTTAGTAATGATAAGATTAATTATACTTTTAGTAGTAATCTTATCATTTAATAATAATAATATATTTATTATTTAACAAACCCGGTATTAAGAAAATGAACAACCACCATTTTTTGTGACGTTGATTTTCTTATCAGCGGTAAATACGTCGAATAACGAATTGATACTAATTACTCCGGACATACAAATTATCCTCTAATTGAGCCAGCATAATTGTTAATCATTGAATTATCACCTCGTAAAATGTAATCGATTGAATTATCTCTACTCTAAAAGTAGCAAAACCAGTCCACCTGCTTTTATCCTATCATCCATTATAGACCTAGAGCAAGCCAACCAGGCGCCGACACTTATCTTCAATTATTAAAACCTGATAAATGGTAGACGTCTTTCTTTAAAAGTTGTAAGACGATTGTGTGCTGATAATGCAAGGAGAAATGACCTATTATCGGTCTCATTGTCTGATTTTCGCTTGAGACACTACCTTTTCTTATTGTCTCTGGCTGTTTTCACAGAATCTGGTCTAAAAATAATGTAATATTTCCTAAAAGAATGGCCGGAGTGTGCTTGCTACGATCTTGGTGTAATTATCAAAACATAAATCTCCAGTTTGGATATTGTCCAGACAAACTCTGCAAGTCTGTACCAGTTTTATTAACTGCAGGCAGCTATAATAAAGTAAATTAATTCTCCTAGACTATTCCATATGTCAAGCAGCAGAGAGTGTATCCCAGCCCGCATAGAGTGACTAGCCGTGTAATAATATAGGTCTGTTAGGAGTGCAAATCTAGTAATCTACACAAGTGAAGGGAGGGTGTGGTTATATTAAAGTGGCAAGGTGGATTATTGTCCCTGTAGACACACCTGCGTTACCACAATACAACTCTAATAGTTTATTGTAGTGCATCACCGTCTGTAGAACGTAGGGTCGTAAGTACGAGAGTTGAGATGGGATCTATTTTTAGCGATGCTCAGAGAAAATGTAATTTCTCCGAGTGTCATGTGCGGTAACGGTCACGAGAGCTCGTTTTCAAACTCTCGATCTCTTTGAGCTCAAGTTTTACTCCGGCTGGAGGTCACCAGCACGAGGGTTTGGCTAGACCGTGATGGCTGCAGATAGCGTGACTAGTCAGCTGGCTGATCAGCTAGTCCAGCTCGTGGTACAATACGTCACCGATAATTCGGTCTAATGATGTGTGCTATAGAAGCAGCTGTTGTTGATTTGGCAAGGCTCCAAAACGAATGTTGTGACGTTGCCAAAGCTTCATCTGGTGACTGCTAAGTACAAGGAAAGCTTGCACCGGATGGTTTGATTTACCCGAAGTGCAGAATTATCCTCCAATTAAAATAACTAGCCGAACTGTCATATACGGCATACGCACAATACGTCAGGTCGCTTTGACGTAAGCTAACCCTAAAACCCTCGGTTACAACAACTAGTCAGTAGACATCTGTCATATCCTCTGTGGGAGTCAGTGTGAAATGCCCCTGTTATTGTAGTTCATACCAGATCTACTGGAGCCGTTCCAATTACACGCCAATTAACAGGGGAGCCGTTAGACTTGCTCAATTTACGAGTCATTATAAAATTACAGCTAATAACCTTAACAAAATATTCAATTTGCTTTGTGTCGGGAAGATTAATTGTGAAAGGCTGGGCCAGTTGTAGAAAATTGTAACTTCCTGTTATGAACCCGGATTAATTAAGTTAATTAGCGGCTTGGCACATGCTCATGTACTAACTATTTTGTCTGGACCGTATTTACCTATACTCTTGCCAATATTATTCTGTTTAAACTGGATAACATGCTATAGACAACAGTGAAATAAATTCGGAGTTTTTGAAAGAATTTTAACTATTCTATATAGTTGGCTTGATATGCACGAGTATCTTATACATTCTCCTTGTTAATACCGGCGATACATTTATATGCTCCTTGATAAACTAAAGTTCATCAAGCTAAACTGCGTGCTTTCATCCTTGAACAGTATCTGATAGTGTGACGGACAAGTCAATGAAAGTACTGCACTCCATATAAGGAATAATTGCAGCTGTTCGGTGGAGCTAGCAATACTGCAGGATACTATGAGTGTATTAGTTCCTGCTGTTATAGCACTGATATATTAGCAGTTTTCCTCCAGTGTAGGCCTGCAGCTGTGTAACGGTAAACACACAAGATGGATCGAGCTGTTTGTGTAACAATGGAAATACAATTTACCCGTATTGTGGTGGCTGTGTTAATAAGAAGGATAGAAACCCTATTGGTAAATAATACAAATAAATTAATTCTTGCCGGATATAAAGACTAGCGTAGTACTTCACTCTTTCCTTTTGGAAGCCCGGCATCGATTTTTGGAATCCAATCACATTTTATACAGCCCCGGTAGTTTTGCAGAATATTCATAACATTAGTGAGTGAGATGCACTGAAGTATTATGGATCGCAAATGACAACAACGCCCATTGCGTTTCGGCAACTAATGACGTGGATTTGTATTTGTCATAATATTGAAGTTGTGGACAGAAGTTTGTTTACTAGCAAAACTTCGAATATTCATTAGATAAGAGGATTAAATAAATCATAATAAATTTAAAATTCCATTGGTAATAATATGGTGAATATAGCCCACAAAGAAAAAAAAATTTAGACTACAGACTGTTTCTTAGTTTATGTACCACGAGTTGAGTAGGATTTTCCAGTTCCCTAGAAACAACAATGATATTCGATAAGTGCGTGATATTTGTCAAAACTCGATTCTCAGATTATTGGATGAAGTCCAATCGAACGATATAAACAAAGCTGAGGTCTACTCGGACCATTATATTTATGTAAAGTATTAAATTTACAACAGTTACTGCGTTGGAAATAAGCCGCGCGCGCGTGCAGCGCGCACTACAGAACCGCTATAACTTATCTAGCTGCTAGCGGACATTCGCTGTCAGGGAATCGCTGAAAGTGTTTTTGGTGCAGTGATCATGACTTCAGCCTCTGTGGACTGTGTTCTGTGATCAAACCTTCAGCCACTTTGATCAAGCCTCCACCCTTGGCAGTAAATAGCAATAAATTATATGACTGACATCTAATTACTCATTTAACCAGCCCTGTCACCTGTGATATATCAAGTTGACGAGAATACTTCCTTTATGTTGCATAGTACTGATCAGGACTGCCGATATTCACACCAAAATATCTATGTGTAGAAGAATGTTTCATCGTTAAATCATTCAAACCCAGTCTTTTACTACTGTCAATGAAAGGTGACGTATGACGTATGTATACAGGCATCGTAATACACCAAATAACGTGCAGTTGTCATGACAACATGCTATACCATGCACGTGGTAGCCCGAAAACTCCGATCATAATTCACTGACCAAATAAAATCCAATACATTGTTTTGATGATCTAAACGCTTTCACGATGTACTTCCTGCGTAGTACAGTCAACTACCTCCTCGGAATCAAAGATGAAGAAGATGATTTCCCGACAAGTTCCAATTCAAACAATCAACAGGTGAGAGGTGAAATACTATAAGTGTGAACCAGGACCCAAAATGCCAAATGTGTAGTCTTCTACACCATACACATCAATGCAACATACTTATTATTATTAAACTGATGTATTTTGCCAGACTGAGCAAAAAGATGTGAAAATCATCGAAAAGAACACCGATGATGGTGTCCTTGTGACAGCTGTAACTACAAAACGCAAGAGAAAAAATTGGAGTGAGTTTTATTGATGTTTGGCTAAACATTGCCAAATTATAATATTGTATTATATTATAATATTCACAGCAAACCATAATTCCTCTAATATCATTCTACACGGTTTACAAAATGTCTCCTCCTATCAGATAGCGCAAGTGGCAAGCATAAGGCTCATAAAGCAGCAGCCATGAGCCAACCTGCACCGAAGTTAACTACTAGCTCAAATCTAACGCTCCTGAATGCAGTAACAGAGTCACAAAGGTCGGAAAAACTAAAGAAGGGCCGAGAAAGATCCAAGAGAAGCCTCCAGAGACAGAACAAACTCCACAAAGCGCAACAAGAAAAGACCATTCGGCAAAATTTCAAGGCTGTGCAGTGAGTCTATCGATATGTGATGTGATGCAATGACCTGAAATGATTCTCATGAAAGAGGAAGAATATCTACTTTGTTTTAATAGAACTTGGTAATACACTATTAGGATCATTAGATTTTGGCACTTTCACTGACCACAGCGAACGTTTTACTAGCCCAATTCACCAGCTTTCGAGTTTCGTGCATGATCTCAGATCATAATAACACTAAAATTATGGAAATCCATGCATACAAAATACGTGCGCGACACCAGTAGATGAATCCATAAATTTGGAACATGGGCACATCACAGTATTGGCCGTATTTGAGTGCTGGGAAGGCTCAGTTCGGTTTTCCAAGATGGATATAGCCGTAAGCTAGGCCTAGGAGCCATCAAAAGTCGTATAAAATTACCCATGGAATGACCAGAAATGAACGAAAATGAACATTCTTCTCAAAGTGCTCCGAATGGTTTAAAATGGGTCGGAAAGTGTTCACATTGGTCCTAGGACCACTCAAACCAAGTTTGGGAATCACTGCATGTCTAGAACCGATGTTACCAATGTTCCAAAATGTTCCAATTTTGGGACAATAATCCTCCTGAGAATCCAGATTTTTGGAACATGGGCACATCGAAGTATTGGCTGTATTTAAGTGCTGGGAAGCCTCAATTCGGTTTTCTAAGATGGATATATGTAAAAAGTCGGCCTAAGAGCCATCAAAACTCAAATAACATTACCCATGTTCATGGAATGAACGAAAATGAACAAAAATGAATATTGTCCTAAAAATGCTCAGAACGGTTTAAAATTGGTCGGAAAGTGTTTATATTGGTTCTAGGACCACCCAAACCAAGTTTGGGAATCACTGCATGTCTAGAACCGATGTTACATATGTTCCAAAATGTTCCAATTTTGGGACAATAATCCTCCTGAGAATCCAGATTTTTGGAACATGGGCACATCGAAGTATTGGCTGTATTTAAGTGCTGGGAAGCCTCAATTCGGTTTTCTAAGATGGATATAGGTAAAAACTAGGCCTAAGAGCCATCAAAACTCAAATAACATTACCCAGGTTCATGGAATGAACGAAAATGAACAAAAATGAATATTGTCCTAAAAATGCTCAGAACGGTTTAAAATTGGTCGGAAAGTGTTTATATTGGTTCTAGGACCACCCAAACCAAGTTTGGGAATCACTGCATGTCTAGAACCGATGTTACATATGTTCCAAAATGTTCCAATTTTGGGACAATAATCCTCCTGAGAATCCAGATTTTTGGAACATGGGCACATCGAAGTATTGGCTGTATTTAAGTGCTGGGAAGCCTCAATTCGGTTTTCTAAGATGGATATAGGTAAAAACTAGGCCTAAGAGCCATCAAAACTCAAATAACATTACCCAGGTTCATGGAATGAACGAAAATGAACAAAAATGAATATTGTCCTAAAAATGCTCAGAACGGTTTAAAATTGGTCGGAAAGTGTTTATATTAGTCCTAGGACCACTCAAACCAAGTTTGGGAATCACTGCATGTCTAGAACCGATGTTACCAATGTTCCAAAATGTTCCAATTTTGGGACAATAATCCTTCTGAGAATCCAGATCTTTGGAACATGGGCACATCGAAGTATTGGCTGTATTTAAGTGCTGGGAAGCCTCAATTCGGTTTTTTAAGATGGATATAGGTAAAAACTAGGCCTAAGAGCCATCAAAACTCAAATAACATTACCCAGGTTCATGGAATGAACGAAAATGAACAAAAATGAATATTGTCCTAAAAATGCTCAGAACGGTTTAAAATTGACAAAAAGACGAAGACTGAACCCCGACACAACGACAAAATCCATTTTCATCTCCACCTGGTCCGTTAAAACGGTCTGAGTAAAGAAGTCCTACTGTAGAGTAATTGAGTAGTTTATTTTTATATACAGATTTTATAATATACAGTATTTTATAACATACAGTATTTTTACTAGATAATAAACGTAGAATTTAATTTGCTGTTTACTAAATGACTGTTATCTTTGTTTTCAAAATACAAAGCACACTCAAATACAGCTAGTGATGTCAAAAATTTATATCAAAATATTGGAGGATTATTAAAACCAAAATATTTGCCCAATAAAATAATTTCTGTCTAATTGTACATAATTCTGATTGCAACTTTAAGACCCTGTTGGATGAAAATATTGACTCTTTGCCACCATTTTTTAATCATTCTGAGCGCTTTGAGGAAAATTTTAATGTTCTATAAACTTGGGTAATATTCTTTGAATTTTGATGGCTCCTCTAGGCCTAGTTTTTTCCTATATCCATCTTAGAAAACCGAATTGAGGCTTCCCAGCACTTAAATACAGCCAATACTTCGATGTGCCCATGTTCCAAAAATCTGGATTTTCAGGAGGATTATTGTCCCAAAATTGGAACATTTTGGAACATTGGTAACATCGGTTCTAGACATGCAGTGATTCTCAAACTTGGTTTGAGTGGTCCTAGGACCAATATAAACACTTTCCGACCAATTTTAAACCGTTCTGAGCATTTTTAGGACAATATTCATTTTTGTTCATTTTCGTTCATTCCATGAACCTGGGTGATGTTATTTGAGTTTTGATGGCTCTTAGGCCTAGTTTTTACCTATATCCATCTTAGAAAACCGAATTGAGGCTTCCCAGCACTTAAATACAGCCAATACTTCGATGTGCCCATGTTCCAAAAATCTGGATTCTCAGGAGGATTATTGTCCCAAAATTGGAACATTTTGGAACATTGGTAACATCGGTTCTAGACATGCAGTGATTCCCAAACTTGGTTTGAGTGGTCCTAGGACTAATATAAACACTTTCCGACCAATTTTAAACCGTTCTGAGCATTTTTAGGACAATATTCATTTTTGTTCATTTTCGTTCATTCCATGAACCTGGGTAATTTTATGCTACTTTCGATGGCCCCTAGACCTAGCTTGCAACTATATCCATCATTTACAATTATTTTTGGCACTATTTAGAGCTTATTAGGGCAAATAAATGCATGGGACACTTTTGGGACAATTTTGGGACATGTTCCAAAAATGTTCCAAAAATGTTCCAAAAATCTGGATTCATCAACTCCGCGACACTGCCCAAAGTATGACGCGCGCTACGTAAAGTATCCAACAGATTCTCAGAATGTTCAGGTCCCGATCTGCGTGCTTGGAGACAAGGGCTTAAACAAACACAAACAAAACACTTCCTTAATTCTTCTATGATACACAATTGGACACATACCAGCACCAGCTGTCCTAGAGAATGAAACGTTGTAAAATTGCACATATCACAAATTTGTTCTATTAGAAATGTAGCTCGATCAAAGGCCAAAGTTAACTGTGTACACCAATTCGTATAAACCGCTAAATTGTCATCAAATGAAGCAAGCCAATCAACAAAGCGAATCAAAAGTACAAAAGAGGCCCCAGTAACTGCACTTTAAAGGGGAAGACTCACCCGCATCTGATCAATCGAGGGTTCAATAAAAACCACTTTGATAATTAGGAGGAAACATTTGGATTAAAATTACAATCCCCGATTAGAAAACAGCAGGAACACCACGCAAATTACACCTAGGAAACTATGTGGAAATGTACTTTTAATGTACATTATGTTACCAACCGCCTAGCTAGGAGGCTTTTTCCTTGACACTACCGCTTTATTTCATTGTACAGGTGTAAAACTGGTATCGTGTACTAGCCTGTGAGCGTGTGTGTGTATAATGTAACCAGGCTCCTGGCACATGGCATAATAGTAATGGTGTTGATACAAGTATTACTAGAACTTATTACTTGAAGACTTCTAAAATAAATACAAATAATAAAGTTAATTAAACTTCTTCCACTATCTAAATACTAATTAACACCAAGTATTCAGTGAGCGACTGGTTAGAATTCTGGAATTAATTCATAAATATTTTGAACACAGATCATTGGCCTAAAAGAATCTAAATCTTATTAAACTTTTAAAATTTCCTCCTTTTATCTCTTTTATAAATTAAATATTTGGTTATCAACTTTAGGCGTGCCTACATAAGGCATGTATTATAATAAATTGATAAATATTTGGGCACAATTTTGAGAAGTCAAGATTTTGTAAAGAAGTGATGCTCGAATGTGTCCGAAAATAGTGTATGTACGTGTTTGCAAATATTTAAAACTTCACTTGCACATATATAATAGGACTGTAAAAAGCGGTGTGCCTGATAAAAACTTAACAAGCAATACTCTTTAAAGAAAGCATGTTATTTGCGATGAGCGGTAACGGTGCAAACTGCGATGATGCTGTGCTATGGCGATACACAAAGTGGCTAATCAACTGAAATGCCAAACATAAAATACTGTTATAAAATCTAAAGCACTGTTAGTATAGATATATATAATAAGCGAACCCATACTGCGACCTATTGATTAGCCCAAAGTTGTTCAATCTTAGCGATATCATTTGATAAAGAAAAATCCAAAGTTAAATTTGATAAAGAAAGTATATTAAACCATACAAAAAAACATATCAACCATACAATATCACACAAATATGCATACAAGTAAATTAGTTAAGATATTTAGGAACTATCAACTATTCAATTGTCTTTGAATTAAATGTTTGTACTGATCAAAATACGCCTTGAACTTCGAAATCGACTTTAATAAACGTAAAACACTAAAAACACCCGCTATGGAAATATGTTATACATCCCTGCTAGGATGTGTATTGTTAATTAAACAACTCCTTGTACACTACACTCTTCATCCACAGCAGATCTCACGTTTAACACTCAAACAGTTCTCTAGGTATTTACACGCACAAAAACAAGATAATATCTCTACAGAAACAAGATAATATCTCTAAATATATATATCTTCTCAAACTCCAGTATCGTCAAGTTTCGGGTACAGATACTGAGGACTGCCCGACTTTGTAGTTGACAGGGACTTTCTTTCCTGTAGCAGCATTGTTCCTCTCGGCTCCTGCGAATACTGGTTTAGTACAGCCTCTAGTGTGATATTTAATCAATCTATTGTGTAACACGAAGAAGTCATAATTTACGACCTTAACAGCAACTGCAGACCATGCAAATATTGAATTAAATAGCATATTCTCAGGTCAGAGCATGCTCAGTAATATAATGTTTTATGTTCTAAAATATGTTAAAAAGTAGATTCTATTCGGGAGTAGTAATTGGGGGACTAAGTTTTAACATAGCATACCGTTTATATTTTTTCCCAAAATTAATGGTGTTGAAGAGCTCCATCTATATCTTCTATGTTACAACCAAACGCCTGTACGTAAATTACGATTCTACTACTAATATACAAGACGTAATATAACACGATTAATAAATCGCTATATTGAATCGTATCCGAATCTGAAAGTACATGTATGCTTGAAATTTGATATGTATTGCAGGTTGCTCTACGATCACGAGTGTGAATTTTTGGGTTTACATATAAGCATATATTGGCCCCAAATGCAAATTTGACAAATGTGAACAAAACTAAAGCTGGTGCGCAATGAAAGCCAATTGCCCGGTAAGCTACTCATGATATGTACACTATCTTGCAGGACTCACATTCCAGCACTGAAACACTAGATGAACCACCTAAAAGAAAAGTCAAGGATCGGAGTCGAAGGCGACAGTTTACTAAATATTAGAAACTCTTGAAATTTATATCTTTAGAAAAAAACGGATCTCTTAGAGTGTTCACTGATTGAAGATCTTACCAAATTACCAAAAACATACTTTCCAATTATTACACTGTAGTACCCTCCATAGATCCGGTATCTTCAACTTCACAATTATCAGACCCCTGAACGAATTATCAAATCTAGTGATTATTTTCAAAATAAGATGTGCTGTATCCTATCTCACAGCTATGCTCCAAACATCGTACGCGTAACAGGTTCGTGAAATAAAGTGAGCGACAAACCCAAAGCCAGTAGAACTGAAATTTTAGTCCATGATCTTGATGGCATGATGATGTACAAGTCATGAGTAGTTTCTGTACCACATAATTCAATGACGACGAGATTCGCAAATAAATTTATTAGATTAAAATTGTTCAAATTTTTAAAATGTACTGTTTCTTGCATTTGTACGTTTTCTATCAAATCTTTAAGACACCCATCACGGTACTATTGCGAAATTTAAAAGTATGTTAAAACTGAGGCTATGATTATTGTTTTATCAAAAAGAACCAAAACCAAAGTTATTTGGCCGTAATAATGTTGTCGGCATGTCCAGTTTGACTGAGTAATATATTTCGGTATTTTTGTATTTGATCAATTTAAAAACGCTCCTTTTTTTCTTACTTCGATGATGATTATTCCAATTACAACTTCCCGATCAACCTTTAAAAAATAGAGATATAAAATAATTGGGAACCATATGGAAATCCACTGGAAATCTCGATAGATCATGCGGATTTTTCGAAACTTTAAATGTCATGAAGTCCCTTTAATTAAGTTTACATTTAGAGAAATAGGACACAGTGAAAACAAGATCCGAGGTTAGCTGGATAATACTAATCCTAGGTTTAAAATGCTGAGACAAATAAAAAATAAACCACATGCACAGGAACATGTATACATACACAGGCACGCACAGCGGTGAGGGAGGCCGGGGGGTGATGGGGGGGGGGGGGGGGGGGTATTGATTTGTTTACCTTTTTCTCTGCCCCACTTGAACCCAAGACTTTGTCCAAGAATCCAAGATCGTGTTTATCGTCAAGCCAGTCCACAAATAAGGAGATAGGAATCCAAAATATGCTGAGGTATTAATAAATGTTACAATTTAACTAGAAATATGGTAATATTACTTTAGTTAACTATACAAATTAGGTTTAGGTGATAAGATTATAGTATCAGTTCTCAATTTTAATTACAACTTTGTGCCACAGATAACATAAAGATAGGTAGACTACAAATCCGATTTTTATAATAAGTTTTAAATGTTCAGAGCATGTAAATGATTTTATCTATTTGTGAATGACGTACCTGGTAAAGACGATAATAACGAAGACGATGTTATTTTTAAACCATCTAGCGAGCATGTTAGCGTCTAGCCTATCCATCACCTCCCAGAACTTCTCCTGCAAATCTTGAGCACCAATCTACCGGACAGAGTAAGATAAGGTTCAGAGATAAGGTTTAAATGTACAGGGGGGGGGGGGGGGGGGCAAAAGTCAGTACCCACACGTTGGGTCTTATACCACCGCCGTGTTTTATATTTGAGAGTTGTTGCTTTGCAGATGGCATACTGTACCTACTTGTTCAAGGATTCCGTCACCAAAATTTGAAAATTCGATTTTTGGGGGCCACACCCAATCAACATTGAATTGCTTTAATACTGGTGTTTGTGAACATATTAGAGACTCCATTGTAACACATTGCAATAGATCATTTAATCCGGAATATGATCTGAAAAGATGGTGCGGAACGGATTTAAAATGACGAAGTTATCAAGCAATTTGTCACCGTAATTGGGCTCTCTGCACGATTTGTCGATTCCCGTAATGCGGATCTAGCCTTAACCCGATGACACGTAATGAACAAACTCGTTATGCTTCATATATAATATCTCGGTCATCTGAGAAGCTAGAACTCTCAATTTTTTTTCAGGACAAACGTAATTCAAATAATAATAATAATAATAAGTAGGAATTTTGCCCGAATTTATACATCGCTTTATAGCCATAAAGAACTCAAAACCCAAAGATTCAGTTCAAACCATCTAAAGCGACTCATGAGTAACATGTACATAAGAACTTATTTTTATGAAGTATGGATTTTATGAGAAAGGTAATACATGATACTTATACAAATACGTTTTCAAAGAGATGAGTCTTTAGTTTCTTTTTAAATAAGACGATATCGGTTAGTGTTCTCAATTGATAAGGAAGCTGATTCCAAACAGAGGGTCCACAGTAGCCAAATACCATTCAAACTATCTAATAAATGCGAAAAAGCGAAAATGAACCTTCATATTTGAAGAAAATGAAGACAAATATTTTCGATTTGACAAATTCCTCGAACCAGTGGTGGTAGTAAGTCATACCAAAAAGAATTATTTCAATTGGGCACTCAGTGATTGAGCTATTAAGGCCAACGTATGGGTACTGACTTTTGCCCCCCCCTGTACATTCGTAAAAATTTCCCTAGCTCAGCTCAGGGGAAATGATAATTGATACATATCACAGAAAATGTATTAGCTGGATTGTTGTAAAAAGTGAAAGTTAATTTTCAGAATGTCAGACTTACGATGCATATACCGGCATTACAGTTTCCAAGACCACAGATTTTACCATCAGCAAGATTGTCAACTACCTGTGTGTCAGGGTTTGTGAACGGTTTGCACTCAGCTTCTTCATTGTCTTTACAACAGTGCTGACACTGAAATGAGCATTCGTTAATTAAAACAACAATAGCATGTAAATAGTTGTGTAGAATATTGATTGAATAATGTTGGGGACTATAATTCAATAGTTCAGACGAACATTGCTTAAACAACCGTGAGAAAAAAACAAGTTTCAGCTAGAAATAACTAAATAAGTTGATTATAAGCATGTAAATAAGATTTTAAAAACTCACAACATCATCTTCAGCACAAAGACACGGTATTTTACCGTAGTATTCGCACAGATTTTGACAGTCACCATCTCTACATCGACCATTGTCAAAACATATGTCCCCTTTTGATACCTCAGATCCGGGCATACACTCCCAATTAGTGCTGCAGGCTAAATTAATCATTTTTAAATAAAGAACTACTGCGCCTTTCAAAAATGTAAGTATATCCATCTATACGTCCCAGGACCTTTGAATAATCGTTTCTTATCAATATTTGATCTGACTATTATAACAGGCGTAATCAATAAATGGGCTCATTATTCATTATAATTCAAGGCTGCATCGATATAAACAAATACAGCCAAAAAATCTGGACATACGAAGTTGAGTTGACTTTGCAGGTGAAGTCCTTGTAGCAGTGAATGTTCTTATCAGTGCTCCACCCTGTCTCTAGACACACTTTGTTGAGCTGGTATTTGCAGTGTTTTGCAGTCCCCTCCTCTCCGCAGCACCCGTCGTTGATTGGCTGAGAAAGAAGTTTAATGTTATCGAAATGTTTGTGAAAAACGTGCAAAATGTCGAGAAAATTGTTACAATGACTCTCTACTTACTCCTGTAAGAGAATATAATGAAATTAGGAACCAGTTGTCTATCTAATACGAACCAGCTGCTGCTAATGGAAACATGATCCGGATGAGCTTCTAAATTCTTCACATCCTATTTAAACCATGATATTACACGAAATGTATTTGTGCTGAGGAAGTACAAGGTAGTTTCTACTCAAGTCTTACCTCACACTCGGATCCACTGGTGAATTTACAGTTTTTACAACAATCCGACGCCTTGTTACCCTGGTCGCATTCCTCTCCCTCTTCCACCGCTCCATTACCACATACCGATCCAACTGCTTTAGTGAAACAGTCGTCCCCTTTAGCGCGGAGTACCTAGGAATGTAGCGAATTAGTGACATAATGAAGTGAAATAGCTTGACAATATTAGCTGATCTTGAGTCAGGCAATACTTGAAACTTATACATTTTGAATGAATTTAAGATCTGTTTATTGATTAATTAATACTTACGTCATTAATAGCTCGCACACTGCAAGGAGAAAAGTAATAGTTGTTAGCCTGAGACCCGTCAACTGCAGCGGGGAACATCATGTATCTGTTACCACTTGGGGCGCACTCCGGCGAGCTGTCGCTGTCATGAGAACTGCCCCAGTTGTGCCCAAATTCGTGGCCTGCAAACAAAAAAATACATATTAAATACGTTGTATTGTTCATTATCCCTTTCGACCCTTGGCCTTATTTTTATCGACCAATAAAGACAAGATGCAAATAGCAAACATATCTCCAGTGCATAGTTACCTGTGACAAAGAGAAGTTCGGACGAGAGAACAGTTCTGCCATAATTGTTAGCAGTCGACAAACCAACATTCAAATACTTTGTTCTACCCGACCTTGGATCTCTGTATGTCTGTGTACAAACACCTCCAACACGATTACCAGAGGGGGTCCCAACGTAAGCCAATCCCAGCACTCCACCAGAGAAATCATAGTTCGTAAAAAGATGAGCTAAGCAATAATCCGGCCGCCATTCCTCAAAAGCAAAGTTCTTGAGTAGGATGGAGACTGATGCTCGACCGTTATCGACATATTTGTAGGAAGTTGTGTCTGTTTCCTCGTCATCCATTATTACTTCGACATACTTGACTGTGAAGCCGTAGTCTTTGTAATCTGCACTGTTGTCGGGGTCTAGCGTCTGTCTTTGGTAAAGCCCATCAACTTGCTGTACAAGGTTAATCATGTAGTTGATTGTAGTACCTTCATTCATCCCATGCAACTCGAAGAATTTGTAATCAGCGATGAGAGCTAGGGGACAGCGTTTCTTCTTTTCTGAGTCCCGTTTCTTTCTCGAGTATTCAAATCCCTCCTCCACGTTCACTGGTGTTTTTGGTATCATGAATTCAAAGTCTTTGTCAGAAAAACCAGTTTGGCCTGCATGAGACTCATGCCCACAAAAATGACCTCCATCCTCAGGCTTAGTCAGATTGAATTTGACATCAGAGAGTTTGTATGCAATCATGTGAAATCATGAGGCTCTTTGATGTGTTTATCAGATGGCTCGATGAAGTATTTCTCATGATCAGAAACTTGAACACTTCCATGGATGATATTATCTTTTATGTGGATAAGGACTCTGCTGCTAGGATCATCTACCAGGGACCCTTCCAGGTACTCTTCTACATTAATAGAGCTGACCTTTTCACCACCTTTAAACTTGTGTTTGATTACCAAGTCGGGATGGAACAGGCTTGTGTGAGGCTGCAATGAAGCGTGGAAAACTTTGTTTTGAAGCTCAATCCTCACATATATTTTCATTGCAGATACAACTGTGAAGTTAGTGACATGTTCCAAATAGACTTTGTCCTTGGCAAGCTCTTCAAAGTCATAGAGAAATTGGTTGAGGTGTTCTCGATAGCCTGTTGCGAGAGAAGCGCAAGCTAAAAGTAGTAATACCTCCTTCATGGGGTGTACCTATAGGCTGTAACGATTATAGTTATAAATCATTATATTCATAATTAACAATGTAGTACAACGTCGATTGTAAATCTTTCAAAATTTCACATTGCATTATTGCAGCATTCTCATAGCTCCAGCTAAGATCCTTGAAAAAATTCTAACAGAACTTTTGTAACTGATAAAATGACCACATGTTGCCTGTTAGACAGGTAAATTCCATGAGCCCGTCTTATATGCCCATAATATGTTACCCTTAAATTGGAAGTGGTGAAAGTGGTTTATGTGTGTCAATATTACCTTCTCTGATGTTCTAATTGCATTTACATTTAGATTTTTCTTACATTAGAGATAACCTTTGAACCATTTATCGTCGGATGACGTGCATTGTCCTTGTTTGGTGTAGAAAACGAAAGTGATACATCATTTCAACACAAATAGTTCAAACGCGATTAAAAAGTTTCCTGCGATACTCCAAAGATAAATACAAAATACAAAGTTCAACTCCTTCCACAGTCTAAATTCTAAATAATATTCAGTGTTGAGTGATTGTTTGGCTAAACTTTTAAATTTTGTATCAATTATGTGCACTTGCTAGAAGAACGTTAACAAACAAAGGTGGACAAATTCGAGATAAAATACGGGTCTAATTTTTGGTAAAATTCGAGATATAACACCTTCTCAATTCTATCAGCCAGTCAATCACCTTTATGTTTCAAGATAAAAAGTAAAGTGTCAAAAGCATTTACACATCTTAATAATGAATCAATATGTATAAACGCAACTAAATCTGAATTGTAATATAAACTCTCATATGTCATAATTTTCTACAGCTTCATTTGTTAGATTTTAAAAGTAAGCATTGTTAATCTTCTCATCGTCATAATGTATTTAAAAATCGATAAAAATCTTTGCAGCTAAACATTTTAAGAAATTGAAATTTGAGTAGGAAAGTTGAGTGTGGTTGATAACTACACTACGTTAAGACTGTACTAGTGTGTTTGATAAAAGTTAGCATGCATTAATAAAAGTAGCATGTTATGCATGACGTATGATGAAGTGTAAACGATATTACATTCGTGAAGGATTTGTCTATGAATTGCGAATATTGGATAACTATGGTGATCACACAGATAGGCAAAACTTTAGATCATCATAATATTTTGAAGTACCGAAAATAGAAGACGACTAGGTATTGCATGAATATACAGTATAAGAGCATGCAGAGTGAAAAACCCGAATAATTAGCGATTAAAAGCCATTAAAGTAATCAATTAGAATTAGCCCAAACTCAGTAAATATTAGCGACATCATTTGATAAAGAAATTTCAAAAATAACAACCATACAAAAGCGCAGAAAACATCACAAAATACATAATTGCACATATTATGTACATTTTATAAGCAAATCGATTTGGTCATTTTACGCGAAACTAAGTTAATATAAATCTATATTATATATATCCCTATTGAACATATTATACGTATACGTATGAAAAATTGGCCGTAGAAAGCCACACTAAATAGCAAAATCTCGGCTAACTAGAACGAGACATGATTTTTGTAAGAAGCATGATTATAAGCTTGATTATAATTTTTGGATGAAATCCCAAAATCATGATTTAAAGTTTGTGAAAAAGCCATAAAGTGAAATTAAATTTTTGTAGCTGCAGGCGAATTGTGTGATTATTCAAATGATTCAAACCAATGGGGATCGCCCTTTAATATTTAAAGAATGTTTAAACTTGTTCAACTTTCACAGTTGACTTGAAAAATTAGAAATAAAACGTAAAGCAGCTAAAATACCAGCGTTGAGTCATGGCATACAAACACAATATAATACATTCCAGCGTTATTAAAAAATGTGTATATTATTCAGTAACGTTTTATTCAGTGTATACTGTATAACAAAGTATATTACTAAATTTAACTCAACTTAAACAACACTCAACATTCAGCTTTATAATAACGGTAAACACTAAAATAATGTGTGACATGGGCAGGTAATGTAATTGTATCTACACACAACTTGATAGTATCTCTAAAGCTTGATAATATCTCTAAAACATGATAATATCTCTAGTAAAACATGATAATGTCTCTAAAACATGATAATATCTCTAAAATATCGCCTCAAACCCCCGTATCCTCCACATCCTCCAGGTTAGGGTAGAGATCTCTCTTCTCCTGGACCAGCAGCTGAGTTCCTCCTCCAGCTGACTTGTCAGCGTTAGGCTGAGGATACCATGTACTGGGTTAGTTGTAGACTTACGATGTGAAGGTCAAATATCAGAATATCGTCAAATGAAAAGAATTGTTGTACTACAGTTTATGAAATTCGATGTTTTTCAAAATTTTTTTCAAACATTATTATATATAACGATCAGCATTCAGCGTTAATTCGCAATTAAAACTCCAGCAGATGTTCAGCGAAAAAACAAATCAAGTTTTTATGATCAGAGAATTAACTCGATTAAAGTTATATTGTTATTTATCTTTTAAAATATTTATGTCAGCCCTTCCATGCGTCATTTTACAAGGTCGTTTCCCGTCTTTTTCTGTTTTCACTATAATATGAGTGTATGTAGCAACAATCAACATGCACATTGCATACTCGAACAGAAGCAGATAATGAAAATTTAAAAGAGTTGTTCAGTTTCACACTTCTAACAAAGCTGCAAAGCTCGTTAATAAAATAAAATTAATCAATAAAAATGTCCGTTGTGTCACCACGATCCATTAAGTACTGTAAGAGTGAGCTTTTAAGCCTGTATCATTTATAACTATACTACACAAGTGACGACACCACGGTTGTAAATCATACATATTGCAAAAGTCGCATCTTCTTGCTACAGAGTAGCTACAGAATTCATGAAAATAAAAAGACGTTATAAATAAATCTAAAATAAAGGTTACAACAGACACGTCATGCCAGATTAAAGTTGCGTAGTGACTAAAATAATTGTGCTGTAACGGTCTAAGAATTAGATTGAGATGCTTTAAAATGACCAAATCACAAGACTGAAAATACTCAAAGAAATGTCAGGCAGAATAAGAAAATAAGGTTTCATGGTATCATAGCAAGAATTAGAGACCAAACCAAAAAGAAACACAAACAAACCACGGCCACCCATGCAGAAATAATGCAGGAGAAGATCACAAACACACATACTTATTATATCCTAAACACAGAAGTTGGGCTAAATAGTGCTGCTACACTGCTGACGATTCCTGGATCTCGCGAGTTTTTTCGTCGCTCTAGATGTGGTGAATTAAGTGCTGTGACATTTAATATTCCACCTCCCCCTACTGTGTATCTGCTGCCTCATGGCCTGACAGCTTGGAGGAGGCGATACGCTTTGTATTGACACGATAAAAGGATAAACCAGCTGTAATATAGCAGTCAGATCTGTACATTATACATTATACATTGTACATTATACATTGTACATTATACATTGTACATTATACATTGTACATTATACATTGTACATTATACATTGTACAACTGTCGCGCGTCAGTACATACGTGCGTCGCCTCCTCCTCGGGTCGTCAGTCACAGGAGGCAGAGACACTGATATAATGTCAGTTTGCAACACTGTACCTGTCAGTTGGTAGGTCTGTCAGTCTGTCAGTTTGTTAATCATACAGTCGATTGAACGTCGGTTATTTGTTCAGCTCGGCGTTTTAACAGCGGGTCTTTCTGTACAAACTGCTACAATTATGCGGAATATTATGCGGAATATTATATATAATACATGATGCACATTGTACATTGTACATTTTACATAGAATGCTAAAAAGTTAGGGAGCTTAAACTAGTCAGGGTATTGTCATTATGATCTTAACTTTCAGGTCCATTTCAAATAAATATAGTATTTTCTTGTGTTATGATTCCTCAATCCTCATTGCATTGGTAACTTACCTTCCTTTCCTTATCACTCGAACCCAAGACCTTGTCAAAGTACCCAAGATCATACTTATTGTCCAGCCAGTCGACGAAGAAAGAGATTGGAATCCAAAATATACTGACGGGATGATACTTTCAGTAAACTAGAAATAAAAACAATATATATAAATTACAAACCACCCGGCACCCTGTTACAGGTAAATGTAAACCAAATACCCTTTGAATTGAACTAATAAAGAAGTGATGGTTGTGGTACTGTTTCCAGTGCTAGCAACTATAATCCTACCTGGTTAAGATGATAATAGCAAAGACGATGTTGTTCTTGAACCATCTAGCGAGCATGTTAACGTCTAGCCTATCCATCACCTCCCAGAATTTCTCCTGAACATCTTGAGCGCCGATCTACCGGAGAGTTTACAAACTTTAATAGTACTTAAATGAAATGGAGCACACTCTAATACTAAGGTATTAGTAATACATTTGTAATACAAAGGTGTTAGTAATACATTTGTAACGCAAAGGTCTGGAAACATTATGAAACTTTTAAAATAAAAATTAAATACGAGTTTCAAACTTCCTAATATTTAACTGAAATCAGGTTAAAATAGTAAACTTTAAATCTGCGTTTATATTTGTTATTAGAGAGTTTTAGCTTTTGTATCAAGTACATTATTTGGCGATCTTTGGTAACATGTGCTAATGTTAACCCCGGATTTAAATTTAATAATAACTCCACTTTAAAATGAACATTACCTTGCAAACTCCTTCGTCACAATTACCATTGCCATCGCCACATACTTTACCATTAGAAAGATTATCAACCATAGTTGTGTTAGGGTTCGGGAATGGTTCACACAGCCCTGTGTCACTATTTTTACAACACTGCTTGCACTGCGAGACAATAGAGGGTTTATTAAGAGGATTGCAACTTTAATGTATGATATAAATAGATAATAGTCTATTGTGTATATACATACGTATATATCTGTATATTATATACGTATAATTAATGTATGAACAAGTAATAGAATAAAATGCAAAGTAAGCTGAATGGTATATGCTATACCAACAAGGTACAGGTAAGTTACCAGTTGGAACTCTCTGTGTAATCATTATAGTATATGCTATACCAACAAGGTACTACTCATACTCTGGTAACTCAGTATAACCTGTGTAGTGTCATCACACGTGCACTTGCCCACACTTCCAATTAGATTGAGTACTGATTTTCATAATCACCGAAATAACCTGCTACTTATTACAACATAAATCCGTTCTAATAAGACTTACAACATTGCTTGGTAATAATTTATCTGGAAAGTCCGGGTCTGGCACAGGGGGAGAACAACGACAAGGATCACGGCCGTAAAACGCGCACATTCCCTGACATATACCATCGTTACATCGCCCATTGTCAAAACATACGTCCTCATTTTTAACTTTGTCCCCGGGCATACATTCCCACTTTGTACTGCAGGATACATTTATCATTGTATGTACATTAAATTATTCAAATTGACTTTCGTAAAATAACATTTTTCTTGCAATCGAGTGAAAAATTACGAAGGCCAGTATTTTGTCAGGAGAACCCATGAAAAATGTAAACTTATCAATAAACAAACCTAGTAGAGTTGACCCCACATGTGAATTCCTCGAAACAATGAATGTTGTGCTCTTCCTCCCATCCTGTTTCTAGACACAACTTGTTCGCATGGAACTTGCAATGCTGAGGTGTGCCTACTTCTCCACAGCACTCTTCGTTCAACGGCTGTTAGAGTCGTTATTGTTAAATTACATCAAAATGTTATTGAAATGGAACTTTTAGAAGAAAATTAAATACCCACGAGTTTTAAACATTTATTTCTCATATTTAACTGAAATCGCGTTATTGAATTGCAGGCCTGTTTCTGCTTAGGTAGTTAAAGAAATAGCTTAATGGGATTTACCTCGCATTCGGAGCCTCTGGTCAGTTGACATTTTGTACAGCAAGAAGTTTCCTCCATTCCCGGGTCACACTCTTCGCCATCTTCTACCACACCATTACCACAGATAGCTGCGTTTGGTTTGGTGAAACAAACATCTGCTTTTGAGCGTAGTACCTAGATATGGAGTCTATCAGGTAAGATATATTAATACCTATGGCTATACATAAAATAATATGCTAACTTTTGAACCCCATCTCTCTCCAATTTGTAGTATGATATGTCTCATTTTGTGGTCTGACCTGCCCCTTTTTAAGTTGTTATAAAATTATGTATTTGAAGTACTTACATCATTAATGGCTCGTTTACTGCAAGGAGAAAAGTAATAGTTGTTAGCCTGAGACCCATCAACTGCAGCTGGGTACATCATGTATCTGTTACCACTTGGAGCACAATCTGTCGATGTGTCTGAATCATGTGAACTTCCCCAGTTGTGCCCAAACTCGTGGCCTGCAGGAACAAATACCAAGCTTTAAAGAACAGAACTAAGTTTATGATTGGCACAAATTATACTGCCAACCAATTGGTGTGTTCAAGTTTTATTACAGAGAATCATACAATGGATAAAAAAGGTACAACACCAAAACAGTGGCGTAACGTTGCCTGTTGGCGCCCCCGCTGAAAAAGTACCCCCCCCCCCCTGTTGGCACCCCTCCCCTTTTGACGCCCCTCCCTAAATTTGAACAAATTATATGATTTTAGAGAATATGCCGGTAAAATCTCTAAAAAAGTGTGTTTCTAGATCAAAACGAGCAGTTTTGCTAGTACCGTAGTTAAGTTTTTCGAAATTGTCCAACATTCAAACGACAATTTGGTGCTAAGATGGTGCCCCCACACAGCTGGGTCGGCAAGGCCCTTCGTTACGCCACTGCACCAAAAGTCAATTACCTGTAACAAACACAAGCTCAGAACTCAACAGAGTCCGGCCATAATTAGTAGCTGTTGTTAGCCCAACATTCAAACTCTTTTTCTGTCCTGATACGTAATATGTCTTTGTGCAGATACCACCAACACGTGACTGAGATGGACTGGCAACGTAAGCCAATCCAAGCACTCCACCATCAAAGTCATAGTTTGTGAAAAGATGGGCCAAGCAATAATCCGGCCGCCAGGGTCCATATGCAAAGTTTTTGAGCAAGTCTGAGACACCTCTTTTATCTCCATTAAACTTGTAGGATGATGAGTCTTGTTCAGAAGTATCCATAACTACCTCAATGTATTTGACAGTGAAGCCGTAGTCAGAAAAATCTTCATCATCAGATGCATCCATGATTTGTCTTTTGTAGAGAGGATCAATCTGCTGGATAAGACCAATCATGTAGTTGATAGCACTAGCTTCATCCTCCTTATGTAATAAGTAAAATTTGTAATCAGCAATGAGAGCTAAGGGGCAACGTGTCTTCCTGTCAGAGTTTCTTTTCTTTCTAGAGTATTCAAATCCATCTTGTCCATTCACTGGTGTTTTTGGTATCATGAATTCAAAGTCTTTGTCAGAAAATTCAGTCTGCCCAGCATGAGACTCATGCCCACAAAAGTGACCTCCATCCTCAGGCTTGGTCAGATTGAATTTGACATCAGAGAGTTTGTATGCAATCATGTGAAAATCATGAGGCTCTTTGATGTGTTTATCAGATGGCTCAAAAAAGTATTTCTCTTGGTCAGAAACTTGAACACTTCCAGTGATAATGTTATCTTTGATGTGGATAAGGACTCTGCTGCTAGGCTCATCAACTAGAGATCCCTCCAAGTACTCTTCTATATTAATTGATCCAAGTTTATCACCATCTTTAAACTTATGTTTGACCACCAAGTCAGGATGGAACAAGCTTGTATGAGGCTGCAATGAAGCATGGAAAACTTTGCTTTGTAGCTCAATCCTCACATATATTTTCATTCCAGTTAGAACTGTAAAGTTAGTGACATGTTCCAAGTATACTTTCTCTTTGGCTAATTCTTCGAATTCATGAAGAAATTGGTTGAGGTGTTCTCGATAGCTGGCTGCTGCAAGAGAAGCACAAGCAAAAAGTAGTAAAAATTCCTTCATGGCTTGCACCTGTAGAGATGGTGAGGCATTATTAATACAATTGTATTTTTCAAATAATATATAATATAATATATAATAATATCTTGATTTAAGTATAATTATTGGAATTTATGGATAATGGATATACACCATTTTTCAGGATCTTATGACCTTTACTTTGTCAATTATAAAGTTAAGAGCAATATGAATATGAAATAATAAAGCCAAAATATCCCATAGCCAAGGCTATGATGTAATTTGCAATTTGCATGAAATCTTTACTAGTACCAAGGAACCAGGTGGGTAGACAAGGTGTCAGAAAAAGGCCAAATTAAACATTGTATAGATTTGGCTTTGATTAGATATAGTAAAATTCATAAGCTTCTATGTTCACAGACGTAAACAGACGACTGGTGTGGTTTAACCGTTTGGTATGGTTCAACTGTCGAATTAAAACCTCTAAATTTGGTTTAAGCTGAACCAATTACTTATGAGTAAAAATGCTCTTCCTGGATTGTCGATTGTCCGGGGACCTCAGGTTCAAGAATTCAATCAAAACAATTTATGCAGATAAAGTCAGCATGGGTAATTGAACAGGCTCTGAGTTTATGTCTAAGTCAGCTATTTTTACAGCACTTTCAACTTTTACTCTTCAATCCTCTTTCTACCGAGGAAAGATGAAAGAAGGTGGACTCCAAGTGTAGTTACTTTTCATACTAGATCAAGATATTAGTTACTTTTCATACTAGAAAGATATCTTTAAACACTATTGTGTGAACTGCAATCGAGTTGAGTGACAGAATAAAAGATGTAAAACAATTCATAAAATATAATGCCCATTTGGTGTATGACTTTTTGTCCTTGACTGCTTGTTTGGTTTTGGAAGGACAGGTTACTAACGGGGCAAGGAATGCGCGTGCCTGGGAGCTTTTGCACACACCAAAACGCTAGTTCAGTTAAGTTTTTAGAGACAAGGCTCAAATTAGGACTATAAGAAAAATTGTTAGCAGACATTAGGGGTTCTGTTTAAAGTTTTTACTATCTAGGTTGCAGTCTTGTTGTGACAAAAAGTCTACACTAAAACATGTTTGATTTTATATTGTGTAGTTCAAGGATTAAAAATGCACCTTCAAGGTGGATATTGGAGAGCAGGCGAAAGATTATGGCTTAAATTTATCAATGGTTATAATAAGCTATAAATATTTTAAACTATACAATGCTAATTAAAAATTTCTTTATACTTCATTCTTAAATTAAAATTTAAAAATTCAAAAATATACATTCATTTTATTAAAACTTTCTCACACATACTTTACTCACAGGACAAGACTTGGAAAACAGTAGCCTAGGGTAATTTAATTTAGATGTGTGTGACCAGCCAGTTATAATGTTTGGAAAATAATATTTGTGCAGTCAAAGTCTTTTACGGTCCAATCAAGCAGGGCGTGGTTATGTTGATTAGCTAGTAGCGCACGTTTTAGCTTTCGTGCAGTTGGGTTGAGTCTTGTAGAGATGGCTATGTGGCAATAATCTTTATTATTATTATTATTACCAAACACGAGACCCATCTATCAAAAGTCTCATGCAACCTCATCCCTACCCCTATAATGGAGTAGATCATGTGTGTTGAACTCGACTTACTCGACTTAGGGCGGCTTCAACGTCCGAACAGAGATAGTTTTTTTCCAAATCTGTCTATCCAGCATGAGTTTGTTAATCTCCTTGCTGTCGTCAAGCCCCGTGTCCTTCCGAAGAATGTCAATATATGTGAGGTGTGGTCTTCCCCTTCGACGATGTCCTTGAAGGTGTTCCCAGAAGAGAAGTTGATGACTCAGAAGTTCTTCATGTCTGGCTAAATGACTTACCTGGGGACCTCAGGCTATCATGTTCATAAAAATATGAATAGAGATTAGGCGGAATGACAGGCTGAGCGCGGCCCAGTAAGCTTAATGACCTGCGAGTCTCATCCTCCGTGCAGCTATCTTATCAGATAGGTGTCCATACACCTTGGCGTTAGTCTGCCCAGGAAACCTTACCGCTAGGGGCCTAACTTCGGAAGTAAAAGAGATAGAAACGTTTGGTTTTCAAAAAAATGTTCGCCTTGTAAAAATAACGTTTCCTCCCCAGGGGGAAAATTCAAAACAATGTAGATTTTGAATTATCGCGAAAAGTCATATTTTAGGCCTTATAAAACTGCGCAGCTTTAACTTTGCGGATTCTTGTTCTCTGATTGGCTGAATCGTATCACGTGGTACGTGGTACAATTGCATTCTTGGAATAATTGAAGCGTGCAAATGCAATGAACTAACGAGCGCGCGCGGAGTTCAACAAACTGTGAAAAGGCGATCACCCTGTAGTAATATTGCCAGCCGGGAAGGTCTCCTGGGTGCTGCTCTTTCTAGTCAATGTTAAGTGCCATCCTCAGCATTCTCGTATAACATCTATCAATACGTTTCGCGAGGGTCTGGCTGACATGACAGTCCATGTTTCAGAGCCATATATAGAAGGATGTTGAAACTTGTATATATTTGATTGTTAAAGTTTACAAATATTGGTAGCAATGTACTGACGTATTGTGCTCTGCCAATTGCAACACTTGATTTAATTGAATGTACACAGTTGTAGCGTTTCTCACGTAAAAGCCAAATTGTGAGGCGAAAATATAGTTATGTCAGCGAACGCGCAAGGCTTACCTGGGGACCCCAGGCTATTATGTTCATAAACAATAAACATAGCCTGGCGTAATTGAACCCTCTAAAACGCGCAAATAGGCGCGTTTATGCGATTTTACAATCAAATAATCAGATTTTCAATTTTACAATCTAACTCAGCGCGCTGCTCTTGTAGCGCATACGTCACTTATTTTTTATTGGAAGTTGGCGTGCACGTGATCTTTTGCGCGGCTGTAATTGGTTATGAACGATCACGTGAATGCGAGTCACGTGCGCTCTAATATCCAATGAGCATTCGCACTTTTTTCAGGGCGATGGAGGTCGTAATTCACTCAGCTTGCTACAAGTTGTATACCTCTTGTGCACGCGAAGTGTGCACGCCGACCGGCCGCTTCGCGCGCGCTCGAAAGGGGTTACAGCGTGTGTCAAGAAATGATTTGATTAACGATGTCAATCTTTCAAGTTGTAGCACGATGCACTACTGGGCTGCGCCGCGCATCAAATAATTCTTCTCGCAGATTCCGAGCTTCTCGCAGATTCCGAACTGGAAAGGATTAACATCGTGAATCAAGTTGCTCTGCCATCAATTAACAAAGCAACGATCTATTCAACGATGCGAAGCAAGAATGCTAGTTTGTGCGGCGCTTCGGAGCGGCGAAGTCCTCGAATGAAATATTATATTGTATAAATAAAAAGCTAGTTCATTGTGCAGCCTTTTTAAAAATTTTGACGGATGTTACTCGTCTAAATTTCTTCGAAGTAGCGCGCGCCACTTTCTTCTCGAGCTACGAAGTAGCGCGCGCCGGGCCAAATCATTAACAATGGTCAAAAAAATTCATTGATTAAAATTGTTGATTTCGCCACAGTAGTAAGCAATTTAAGTTTATCCAATTGGCTTTTATTAAAGTGCAAGGAATTAAAATAATGTCACAAAGCTGAGCGGGCCCAAATACCTCAATATTTTGAATTTTCGTAGCCAGCTTAGATATTAAAGAGTTTTAAAACATAATTGTTTGATGATACCAGATAATTCCAATTAAGCAATCGTCAGACACCACTGTACATCACCAAATACTATTTGAGTGGACAGACACAATGCTTCGCAGTATCATATTACAAATCACTATTATGGCTGGATATTTTTATTAAATTAGAATTTATGTTTAAGTAAGTTGTTTATTCGCTTCGTATGAACCCCATCCAGGAAATTTATGAGAACTTCTAACAACTACTGACAACTACTAAAATACAGTAGTGTTTGCCACTCTCAGTGAGGTTCGATGCTGTGTTGTGCTGGGTGCTTTTCTTTGTTGTTTTTGCTCCTTCCTTGTTTTTGACAATAATTGGTGCATAGCTTCAATTGAACACCTTCTACTGGCTAAGATTGGACGATGAGCTAAAACGATAAGTGGAGTGTCTTGATATACGGCTCTGTACCCTTATGCTAGAAATGACACTCAAAATTTTATACCGAGAATTCTATGCAGTAGTTTACAGACATATTAAATATTCTTACCACATGTATGGTTAAGAATTTTATGACATTGAACGAATCTATTTATTATGAGTATTAAGCACTCCTAGTATTTTTTTATTCATTTGTTTTCACTTCTGCACGTTAAGGCAGTTGCTCTTATGACTAGAGTTCTAGATTTAAATACATAGGAGTGTTTTTAAGGATAATCATGTTTTTCGGTATCAAATCAAAATTATGAAATCATCATCATAGGAGTTATGCAATGAAGATTACTTTTTAGAGCTGGCTATACTTATTTGACTGATGGTGTGCTATTTGACTTCAAAAAGGATCACATATTTCCTCATTGTAAGGTCAGTTGTTCATATTTATACTTTTTTTGTTATCTTTATATATTTCTTTACTGATAGACAAGTAAAAGCTTGCATGTCAATTACAGAAGCTTGGATATTTTGAAAATTATTTCAAACATCCCACCTTTCTGCTGGCCAAGTTGGTATAATTCATTTCTCCCATTGACGTGTTCTGAGTGTTTTATTATAAAAGCTTGAATGTAAAATATTTAAGAAATTAAACCTACTGTCGTTTTACAGGCAACTACGATTCGATAAATATGATTTTGTGGCCTCGGAGTTGGAGAGGATGTTTTTCAACAGCCTAGGAAACCTTGATCTTTCTAATCTTCTGCCATCAGACGAGTTAGAACGCATAATCAGATCAAACTGTATAAGTACAGAACAACTGTCGAATGCTCAATCCACTTTGGACCTTTTGTCAAGTAAGTTTGCATTGAATCTTTTAAAAAAAAATTTTTCATTGTATAATGTTTATTTATCTATATTTCACATCATCATACTTCTGATGAAAGCAATTTAATATTCAAATATCTTTGATCGATGACTAATGAAATAGCTTTTTATTCTGACTTGTAAACATTTTATCATTCTCAGAAGATGTAGCTGAAAAAGAAAGTTTTTTACGACGACCCAAGTCCAGTCTATCAATAGATGATGATCCATTTATTGTTTCTCAAGTCAATGTCTTATCCCCAATTTCGCTTCCTGCTGATTCCAGTGTTGAAGGAGACACAGTACAAGCTTGTCAATCAAGCGTCATTCAGACTATAGAAGAAAGCTCTGTCCAAACACTGAGAAGGGGAAGAGCTGTACAAAATAGTTCATCATCTTCAGTATGTACACAAGATGAAAATAAATCTGAGACGTCTCAAACAGAAGAACTTGTAAGTGAACTGAAAAAGATATCACTTGAACTGAACAATGTGGATCAAATTAAACAATTACCTAATTCCTTTCTTTCACTCAAATCCAGTACAGTTGAGTCCCCTCAATGTGACACCATATTGCCCCCAAAAACTTCTTCAACTTGCGTTGATGATCTCGTAATATTACCTGATCTCGAAATATTGCCTGGTCTCGAAATAATGCCTGATCCTGTGGAATCAGATGAGACAAAACCATCGCAAGATTTACCCGAGCCTGACCTTCCTGGTAACTACACTAAGTACAAAATCGTGAAGATTACCGATGATGAGGATTTGGATACCATCCAGCCTGAATCTCAAGCTTCTGAGAGAATTGATCCCCCTTTGAGTGGTCCTAGCTTGACTAGTAGTTTGTATCTAAATGAGCAGGCTGTGACTGATGAACTCAAAAAACGTGAATATCCATACTTATTAACTAACATGTGATTTAATTTTAAGAAATTATTTAGCATGTCCAGCTGAGTCAGTTGAATTTGCTGTTTCAACCAAACATAGTGGTATTTCAATATTATAGAACATTTAATTAATTTTGGTATGACTATGATGTTGATATTTCTGAACATGATGTCAAAGTGATTTTATTATACATTATAACCAATCTATTTTTGTTTCAGCAGCACGCTACAAATTTAGTGACTACGGTAAACCAGAGGACTTTGCTAATGCTCCTGCGGCTGAGAGAACATCAATCTCATCTGAGAAAAGGGTGACAAAAAACTCTGGTCCTAAGAGACCATCTGCAAGTGGATACACCCAGCCAATTCAGAGTACTAAGCCTCCAATTCAGAGTACTAAGCCAATTCAGAGTACTAAGCCAATTCAGAGTAATAAGCCAATTCAGAGTACTAAGCCGCCAATTCAAAGTAACTCTGCAGATTCTTGTTCAGTAAAAAGTACACCAGCACACAGGCTAAATGATAATCCAGAATTGTTAAATCTAAACGATGATGACAAGATCAAGGTTCTCAATATCCTAGCTGAGGGTTGGATAGTTCATGTTGTATTTGAGAAAAGAGTGAGAAAAGAAGTCCCTGGTACTCCAAAAAAGTGTGCCTTGCAAGAGATTCTGTACGCTGTATTTGGATGTGATGCTAGCAGTTTTGTTGAGTTTCAAACTAACGGGAACAAGATTAGTATAAGACTGATCCCATCTTATAAAGCCGAACATTTTGAAACAATTCTTGCTATGATAGAATAGAGAGATGAAATGAAAGTACATCGACCATTGCAGATTGGGTTTAGAAAATCCTGGTTTTGCAATTTGGACTTAATAATTGCATTTGTCACTGGACAAAATTGATAGTTTATTTGAGTATGCAAGTACTATTTTTTATGACTGTAAGTTTGATTGTTTTGATTTTTGATAATGTAAAGTTGTAAGACCACTTTGTTTTTTCATAATAAATTGGGTTTTTTTCTTTTTAGTAAGTGAATGACGGGTTATGTCACAATTTTACCTGTCATTTGATTTCGCAGTTTTTCAAAAAGATCGTTTAGTAGATTAAATGAATCTCGTTGAGAGCAAATGTATATCTATTTTTTAATCACTTATTTGCTTTACTATATTTCGATCAATTCCCCAACACCCTGCATCGGTTTAGGTGATGTTCTCTACTCGAGTTGCTTTCATACATTAAACTTCAAGAATTGTCATGTACTTGCAGGTTTTAGCACCCAACTTATTGCTAAAGCATTCTTGCAATTTATGGCTTTATGGTGGATGGGACTGAGGCCTAGGACTTCATGTTTTTAGTTAGTTTTCTAATATTTACACAATTCAGCATGAGCAATGGTATGAGAAAATACCACGTTCGTGAATATATTGAATATATACCAACTGACCTTGAACGACAGCGTTACGGCTTGGAACAAAGTAAGTTAATTAAACAATGAGAAATCACTTCATGGTATTTATATTTGGAATTCTTCAAGCATATGCTGGACTTAACAGATAATTTTCAATTTCTGTAAGCTCAATGAAATAAACGCATAACATCAGATGTCAGCTCTTTAGCACGAGTATGATACTTGAAGGCAAATTTGTTCAATGTCTTATTGCTTAGACTAAGCCAATTTAACTAACCCTATATAGTTGCTTAGACTAACCCAATCGGTTTTATAATTGAAGATAATTTTAAAATTTCAGACGTGTTCTATGGTGAGATAGAAGAGATAGATTTTGATAATGGAATTCTTTCCCTTGAATCTGTCACTTCAACTGGGATCCCTGACAAAGTAGAATGCTTCAAAAGAAAGGTTATAATATAGCAAGTTTTCTGTAGTCAGAGAAAGATTAATACAAGCTCATGTCTAACATTTTTGATTAATTATAATGTTCACTTACTTAATCGTTTATTTTAAAATACTTGTTATTTTCAGATGACTATCCTTGAAGCTCACAGGGTCAACAAATTATCCTTTGAAGTACCTGCTAGCTTACAGAAAGCTTTCCAAGAGCAGCTTGACAAAGAATCGGTATGTTTTGGCCATATAAATTTAAATTGTGTATTGTGTAATAAAGCCTTTGAAATGTTTATGAACCACATTAACGTTGGGGACGTCAAAATGATGATGTATTTGAGAGTGTATCCGTTTAGATCTTGCAATCACTCTACCATGCTTAAATCCTATATAATGAGTAAGTTTTTTATTCCTGTATGTAGACGGTACAGAATTTGTTTACACCAGTTGTAGTAGTTGTGTCAATTTATCAATTTCAGAGGAATGAGACCGAATTTATGAAAAAAGAAGCTATAGATTATGGGAGAACACAGGTAAAATTTTATCACTATTCAAATTCTCCATTTGAGCATGCTTTTTTGAATAAATAGGGTTTTGTTGCATGTCAAATTTTAAGTGTTCATGCTTTACCAACATTTCAGCTGACTATGAACTTGTGACCGGTACTAGGTTTTGCCTTAAATTAAGTTCAAAGAAATTTAATAAGACTTAATATGTGATATGTCGCTCTTAAGGTACCTAACACCTCAATTATTGTCATAGACTACATCGTTAGAGGATAAAGAAAACGACCCCAATCCAAACCAAGATGATGAGGAGCTACTAACTGACGGGGAGCCAATTTCAGATTCTTCTGAGGTCCTTACTCAGAAGGAACAATCGTTTGAACCAGCTCATCAGATTCCTTCCGAGAATGACCAAATTCTTGCTGAGAATGGGAAAAAACTTGTCGAGTTTGAAGATAGTACTTCAGAAAATGACGAAAGTCCTGCTATAAATCACGAAAGTCCGGTCGAAAATAGTCAAGTTTCTGTCAAAAATGACCAATTTGTTGGTGACAGCGAAGCAATCTTTGATGAAAGTATGCCTATTTGTGATGAGAATGAGCAGGAAACTGATCAGAATGTGCCTTCTTCTACAGAAGGTGAGGCAGTCCCCGTTCAAGATGATAAATTAAATGATGGAAGTGAGTCTGATGACAATCTGGAACCTCCCGCTATAGATGAACCACATGTTACTGGCGACAATCAACCAGAAAAACAGCAGAAAAAAGATAGCGGAAAGGTAAAAGAGAAAAAAGCTCCACGAGAACGAATGCACAATAATATCACAATAAACAACAATCACACGGTAAGCACACTGGACATTGGACAGTAACTAATTTGTGGTTTAATATTCAATTCTAGGTCAGTTTTCCCTGTTTTTTTCATGACATCGACTATCGAGATCACAAAAATATATTGTATTATATTTTGCATTTTCTTTGTAAACATTTCACTAATTATCAGAATTTGCGAAGAACTGCAAGACAGCATAAACCAGTGTATAAAAATGTAAGGTACGAGTATGATGACACTGGAGCCTACGTTCAAATAGTGGTGAGCAACATTCCTAGATACATTCCTATTTCCTGTCATAACTATTAACTATACTATATATGGACACGTTCATTTGAGTTTGAGGATATTGGTAAATATAAGTGATCCTATTAAAAGGCACAGTGTAGTTGACTTTGTCACACTATGAAATTACTTAAACCCTTGATGGTTAGGATAATCGTCTCATCCTCTAGGCTAACTTTGTCACATAAGGATATCTTAATCAGGTGATAAGATATCGCTTAAATACGGCCGGCACGGAAATGGTTACATTGTCACACTATAAACATGTGACGGAGAAAATATGGACCCCTTGCTGCCGTTTTTGACCAAATTTTTGAGTGTCCAGTTGATTGGATGGGTACATATGACCATTACCTACATATTTGACGACTTTTTTCGTTAGATGGTGCATTCAGGTTTACTCTGTCACACATTAAAGAAAATATGTGATGAATGTTTAGGGCACCCTGATAAGCAATGCTGAGAAGTGTAAGTTTATTTGATGGCCTGGAAGTGCTGGGAATTGTTATTATATCATATAGTCGCAAGGAATTAAAACACAGAAGGCACAACCAAGCTTACTTTGTCACACAATCTTGATAATATCTGAACATGTGTGAAATTGAACAAATAATGATATACCAGCTTAAACCCCTTATATTATACGTACTATGGATCAAACAACACTGCTAGTACCATGCACCAGTCACATAAATCATTATCAGGTGGTAATATGTTAACAGTGTCACAATTAAACTACCGCTACATGGTCAAAAATAGGGTAATTTCGTCACAAAAAATTATTATAACTCTGTTAGCTCCTTGCTGGCAAAATAACTAGTTTATCGAAATTTTGTTGATGATAAAGTTACATAGTATTCTAATAGAGGTATAGATCTTCAAAATAGGGTCAAGACATGTTTACTTTGTCACATTAGTTATTATAAGAGTTAGGTAATCGTCATCAGATTAAAAGATATTTTTCGTAGTTTGGATCGATTAATACTTTAATATACCTGTAATAAATCCTATGCCAATTTTAACACACTGTCTTGATACTGTTGGGGCAGGGAAAGTTAATTTTGTCACATTTTCAATGTCTTTGACAAATTAATCTAAATTTTAAAAATTGAGTTCTTATGTTCTGGACAATATTCTTCCAATCGTTTCTGAAAGATTGTTGAATTCTAATAGAGTTATAGATCTTCAAAATAGGGGCAAGACATGTTTACTTTGTCACATCAGTTATTATAAGAGTTAGGTAATCACATTAACATATATTTTTTGTGATTGTAGGACTGAATCCCTACCGGACGGAATCACTACCACCCAAATATCACTACTGGTAGTGATTCAGTCCGGTAGTGATTCAGTCCTGAAATATACCTCAATCCCTACCAGTTGATCTTAATTCACTAGTCTAATATCATGACGTGATCTGAGCCGGGGCTCTCATGGAGTGCTTACTATGGGGCCTGGCAGACATGTGATCCACAGACTTACGTACGCAACGAGGAGCCCTAACGAGAACTAGTTCGAACTCTCCCCTTCGTTCCAGTCAGTGATGTGGACCAGGCGTGGCGGCTTCTCAAACCTTCTCTTCCTGCTGAGATGACTGCCTTCGCAAGGTACTTTGAGTCCCAGTGGAATAAATTTTAAATATGACTAGGAATCCATTTTGGGAAGAAAAAAAGGCTATATATTTTTCGGCCGCTTTGCGGCCGACTTGTCACTGGTCAGCTCTTCTCCCAGGTCAAGATTAGTTTGAAATGCTTAGCGTATCCATTAGAATAATTACCGGATGAATATGCAATTGCAAATTTTGAAATTAAATAAAAAATTTCTGAGAATTCTTTAATTTATTTGAAACGCAAGGAAATATTTTTTAAAAGAAATATAGAGCCTAGCCCACAGGCATCTCCATACTATTCTTCATACTAACTCGGTAGATCGAGTGCAAAGATTTGACTCTCATCAGCATGATGAACGATTCGCTACTCTGAAAGTGGCATCGACCTTGTGTCGATATTTATGGCCTGACTTTGGATCTGAAGCTTGCTTCTGCCAGGTTAGATACAATATTGGACAATAAACAATGATAAACTCGGACTTAAAGCGGGATAGGGATGTATAATGGAGGGGGTTGTCTGCACTGTACTCTAGATGATCTAGGATGTGAAGCTTGCTTAAGCCTAGAACACACGAGTTCCCCTGATATAGTAGCAATGGCTAGATTCACTTCCTTCCCACTTGCACTGTTGTTGACTTGTAGCTACAATATTAAATTGATTCGTGGAAATCGGTCTCGGATGTGAAGCTTCCTTAAGCGCCAAACCCTGAGAATACTGTATTACTCGAACTTCGAGAATTTTCTAAATGAATCTAGACTAAAGGAGCCAACTTGAATCCATAAAATTTTGAATGCTACATTTTAAAATACCGCTCTATATTTACACCGTTCACCAGTTAATATGGCTGGGAGGATTGGGAGGATTCATATTAGATTGTCGATTGTTTAAGATTAACTTGATATTTTAGCGTATCAGAGCTGAAATTTTGCATGACTATTTCAAATGACTATTTTACATGACTATTTTTTCATATTCCGGGATGTTGAGGAAGGAGGAATGGATAGCTCGCGTTTTCTGCGCGTTTTTTGGTGTCTGAATGCGCAAAAAATAGTCAAGCAATCTTATAGGTAAGAAATAGTCATGGAATCTAGGAATGCGCTCGATTCGAACTTCGAGTCGATAAAATGATGTAACATCGCGTTAGCCCTGAGAGCGACCAATTTTGATTTAATTTTAAATTAATGTGAATATTTTTTCCACAAGAATCTTTTTTTACCGGTTATCAACAAATTTTGACTAGGTGTTAAATTCCTGGACGCCTGACTATTTGCCACTGGGCTTTGAGTCGACATGGATCGGAACCACCTCCACCCCTCCTCTCTTCAGGCACGACTCCTGGAATCACCACGAAGCGGCCCAGATGTTACTACCTCGCTCCAGCAACATCGCAGAGGGTTGGAACAGCGGCTTCGCCTCCTTGGTCAACTGTCACAACCCTTCTATCTGGAAGTTCTTAGAGTGCATCAAGAGGGAGCAGGCTTTGACAGACGTGAAGATCACCAACATCCTCACCAGAAAACCCTTCAAGAGAGCAGCAAAGTGGGAGAAGTTTGACCTGGCTAGATGCAACGTATGGTTGATGAATATGATAACTTTGGGGATGTTACCGAGTTTCTGAAAGCTGTTGGATCTAAGATTTTGGGTTAATGCTTTAATGTTTACTTATTATTGTGTGATTTAAATTACTGTATCAGTATATTATCTATTATTCTTTGACCAAATTTCTGCTTAGTCAATTATCACGAAAAATGTAATAATAATTAACAAAAAATAAAATAATTAACTAATGAAATACGAATAATTATGCCTTTATTGCAAAGTTCAGTAGGGATCACATCAAAGTGGTTAGGTCTAGATATTAGCGGTAGTGATTTAGTCCGGTAGAGATTCAGTCCGAAAGTATACCTTAATCCCTACCAATAGTGATTGGTAGTGATTCAGTCCGTTAGGGATTCAGTCATGTAGTGATTCGGTCCGTTCACCATTTTTTGTAGTTTGGATTGATTTATATAGGTAATAAAGCAGCCTATGCTAATTTTTACACACTATCTTGAAATTGTTGGGGCATGAAAAGTTAATTTTGTCACATTTTTAGTGACTTTGACAAATTTAACCTAAAATTGTTAAACTTAAGCTCTGATGTTCTGGACAATAGTCTAATAGAGGTATAGAATATAGATCTTCAAAATAGGGGCAAGACATGTTTACTTTGTCACGTCAGTTATTATAAGAGTTATTATAAGAGACTATTTCATTCTATAATCATTGTTTTTAATCTATTTACGATTTCGTATAATTTTTTGTGACAATGTAAACATCAACTGATCTTAACTTGCATCAACTACATTGTCATCATATAAAATTTTCCCGCCTTTCAAACCAAAATCAGATATAAATTATTCGCCCAAAATTTTAAATTTCATATATTGTGACAGAATTAACCTCATTTCCCAATAACCAAGTGCCTGTATTAGCTAACTATTCAAAACAACATATTTTAGGGCTATGCTTGGTAGAGCAACCATAAAATAATGAGTTGAAAGGGTTTTTAGGACACCTCACAGTAGAATAGAGGTATGGTATCATGAGTGTGACAAAGTTACCCAAATATTGCCTTGTAACCGTTCGATCCGTGCCCATTAACCAATGTTGTATCATAATTGTTAGATAGACCTAATTTACTATATTTCAGACCAAGGAATGATAATTAGACAACTGCAGTTAACTAAGTCACACAAAATGTGACATTTGAAACATTATAGTGCCTAACAACAATAGATTTTCTTTCTGAGCGGTGCATATGGGAGTATGGGTTACGTGGCTAATGTTCAGAACTTCTGAACGTGCTAGGTTAATAGATGTCAAAATTAAGCCACTATCGTCAAAAACGCTATTATTTTTGTTTACCAATATCCTCAAACTCAAATGAACGTGTCCATATAGATTGTATACTCTATCTTTGCTGCCAGTTACTTTCATGATCAGTGTATCGCTGATGATTTAGGTTATGTTAGATAAGATTACTTACTATGATAACATATAAATCTCAACTTAAACTGATATAAATCTTAGCAATAAGGACAAATGATTTAAAATGTGAAGATTCCCACAGCCTTAACAGCCATCGCTGGTCTGGAATCATGTAATTAAAGTAACCTTCCCACTATCGTCAAGTCTATTGTCAGGTTTTTATTCAGCAACTTTTTAAAGGAAGATTACTTCCTTTGACTTCTCTTTATATTTCAGGACCCTGTCACCTTTATGACGCAGGAGCAGAGCTACAGGTGGTTTAAAAGAAACTTTCCAACTAAAAAACAGGCGAAGTCCGTAGGTATTCAGTACTACAAGAAATTTCGTGCCAACAAGAGAATGACCAAGATATACAGCGACTCTGATTCAAGCGGAGATGAAGATAACAACGAAACGAGGGAAGAAGTAAGTAATTGGGAGTTAATTTGACAACAAATTTGACGACCATCTGACCACACGCCCCAGACCCAAAATTGTCCCTCAAGACGACCATGATTACAAAATTTTCGCTGAATTAAAGGGCACTCATTTCTGTAAAAACCTTTATAAAAACTGCGGTATATCAATTCTTGAGAACGTTCTTGACGTTTGCGTGTTTTAAAAAAAAATAGCAACTTATACTACAGTTTATAATAGCCCCAGCTCCTGAAACCCAAACAAATTATACCCATTTCAACTGATGACCTCTGACATGATCATTATTCTTCAGAGTGATGCTGAACCCACCAGGGTAGGGGATCAGTCTGAGAGTGAGAGTGAGAGTGACGAGTCTTTTAAGCCTGATGAAGACGTTACTGACGCTTTTTCTACTGACGACGACTCGTTTCGTAAGTTGTTCTCACAAATTTTCCATACTCGAAAAATGCTGAAAAACGATAGACGAATTTTCTAAATCATTATTCTTTGATTCCTGCTGAATTTAAGTATGGTATATATATAATATACCTGTTTGTAATTGTTAGTGTTAATTCATTGATATATTATTCCTAGGATTGACAAATAGCTCAAAGAATGAGACAGCAAATAGCTCAAAGAATGAGACAGCAAATAGTTCAAATAATGAGACAGGAATCAGCTTGAAAAACATTTCGAAAATATATCCCAAGAAGAAAGCTAACAAAGGTAATTGTGATATTGAATTTGTATTTGATTGCTTCCATTAAATATTATCTTCTGAATCTCTTGTATCTCGTAAGTTTTTAAGCGAATCTAAAATTTCTATCTGTCCACTGAGAAAAAAAACTCTGTCTGCAGTCATATTTAAGTAAAAATATGTCTATACTTTCAGGAGATAGAAAGTCGTTAGAAAAACGGATGCATCAGAAGAACGTTATATTAAACCCGAATAACTCAAAAGGTCGAGCCAATGTGAAAAAAAGAAGAGAAAAGGGTTCTATATATACCTCTTCAGAAGATTCGGACAGCGAAGTTGAGGTATCACGGTCATCACAATTAAAATCAAAGAATCTGACCGTGAAGAAGGGAGGTCGTGGTCGGCCTAAAAAGCAAAGAAGCGAATCTGAACAGTTTAGTTCAGAGGATGATAGACGAAGCAAAAAACCTATCCTTGAAAAGTCAGACAAGTCAGTAAAGATCAAAAAGGAATCAAAAGCGAAGGAACATAAGAAAAGACAGATAAGTCATGTATCTAGCTCGGATGATGATAGACAAATCAAAAACCGAAATCAAAAAAAGTCAGAAAAGGAAGCAAAGAAAAAGCGCCAGACGTTGAGTGACTCAAAATCTAATAAGAAACTAAGAAGATCAAGTCAACCTTCTGAATCAGAAGATTCCTCATATAAAGAAAACGTCATAAAGATCCGGAACCAATCAAAGAAAGCTAAATCTGGTAAACCTTTGAAAAGCGATCACAAAAGCAAAAAGAAGGTTAAGTCTCCAGACACAGTTGATTATGAGGAGGACTTCAAGCGTTTCGGTAGGAACATTTATACTTTCAGCCAATAGTTTCTTTTTAGCTGGTAATTTTTTGCACAGTGATAGTGATACAGCTTATCTGGATTCTGGACAGCATGTAACGAGGTTGGCATATATAGTACAGTGGTCTGTATAGTACAGTGTACCTGGATCAAAAAGTGTATTTCGCTGCTGAGCTCAAATAGTCATCACTCTGGTATGGAGTTCGATAATTTGTCATTACAATTCGCTAAAAACACTGAAATTTAGAGCTAATCAGCTAGTGGAAACTGTGAACAATAATTTGACAACACAGCTGAGTAGTTGCCCCAAGTTTTAAATTTTCATTTAACATTTTGTCAGGCAAAACTTTGAAGGGCGATCAAAAAGGCAAAAAGAAGGCAAACTCTCCGGTCTCTTTTGAAGAGGAGCTTCCTCTACCTTTCCGAGAAATCGGTAAATTATAGAGAACTTCGAGTTTCGACCAGTTACTCATTCCTTTATTATTGACTGGTACTTTTTGTCTAAAATCATAAAAATGCTAACATTCTGGACCCTAAAATAGCAACATTCAGGACATCCCCGGACTGCAAGACAGCCTGTTGACACACCTCTCACCACTAAAAACGCATCAAAGAACCACCCCACTGCTGCAAACACTTCCCTGCTCAAAATGTTCAGCCCAGTGTCCTCCCCCAAACAAGCGAAACAGGATGTACTCAATAGATGTCTTCGTAAATTAGGTATTAAGTCCATTTAAGAATTTGATAGGCTGTCACTCTTGTAGTGCTGCAAAAAACGTACTCCCACTGTACTGAAACATTCTGCATACATGAGTACCTACATGAGTTGATATTTTCGAGCCTATAATGACCTAGGCATATTTGAGTCCTCGATAATTGTTAATATAATAAATGGCACTAACCCCTTGAATTATACTAGTTTACACTTTACTTCAGGTGACTACAGCAAGACAGATGATGCAGAATATCCCGGTTCTGTGGTTTACGTAGAGAACCCAGATCTAGACACGGTTACTATCCATGGAATATTCGATCTTGAGAAAGGTGCTAGTTCTTTCAACTTATTAAGATTGATATAACATGGGAAATTTATCTTCTACTTCTAGATCTCCCGATAGATTGTAATCTTGACAGCTGTAGTTGTTATTTTGTTAATTTGACGCCCCAATTTCAGAAGCGGAGCGTGGACCAATGGTTGTTGACGGTGACTCCATGGTGTTAAAGTTAACATGGGGTTCAGCTAATCTTACATACGAAGGAGAGGATGCTCATGGAAGATCTGTAAGTCAAATCTGGTAGAACAAATTTAAGATACTTTGTTTATGATCCCCTATTTAAGGAACAAATGAGCAGAAAGCATGGTAAAAACCTGTTGAACCTTGCGTTTTCATTTTATTGAAATTACTTGCGGTAGTGATTGTCATGGTGATTATAAATGCGGTAGCATTCAACTAACCGCTAAATATAAGTATCGTCAATCGTCAGTGATATTTAATGTTTACTGTGCAGGAGACAGTGCATATGAAAGTGAACAAAGATTTTCATCTAAAGGACGGTTCTAGCTACACAATGACAACAATGCGGGGAGCACTCATAAATTTTAAGTGCTCTATCCCACCAGATGAGTCATTTATGGAGTGATGATGAGAAAGAGACTCATGTCTGTTATGAAAAATGGGTTTTCAAAAACCATTGTATTTTTAACATTGTGATTAAATATGTATGCGAATCTGCACATTATTAACGTTATAATTATGATGACGTTCATAACCATTAACCGTACTATGCTTAATAAATTTGTATTTCATAATATAGTATATAAGTTATTGTATTGTTCTAGCAACGGGCATAGATTATTAAATATATTGTACAATAATAGGCAGGTTCATTATTTCAAAATGTTACTGAAAAATTTCGGGGAGTGCTTATCCGTTGCTCCTTAAGTTCATTCATCACCAAAAAATTACAAAGTAACGTTTTTTTAATAACTTGCCTTGCAACTAAAGAATTTCTTAGATAACGATTTGGGTCATTAACTATGGTGCTTTAAAATCTGTGTTTAAATTTCATATCAGGGCAAAACTCCATCTTCGTTTTAAAAAAGAGTAGCTTTTGGAGCTGCTGTCACCGTTTTGCATTTTGATTTGGAATTTCGAATCAGTGTTCTAGAGTAATCAACAATTATTGCACAACCTGCACTTACCTTGGGTCATGGTCATAAGTCACATAATAATAATAATAATGACTAGAAATTTATACATCGCTTAATAGCCAAAAAGAATTAAAAATCCAAGGATTCAGTTCAAACCATTGCATCTAAAGCGACTCATGAACAATGAACATGTACATAAGAACTTAGCATTTTATGAAATATGGGTTTTTATGAGGAAGTTATTTTATGAAACTTATATGAATACTTTTAATACATGTTTGTTGTTGGTTGAATAAATGTTTCCTGTAACAGTATTATATTTTGAATTCAAATTTAATATGATAACGACGTTTCATTGGCATTTTCATCTAGTTTATCTGAAAGTTAAAAGTCTGATTTTTGATAATTATATGTTCAAGCAATTTATATCTAAAACGATTTTGCTAGCCAGTTATTCAATTTTGCTAGAAAGGCCATTCCATTCTTTAAGAAGATAAAACTTGCACTTTTTGGTTCTATTTCACCCTTCAGTAAAAAGGTGTAATTTCTATTTTTGATGATGTTGTCCTGTTTGCGACCGAGTGTCATTTTGGTGTGTCTGGGACCATCAGTTATCCATGTTTCCTAATTCAGTCTTGTGAAATTTGTTGTCGATCAGATGTTTAATGGAAGATTGTGGAATTGGACACTTCAAGTTCAAAGTGGATTCGCTGGTTGTGCCAAGCTTGGCCAACTCATCTGCTTTTTCTTTCCCCCACAATCCGATGTGTGCTGCAATTCATCGGATCTCTAGAGTGTTAGTGGATCCGAGTGCGTTGACAGTCTCTAGTAGTTCCACTCCTCGTTGAAAGCGAGTAGATAGCTTGTATAGAGGAAGGTGTAATTTCTAGACTGCTGCAGTTTGTAAGGCTTATGATTTGCTACCCTCTACAATCTGAGTGCTGTGGGGATACAATCTCCTACGAAAATTTTGTGAAGTTTTATTTAGCTGGTTAGTGGGTAACTTTACTCAAGACATAGAAAAGTAATAGGTCTGAGTTAAAGAATCTTTCTCAAATCTCGCAGCATCATTAGGTACTCTACGGGATGGTTCCACTTACAGCTCAAACAGTTTTGTCACTTGGTCCACTTTATTGGAGGAATAAGTTTCTGGTTTATTTAATTAGAGTTTCAGAAAGAGGGCGGCCACAGCTCCATCAAGTTTCTAGAAAAACATTTGTACAAGAGAAGATTTTGTTGAAAATTTCATGTAGGCCTTTTCTTAGTAGTGCGACTGGAACCACCTTACATTTTTGAGCATGAGATTTCATTTGTTCTTCTTTAAGTGACCTCTCCTGTCATATAGGGCAATGATCCTAAGATATTCATGATACACCATGGTCCGTTTCGTTACATCGAAGAGAATAACTTACTTCCTTATAATAAGGTCAGTTGGGGAATGCAGTTTTTTAGAATTACTCCACCAATTTTAATAAATGATAATCTATTCCATATTGTTTAAAATTATCGGTAGGATGATGACGAATGCAATTTACAACTCTTTAATCTGATAATTTTACAGGCAACTGCGATTTGATAAACATGATTTTGTGGCCGCGGAGCTGGAGAAGTTGTTTCTTAATAGCTTGGGTAACCTCGATTTGTTCAACCTCCCTCCCTCTGATGAGTTAGAAAGAATCATACACTCCTTTTCAATCAGCTCCGAACTCTTATCGAATGCCCGATCTACTCTGAATTATGCATCATGTAGGTGCCTTTCATCTTTTGAAACTAAACATTTTTCAAATTAAATTTTCCAATGTTAAACAGTTTATCGTGTCTTGTTTGCTTTACAGGTTCAAAATTAAAAATCAATTACAACATTTTCTCTTGTGTTCTTACTTCTTTTGTAATCTTAACTTCCGATTTTTCAGACAATACAGCTCCATACGGAAATCCACAACTACGAAAACCCAACAACCATTCGTCAGTAAGCGAGTCAGGTGTTTTTGTTGTTTCTCAAAATAATGCTTCCACTCCTGTAATACCTCGAGCTGATCCCAGAACTGACCTTGCTGGATCATCAATCACCAATCAGACCACATCAGAAAGTCCTGTCCAAGTGTTTAAAAGAGGGAGGACTGTTTTTAATTCATCATCATCATCAGTAAGTACACATGACCAAGTTCCATCCACCGCTCCTCAAACTGAAGAATTTGTGAATGAACTGAAAAAGATATCACAGGAACTAAGAAATGTGGATGAAGTTTCAGAGAAACAATCACCTAATTCATTTCTTTCATTTAAATCCAGTAAAGCTGAGTCACCTCAATGTGGCACCACATTGCCCCAAAAGACTTCTTCAAGTTATCGTAGTGTTGATGATCTCGAAATAGTGGCTGATCAGGCTGTGGAATCAGAGGAGAAAATCTTGAAAATAACTAAAGATGAAGCTTTCACAGTCCGACTCTCACCGAAACTGATGAACACAGTTTCTCAAAAACCTCTGGAGCAAGTTCCACCTAATTCGTTTATTTCGATTAAAAATAATTTGGAATCAGCAAAATCAGACCATATTGAATCTTTACAGCCCTCTGAAGTTACTAAAGAAATATCCGAGAATGCAGATAAAAATGTGAATTCTTGTCCTAATCTTCCTTTAAACAATATCAAATCACCTGAAAGTGACTTAATCACATCACAAAATCAGTCTGAAAAACTTCCTCAAGCTTGCTGTGATAACGAAACTGTTAAAATACCTGAGGATGGAGATGAAAGTGTGGATACTAGTCCTAATCATCCTTCAGACACTATCAACTCACCTAGAAATGGTCCTAGCTTTACCAATGATTTAAACCAGAATGAGAAGCACACTTATGAATGTAAAATGCGTGAGTATACTATTTACTTCTGTTTGCCATCGGTTTACTAAATTTGTAGATCATGCTATGAATGATTTGGGCCTAAGCAATGATTTGCCCTGATTTTCAAAGCACCAGTTCATTTTCTAGAGCATCGCAATTACGGCCGGGACTTCACTATCGCAGTTGGAATGCAAAAGTACAAACCCGCCTATTATCCCTATTATTTTATTCGAAAACACGCATTACATTTTCGTAGTTAAAACGGTGCGAAAGTATGAACTCGCTCAGTCTAAACAGACCGCAATTTAATTCTGAGTGCCCCTCTGAATGTATCTAATAGTAATACTTGACAGGCAATCTTGAGGTCAAGTTTCCACTGCCAAATTACCTAATTATATAGCAACTCTGTTATGAGGGGAGAGAGAGCGAGAGAGAGAGGGAGAGAACGTGAGACACTTTAGTGTCACATTTGGATACAAAAATGATCAATTAAACCACTTACCACCGACCGATTTTAAAAAACTCAAATCATTTTTTCGACACTATACCTCTATAGTCTATACCGAAAATAACCAGTCCCATATCTCTTTTCGCATACCGTTTTCTTGATTTAACCATTCGTAAATTGCAGACACACGACACACACAAATTTATTGAGATTATTAGTATAGATAATGTGGAATTTCATATCAATAATCTGTTTTCATTTCAGCAAGATACATCCGATTTAGTGACTTTGGTAGACCAGAAGAATTTGCAAACTGTCTAGAAGCACCATCTGCCTCTTCGAAGAAGAATCTGGAACCAAAGATAAAAGCAAAAGAGGCCGACTTTAGTGAAGCGTCTGCTAGTGGATCTGAAAAACCAATAATTATTCAGAGTGATGACATAGATTCTTGTTCCCCTAACAATTCACCTTCAACCAGTCTCAGTGCGAGTCTTGACATCCTGAATCACAGTAAGATTATAACATTCCTCAATGATAAGAAAGTTATTGTCATTGATGATGAACACAGTATTGAAGTTAGAGACAATCCTGATCTACATAGTATGGGGTATGATGACAAGCTTGAAGTGATCAAACTACTCGCCAAAGGATGGAACGACAAACTTCTTTTCGAAAAAAGAGTGATTAAAAAATGCTTGTGTTCAGAAAAATGTGTCCTTGGAGAGATTCTTCATGCTGTTTTTGGCATTAAGATCTGTACCTTTTTACTGTTCAAAGTAATTCCCAAAGAGAAAAGTATTCAAATAAGACTTCATCCAAGCTTCTACACTGATGATCATTTTGAAGTGATTATGTCTAGGCTCCATTGTAAAAAGAATCTGCAACCTAAGATAGAGACAAACACTGGTCTTAATAAAGCATCTGCTAGTGGATGTGATAGACCAAGTCAGAGTAATTCCATCGATTCATGTTCCTCAATACCTTTACCTCCACGCAGTCTCAATGCTAGTCCCAACGTTCTTAATTTAGACTGCGACTACGATAGAAGATTAACAATCCTCGATGATAAGAAAGTTATTGTCATAAATTCCACACACACTATAAATGTTGAGGACAATCCTTCTCTACACAAAATGGAATATGATGAGAAGGTTGCTGTGATCAAAATTCTCGCTGAGGGATGGAAACGGAGGCATACTTTCATAAAGAGGGTTAAACAACAAATTCATGTGTAGGGGATGGAACTGGCATAGGAGATATGCTTTATGCTGTTTTCGGTGATGATATCTGTACTTTTGTAATATTTAGAATTAAAAAGAATGACAATTATCAAGTAAGATTGAAACCTAGCTACAGTGAAGATCATTTAGAGAGGATTCTGTCCACGCTCCAAGATCAAGTTAAACCGTAGTGACAGGAAATGGGTAAATGTTTTATTTTGTTTATTGGCGAGTTATGATTAGCTCCATTAGATGATTGACTTCTTGATTGTAGGTCTTTTTAATGATAGGGTTTTATAGTTTTAATTTTAATGTATTGATTGGTAGAAGCTTAATTCTTATTATAACGAAAATTGTATTGTATTTATTTGTGCATCGATTTAACGATTATGGGACCATTTATACTTTTTAAGATTTCGATGTGTTTTACTTTCTTCTAATACTATAATTTTCTTAACAGTAAAGTGTTTACTCAAGCTAAATTAGCCAATCAACATATTCACACCAAATACCAATGAGATAAAAGAATAAGTTGGTCAGCCGAGTTTATGTAAAACTCTTGCATTGGTAGATAGCGTGGTTCTTTTGCAATAGTGTAAACGCGACATCCAGCGCTGGATGGCGCTAGCTATCGCGTTTACACTATCGCAAAAGAACCGATAGTGTTTTAGACAGGACATTGAAAAGTTTTCAATCTTAAGTTTTCCGCTGATTTTGAAACGATGTTCAAGCTTTTACATTATAAAGTTATAATACCAGTCACTGGCAAACTCTTTCGCCTTCTCAAGAGTCAAGGTTACAGCGATACAATACTTTTCCTATTAAAATTAACTATAGTCTATACCCGATGAATTAGCATTATTAAAATTCGATAATAATAACATACGTTTTAGGCCCAAGTTACAATTAAAGCTGACAAAAGTTGTTCTTTAACAGATACATGACAGAGGTACTAGATGCTATGGAGGTTGTAGAAGATGTGGTCGACTATAATAAGCCGGATTCCCAGGAATTTGAGGTCAGTAGTCATTCGAGACTTTTCTATTAGATTTATTTTGTGGAATTCTAAGTCATTCAGTCACTAAGACGTAATAATTGAGCTTGGGAGTTGGGTCAGGTATTTTGCACGATTGTTGCATGTGAACAGAGGACTTCATAAACGTTGATAAAATTTTATAATAAAGTAATAAAATATTTGGATGAAAGGCGTACATCACAATCTAGTCTTTTAAATGAACATTAGGTAAGGAACCATCTACTGTAACGTGCAGTACCAAAAAATAACTGTATTTTAGTATTTGGTATTTAAGTTCCAACCAGGCGAGATATTTCTTACTTTCTGGTTTGAGCTGGTAAAGAGGTTTGATTTTAAAGTAAATCAGAGAACGACCAATTCTCCTATATCAAAATTTCCGGTCATGATAAAATTCTAACTTCGTTCTCCGTCTGCAGGTATTGAAAATCACGTCCAGAAAAGAAGCCCCAGATGGGTTAGAACACCTTTACGAAGTGCACTGGAAAGACGGAGACATTACCCAGGAACCTGTTGCCAACCTGAGTGGAGCTTCTGACGCACTCAGACTCTTCCTCGAGGAGAACTACCCAAACGACGCCCTCCTCAAAGTGCTCTCCTCCCTTGCACAATCTGACGACGAGGAGAACAGAGAGAACGGAGCAGACAAGGCTAACGGAGGAGTGGAGAAGGTGGCTAGTAGCTGGCTGGCCAGGTGGCACCAGAAGACAACTAGAGGGAGTACCCAGTACTGGCTGAGGAAGGGTGATTCTAGAGAGAGCACCCCGGATCCTTTGTCCAGGACTGGTACCCCTCCTGTACCAGCGAGCAGAGACGATACTCCGGAGAGAGAAGGTTTGTCCAGTGCAGTGGGCTTATGTTTGTTCTATAATTAATTTTATTAATGTTAATTCTTTATATTGAGTCTTTGCCTACATGCTTTGTTTGTACAATGTTTTTACGTCACTGCCGATGTATTACTCCACTTCCTCCTATGTACTTTTACTTTCTAACACAGTAAAATCTCCAGTTTCCGCCCCTCTCGCACCCCTGAATGTCCCGAATACTCCTGAAGTGCAGTCTGTTCTCTTCTCTGAGGTAAATAATAATATACTTCTTTCAGATTCTGAAAATACTTTTCTGCTGACTGGATAATTTAAAAATTGTAATCATTTTGATCTGCCATGCTTCTTAGGCATAAGTTAAATTGCATCCTCTCAGATCTAGTTTACATCGATCACACAAAAGATCCTACATTGTTTAACTTGATTTAGTCGTGTCATGTTATCAATGATCATGTTACCATTACACTTCACCGTTCACGAGGTTTACGGTAATTCAAGTTCACTTAACTTGAGCTATCTCGATGCCAGTGAAAATATGCCACGCTCATCGGTCAGGTTGTCATAGTGATCGGATAGCTTATCAGTTGATTATAAATTATTAAGTGTTTGATGAGCCATGCGGATTTGGTGTAAAGCACAACTCACAAGGCCCACAAAAATCGTTTTTTAAAGAATAGGATCTATCAAAAAAAGCTAGCACTTGAAGCTTTGAAGCGAACTGCGCAGAAACTTTGTTTGCATATTAAGAAAAATTTAAGTAAAACTGCACACGTACGAGAAAGCGACTAGAGAATAACACGTACGAGAGAATCACCTAGTTCTTAACAAGATTGTAACACTGAATAATGAATATTCACCACTTTATGACGGTGCTATGTCAACAAAAATAACTCATTAACTCATTAACTCATTAACTCATTAACTCATTAACTCATTAACTCAGTAACTCATTAACTCATTAACTTATTAACTCAGTAACTTATTAACTCAGTAACTCATAACTCATAACTCATTATTGTCTCGTGTGTCAGGAAGAGGACACTCTAGGAGGTACCCCCAAACGGGTGAGAAAGAGGATACGAATTGTAGAGGAGACGGTAAAGATGTTTCCTCACCAGGAACTGTACGATGTGGAGCTGGAGAAAACAGCAGAACAAGTAAACTTACACGTCTTGTTGTTCAGTTTTAAGGCTGAAATAAAATTACGAAATCATCCGTGCTGGTTTAACTCCTCAAATCTATTGTAAACTAGAAATTAGGAATTATAAATTAACTCCACATAACCCTGCAGAATCATAGCGATGTGGAAAGAGATCCTGAAATTCATCCTACTGACACTACCCGTTGGAATATTCGTGTTCCTGTACTATTCCAAACAGCAGGCTGCAGAATCTGCATCTTCGACGTAAACTCCAGCTCCGAATCTCTACGAGTTTTGTCACTTCTGCCCCTGTCACTACTGGACAGATATCCCACCAGTTTATTACTTTATTTTTGTTTCTGTTTATTTTAATTTTAATTCATTCCCGGCGCTCTGATATCACAAGACACGATGGAAAGTGAACTGATGGCAAATGTATTTCAAATACATTTCGTTACCACTATGTACCATCAAATAGACATTCCGTTAATGTGAAACAGTATTAGAAACTTGCATACCTCAACCATGATCTCTTATTTAACTAACTGTTTCAATCTAATTATCTGATTTAGTTTGTCGTCATTAACTCCGCATTGTGTTACATTAAGTTGTTGTAAATACCTCTGTTGGTTTGGTTTGGCTGGTGAGGCTCTGTTCACGTCCTCTTACAGTTCACGTCCTCATACAAGTTCAGATACAATTAGATGTGTGGCTAGTTAACCGCAGTTAATGATCTATAATTTGTATCCATTCTGAAGTAACTTTTGTTGTGCCATCAGCAATTTCATAAATCTAAAAGCTTGAAATAAATAGTTTGTGCTTACTTTTAACGGATCCATGCCCGAGAAGAAGGTGATGGCTTAGGAAATTTATGATTTATTTTCTTACTTCTTTAAGTTAAGATATTTTAAAAATATTATGGTTTTAATATGAAAATTATGCAGTATTCAGAATATTTTTGGACGAAAAACTGACTTTTGAACGTAAAAATTTCGCTACAGCTGTACCTTAAAGTTTTTGTCACAAATGTCATGGGATCTTACGTAAAACATTCGAAATACAGTATGATTGCAATTAAATTCTAATCAAGTTCATAGTATCAACTGAACGCGGAGATCTTTCGAGCTCTGATGTTCATTTCCCCCACACCCTGCAAGTCGAATATCCTCATATTTGTGCTTTTTATATTTATAATGTTACTTCTTTCTTTATATTCAAAATTGTGCGCATAACACAATAGTATCGTATGATTAAGTTTTAATTTAGGATAATGTTATAGATGTAATGTGTTATTTATCAATATCAAATTATATAATTAATACCTAATATAATGAAACATGAATTATGAAGGCCGAAAGGTAATATATCTGGTAGCTATGTTTATAATCTGATAGCTATAGATCATATTATTGAAACTATAATTCCAATTCTATATTTTTTGTTTCATTGTCTACTTCACATTCCATACAATGCCAATTACCACGAATTACAATACTAATTGTTCGTTCCGAATACTAACGTCGAAAATTCACCAGAATTTACCATTAGTTGGGAGGTTAAATATTTTTTCCCGAAATATTGAGCTAAGAACTCTGCTGAAACCTTTAAAGGGTAGTGGTTATAATTGATGTTATATTATTATCGTGCCTAATCGCTCACCTGACATCAGATCATGACGTGTCACATCCGACACAACATCCTGAGGTTAAAAGTAGAGTTGGTCCCCGCTGTCATTCAATTCTACACCAAAATCTGTGGCATGGACTACGTTTGTCAGCCTGTTTCCACTGAAAACTACCCTTACTGTACAGATGGTAAACTCCACATATTTTCCTACAAACAGAAACATCCCTCCTATACCCCCACTGGAGTATGCTTCGTGGGTGACGAGGACAAGTTCAGTGCTGGAGACTACCAGGATCCAGGGTACTGGAAGATAGGTATAGTGCTCCAGGACGTTAACAGAGCAGTTCAGTGTTTCAAGGAACATGGAATACATGTTAAAACAGGTGGTCAGTTTGTTGATGTTGGTTTTCTAACCTCGCTCCGAGACCCACAAGGTTATGGTATAGAGCTCCTCCAGGAGACGTTCGAGGACAACTTTAAACCGATGAGAGGTGAGAAGGTTGCTCCTTTGAAGCAGCCGTACCACCCGGCTGTAGGACAAATAACCATCAGATGCACTGACGCTGAGAAAACGTGTCATTTTTACACAGAAGTGTTGGGCATGAAGCTAGTTTGTACTGAAGTACCAGGTAACAAGTATCCGTTTACTCTGTACTTCTTTGCGTACACAACGGAACACCCGCCCAACAAAGACGTGTCAGCAGTGGAGAACAGAGAGTGGCTCTATCAGAGACCCTTCTGTCAGATTGAGATCCAACACAGGCACAACCTACCTTCAACCTTCTCCTATCAAACTGGGGATGATCAGGGGGAGGAGAGTCTTAGACTTGGTCACGTGGGTATTAGTCTGCAGGTAAGTCGGCAGAGGTTTGAGGAGATATCCAAGGGTAAGGGAGTGAGTGTGACCAAGGATGGAAATGTGGCACATCTTAACGATCCTGATGGTTATTTTATTGAACTTTCTTGTGAGGAGTTTTAGCTTTATTGTTGATAGTTAGCTCATAGTCTAGTGAAATTTTTATGATAGTTCCGTATTTTAGCTTTGCATCAACTGCGTTTTGTTTTCAAATTAAGCAGCTAAGTTTTTGATTGATTTTTAATTCGTTAATATCGATTTTGTGAAGTTGAATCTTGTCTCGATGTTTTGCTGAGAAGATTTTGAACAATAATTTAACTGTCAATTTTGTATAGGACTATAATATTATATGCTTACATTAAATAATTAAAGCTCCTCTGCAAGATCTCATAACGCAAAAGTATACCAAAATAATATATTGATGCTATTTTATTCGCAAAGTTGGCACACGTCTTGTTCCACATGGTTTAAGATTCCAGATAAAGCTACATAACAGATAATGCCCCAGATATTGCAACAGCAGATTTCTAGACAAATAGAAATCTGCTGTTTTCCCACTTTCTTATTTTGGCCATATTTTTAGACCAATAATTTGTAACTGAATTTTGCTGCTGTATCTGTTTTAAAATATAATTGTGAAGCTCCTCGAAGGTCACATACATCAAGGAAGGATCTTATTTGGCCGCTTTTCAAATTCAATTTTGTTTTTAGTTGAAGATTATGAATAATTTCATATCTGATTTAAATATAATATATGATGACATTTTTATATTTTTACTTGTTCAATGCTAAAATAATATTTGATAATTTTTTTCCTTTATGAATATTCTTTCATCCCTGAATTTTGTTTTATTCGTGAATCATAAAAGCTATTTACGACTCTGCTCTTATTATCCAGAACAATTTTTCGAAATTGGGGGTTTCGTCGATTCATAATCGCAAAAGATTTTAACATTTTACAAATAAATTGAATTACAATTATTAACTAATTGTTCTCGCTATAAATGATAGAAATGGAGGTGGAAGATAATACAGTACATTACACGAGTCCTTATCCGGAGTGGTTTATAGACAAGTCACGTGATCAGGAACAATCGGCTGTACAACAACAGGTCTGTAGGGGGGGGGGGGGGGTACAACAACAGGTCTGTATGGGGGGGGGGGGGACAACAACAGGTCTGTAGGGGGGGGGGGGGCAACAACAGGTCTGTAGGGGGGGGGGGGGTACAACACTTCTGTAGGGGGGGGGGGGGGGGAGGACAACAGGTCTGTAGGGGGGGGTGGGTGGGGGGGTACAACAACAGGTCTGTAGGGGGGGTACAACAACAGGTCTGTAGGGAGGGGGGGACAACAACAGGTCTGTAGGGGGGGGGGGACAACAACAGGTCTGTAGGGGGGGGGGGGGGTACAACAACAGGTCTGTAGGGAGGGGGGGACAACAACAGGTCTGTAGGGGGGGGGACAACAACAGGTCTGTAGGGGGGGGGTACAACAACAGGTCTGTAGGGGGGGGGACAACAACAGGTCTGTAGGGGGGGGGGGACAACAACAGGTCTGTAGGGGGGGGACAACAACAGGTCTGTAGGGGGGGGGGGTACAACAACAGGTCTGTAGGGGGGGGGGGGGGGGGTACAACAACAGGTCTGTAGGGGGGGGGGTACAACAACAGGTCTGTAGGGGGGGGGGACAACAACAGGTCTGTAGGGGGGGGGGGGACAACAACAGGTCTGTAGGGGGGGGGGGGGGACAACAACAGGTCTGTAGGGGGGGGGGGTACAACAACAGGTCTGTAGGGGGGGGGGTATAACAACAGGTCTGTAGGGGGGGACAACAACAGGTCTGTAGGGGGGGGGGGTACAACAACAGGTCTGGAGCAATTTGTAATCTTTATTTGGGACTTACTGACTACAGCTGAAAATTGGACACTAAATAAATCTAACTAACCATATTTTAATCAAGCAATTATATCTCCTTTAAACTTATCTTAATATTACCCTCAGATGTGGTTGCTGACAGGTTTAGTTGTTCACTCTAAAAACTGCGCCCTGCATCTAGCGCTTTATCAGTGGCACCTTAACAACTCTCTGGTACCGGTTGCGGCTGGTGCGTCAGTTTAACTTGATAATGGCTCATATACACATACATAATAACTCATAATATATTAGAACTTATAATTCACTTCTTCCTCCTAAATAATGTTGTAGTTACAGCTCTTCTTCGGAAGGATGGTTCATTTACCGATCAACTAATTAACTATTCCAAACTATAAGACGAGTTGAGCAAGATCCTGAAAGAGTTTCCAGATGATCCCGAGTTAGTGAGACATCTTACTGACCTTCTGGCCCTTGTTAACAGCGATAGTAATTCTGTCGAGGTACTTTGATTATACTACTCGTGCAAGATTATTCTCAATTTTCTTGTTGTGTTCCACAACTATACCTTTTTTTGTAGATCTTAGACTGGGCCATACATTTTGTCAGATCTTTTAGGTCGCTATAACTTAACAACTATTAGACGTTCTGTTACCATCCTTTCCACATGTTAAAATATGCAAATATATATTATGACAATTTATGCTGCATAATTCATAATTATTAATCGCTTTTCGACAACTGTACAGTGTACATATTCTTGCTTACAGATATTGAAGTTATACAGAAAAGGCTCAATTTCTAAATGATTACTGAAAATCTACTACTTCAGGTGGACGTCTTGAAGTCACTAACTCTTGCAGAACAACAGGGGATTTACCTTACTATAGCAACCTCTCAGAGCCACGATAAACTAGCGTGTACATCCACCGTGCTCCAGGTCAGTATTTCTGAAGTCTCTTTATCAACCCCCGTGATGAGTCATCTGTTACAGATCGAAATTACGGAACAATCGGTCTGTTTGGCCATTAGCTTTTACATCAATATTGTTTTGTTCGAAGTTAATCGCACGTAATGACGCCAAGTGAGTCACCGCCGAACGGTTTTTAGGTAGACGTTATCGCGCGCAAAAATCAATTATTTTATTTCACGCGCGTTTAATTTTGCGTTATTGCCGATTTAACGAAGTTTGATCAGCATTGGCAACGCGGGAAACGAAAATTTAGAATGTCGCACGGTTTTCAGTAAGATTATTATCCATTACCCTTACTCTTATTACAGATGATGCGAGCCTATCCCTCCGCCATCGCACAACATGCTATATCAGCCGCTAAAGTCCTGATTAAGTACGAGCAGCAACAAGGATCCGAACTGGGATCCATCAATCCTCTTCGTAAAATGTTGATACTCGAGCTTATGCCTCTTATACTCAGCAAGGGTAATTACTGTTGTATTGAGTCTACATATCATGGAGATTTTAAATTCATTTAATGAAAGACGGCTCATGGTACTGCCTACTTGAAAACACTATTATTTCATGTCCACTAAAGCTTTTAAGATGTTTAAATGCATTTTCCTCCAGGAACAGAGTTTCTTGATACTCTAACTGAGACAGTGGTGACGTTATTTGTACAGTTAGTGGCTCATTACTACATTGAGTGTGCCAATGTTACTGATCCTGCTGTCAAGGAGGTTTGGAAATAATCCATTTCTTGAAGACACGGTAATTTGAGATCACATCTAAAGTCGGTTTATATTAAAGTATTTAAAAGATACAAGATGAAGTTACAAGATTAAAGACAGAAAAATGATTAGTTCTCAATTGCTGATAACTTGAGTTTTAATCATTTTCCTCCAACTTCTCAGGAGTACAGGATTACAGATCCTTGGTCAGACTTGAAAGAAAATTTGGTGAAATTCGCCAAGTTACATAGCTGGCAGATTTTACCTGACTTTCAGTCAGTTAACGTCCCGGTAAGAATGTAGATAAACGAATAAAAAGAAAGTGAGGTATTTCAGTTTTTAAAGTTTAAAGTTCTTCTGCTGTCCCAAAACTTAATATTTTAACGTCTTTTTTATTTCTTACAGTCCTCTCTGTCTGGTAACAAATTGTCCGGGCCTAAATTGCTTTCAGTTTCCTCCTTAGTTTCCTCCTCGCTGTCTTCCGTTTCACACTCTGTAATCTCAGGAAACAACGAAGGTAAACTATTTTTCACGCGTAGGTTCGACCTTTGTTTCCTAGTATTACTTATTGTTTGAGCGTTGCTTTCAGTTGTCACATCGTACTCCTCTGTTGTGCATTTTTTAGTCTCAGAAAACATAATAGGTAAATTCTTTTTCTCGTTTAACCTTCTTTTCCAAGGATTACTTATCGTTTGATCGTTTCTTTCAGTTTTCACATCGCACTCCTCTGTTGTCAATTCTTCAGTCTCAGAACACAATTGATATGGTTTCCCTCTGTCATTTAGCTTCAACTTTTGTGTCCAAGGTTGACTTGCAGTTTTATCTTGGCACGTTGTTAGAGATGCGCCATTATTTTCATCGCACTCTATAACGTAATTCTGTTTCTCGAACCGTTTTCTGCTAACGCTGCGCAAAGCCGCAGTAGCCGCATCCTTTTCGTCTTTTTCTTCTCTCTTCTTCTTAGCTGCACGTTCCTTTAATAACTTAGCAGCTTTCTCTTCCAGCTTGTCCTCATATTTCTTAGCTTTGTAGAGCTGAGTAAACTTGTTCATGATGAGAGGAAGTGGGATGGCTATGAGAGGTATGCCAGTCAGGGCCAGTGTTGCACTAATCAGTTTGCCCCACGTTGTTCGGGGTGCCAGATCACCGTATCCAACTGAAAATGGTGTATTCAGTACAAATTAACTCGATAAATTAACCATGATCTTATGATAATAAAGATATTGTAGAGTAAGTTAGTAAAGCTACTTTGTGAGCGCTCTGTACCTGTTGTGATTGTGATGAAGCCCCACCAGAGTGATGCTGGAATGCTAACAAATCGTGAATTTATCTCCACGGTGACATTCCACGACGTTAGATTCATTACAATGTAATCTTCTATAATCAACATCTGTAGTGTCATATTATATATGATTGGTACAAAATTCATGTATTCTTTGAAGTTGTCGTCCTCTATATACTGGGAGAATGATTTATTAGAAATATAACTTTCATTCTCGTGAAAATGTAAGCTGGCCCGACAATCATCAGGTTTTGCAGGTTTTCCAAGTTTGCTTTTTGTTAAGTCTGTAAAATTCATTTCCCAATTTATTACTGATGTAAAGCTCCGATGATTGTCCGCATAATTCGAATTATTCTCGTTTCTAATGATATATGGACCTTCCAATTCTACTTTAGATTCGTTATCCTCATTTACTATACTCGCAAGCTCTTTAAACACCGATTCATTTGCTCCGATCTCGAAAGATTGTTGAACTTTGTGCCAAAGAACTTCCTCGTCGACAATGTGAAGACCGCTTTCAGTTTCGAAAAAGAATGCAGCACTGGAAAATACCAAAATCACAATCATTAATATGTAGAGTATATGGAGGAGGTCCTTGCCACTTTTCACGAGAGCAGTTCCTAGACAGTAGAGCAATGTGGAGTACCGTGCAAGACAAAGCTGCCGGGCTACTCCTATCAATATCCTCACATTCGTTATAGTATCCTTAATTTTCTGATCTACATTTGCGTGCTTACTGCAAATATCAACGATAAAGGAACTGACTACAAGGAAATCTATGAGGCTGAGCAAACCAAGACAGTACCCTTTTTTGTCGTTAGTGCTCAGGATGTTTATGCTGTAGTGAATGACAAACCACAAGACACATATTGTGGATAGGTACGACAAAACATTGGTTGCAATCTTATCTCTTTCAACGTGATGATCCTTTACTCCGTTTGGGTCTGAATAATGCGTCATGAGCATGAGCATCATGACGAAAACAACTGTAGCGACCATGTCAATCCCGCCCAAGAGTTTTTTCCGGAACCCTCCCGGTGCCATTACTTTCTTCCTCCATTTTGTGAAGAGACTTGTTGGTTGAGTCTCTTGCTCCATTTCTAAGACCATGTCTAGAACCACACCATGTTCGCACCTGTCTAAACATTCCTGAGGGATCTTGAAAAATCTGCATTCTTCCTTAAATCTGTCCATGCTAATATTTGGAGGACAGGCAAGCAGTCCTCTACTTTGGTAGAAGTACAGGATATTATCAAAAGAGAGCCTGCACTGGTTCGGGAACACTAAAGCCTTCCTCTCCTCATCCCAGTACTCCTTATTATCCTTACTACTTAACAGAGTTTGGGGGTACTGGTTCACCGTTGCCCGGGTTGTTTTGAATCTCTCGCCAGCCACTATGATGTGAACATACGCACGCGCCCTCGCCAACATGGGGTTGAATATTGAGGACACGGCATTTTCCAATATGTTTTGTCCCTTGGCTTTGCTTCCAGCCGTCTTCCAGCGATTACGTTTGCCATCCGTCGTTCCGGCATCCCCTGTCCCCCTACTGACGAAAAGTTCTTGTTGATGTTCCTTGTTTGCTTGGTTACCTTGTCTTGACTCTTTAGCCGTGGGTGGAGCTGAACTGTAAGGGTTCCGTCTTGGTTTGTCATCTCGCAACTTTATTGTCGTCCTTTTGCGCGTTAAGTTCGAACCTCTCATCTCTTAGGTTCTCTAGGTACAAAGTTAACGTATTAGTTATATCCTGCTATTAACCATCCCGGTAAATGTATATGTAGTTTATCTGCAAGACCGTAACAAAATCTAGGAGTACTACCGATATACCCCAAGTCATATAAATTACAACAAATTACAATAGAAGAAAAGCTTTTGCTTTGTCGTACAAAATATGAACGGTCAATCTTAAGATCTGAGGAGAATACGATATATTCGTGATCTAAACACCAGTACACACGATACTGTCAAATAAATAAGTAGCAAAAACAAAGGAAACAAAACCAATGGTCTCCTGTTAAACAATATATCCTAAAATATAAAGAGTAGCCCGATACCACCCGATGTATGTGGTATAATCGATGACCGTGTAGACACTAGGCGCGTCGACAAAGTAATATCACCACACAAAATTAATTTCTATATTCATCGTTTCAACTGCAGACCAAGACGACGGTGGAAGTTTCGCTGAACTAGAACGGATATGGAAGATATATGTGAACATATGATAGGCCGGAGAGTGAGAATTAGAGCGAACAGTGCTCATTACACTCGTCACCGTCATTTTGGTTGACCGTGGCTTCAATACATATAAACCTGCTATTTAGGAGAGATGCAATGTTCACTGTATACCAGACTAATAGGCATATTTGCAACAGCCTGATCATTTCCTGCGGGGATATCACATACGAGCAATTTACAGCTGGTCAATCAATTAGAATTGCATGGTTGCGGAATGCGGCTAAGTAGTTACGCCTTTTCGATTATATCAAACCTATTATTCAAGAAACGAAACGAAACACGAAACTTTGGAAAATTTGTACCATGACCATTGACCATCTTATTTATTGTTAAAAATATCTAGTTGGTTTGGCACAAATAGTTTCGATACACCTCTACAGGAAAGGAATAATAGATCAGAAAAGTGATTTGAAGTTGCAGGTCTATGGTATACGTATCTGGACTATACAATATTATATAACTTAATTCAGCAGTCATACTCATTGTCCATTTTTCAGCTCTAAGATATCATTATCAAGATACTCAAAGACTAACTGAGACATATTGTGAAAGCAGCACGTCTCAGTCAGTCTTTAAATAGCTAATCGTCATGTCTTAATTAAACATACAGGGTGGGCCAAAAGTCAGTGGACATACGTTGGCCTTAATAGCTCAGTTACTGAGTGCCCAATTGAAATAATTCTTTCTGGTATGACTTACTACCACCACTGGTTCGAGGAATTTTTCAAATCGAAAAATATTCGAGTTCATATTTTTCGAATGAAGGTTCATTTTTGCATTTATTTGATAGTTTAGATAGTCGGATCGAGCTAAATTTTTTGAATTGTTTTTGGCCATTCGAATTACGTTTGTCCTGAAAAATTTAGAATTGTAGCCATTCAGATGACCGAGATATGAAGCATAACAAGTTTATTCATTACGTGTGATCAGGTGATTGGTTTACCTAATCACATGATTAGGTGACCCCGTTAACCACCCCGTTAAACATTATGGGAATTGTTAAGGGTGCTCAATTAAGGTGTCGTGTCACGGTGTCACATAATCACCCAGTTAATTTTGTTAACGAGGTACAGAAAATGCTTGATAACTTCGTCATTTCTAATCCGTTTTGCCTCATTTTTTTCAGATAATATGCAACATTAAATAATCTACCGTCTCTGAAAAATTAGGCGTTCAGCATGTTCAGAGAAAACAGTATAGGTGTTTTAATATTGAATGGGCGTGGTCTAAAATATTCGAATTTTCTAATTTTGACGACGGAATCCTCGAACCAGTAAATACAGTATGCCATCTGCAAAGCAACAGCTCTCAAATATAAAACACGGCGGAGCTATTAAGGCCAACGTATGTCCACTGACTTTTGGCCCACCCTGCTCTTTTTTATTCTACGATGCATGTTGGAAAAGCAAATATATGCTTATTACATCAAACATTTCTTCGGCTGCACGACAAAGGGGGGGCCCCGATTATTAGGGCTGTAGACGGCTGTAGGACTATTGAGCGGAGGACTGTTGAGCGTAGGACTGTAGGTCGGTGAAGGTCGGAAGTAGGACTGTAGAGCGGTGTCAAATCGCCAGGGTAGGACTCTAGAGCGGCCGCCCTTATAGATCTCACAACATGAGGACTTTAGAGCGGTACGATCCTAAAATGAGGACTGTAGAGCGGTGGACTGTTGAGCGGTGGACTGTAGGCCGGTGAAGGTCGGAAGTAGGACTGTAGAGCGGCCCTCCCTTATAGATCCCATAACACGAGGACTCTAGAGCGGTACCCTCCTATAACATGAGGACTCTATAGCGGTTGAAAATTTGAAGATTGAACACTCAACGAAGCTAAGTTATACATTGTAACTCGTGATTGATTATGGTCATGACATTCTAGGATGATAATTTTATTAAAGAGTCATGGAGTTAATGAACATTTTCATTTACTTATTATAAATATTTCATTACTAATATTATAGTGTAACTTAATTTAAGATTATTGGTCGGTCTAAACGTCTTCCAAATGATTGAAATATTCCCCTGCTACTCAAAAATGTAAAACGTGTATTCGGTATTTTAGTGAACTGTTCGTATCAATGTGATTTCGCTAAGCTGAGTACCGATCAAGTTCGTGCAGATCATTTAGGAATGAGGATCGCATCGCGTGACGCTTTAGCGCCTACTAAGGATATCTCATGTTCATCAATCTGGTGACGGGACTGATTCAGATCAGATCCCATCGCAGTGCGATATCTTGTTAGGATTTCGAAGGTATGGTATAAATATCACGGAGTATCCAGTTTTCTTATATCAAATTCGATTCCTACTCCTCTTCTACAACTACCTACATATGCAGAGTGTTAACAGTCTTTTTTGAAGACGTTGAGACCGACCAATAATCTTAAATAAAGATAAACTATAATATTAGTAATGAAATATTTATAATGAAAATGTTCATTAACTCTTTAATCAAGTTATCATCCTAGAATGTCATGACCATAATCAATCACGAGTTACAATGTATAACTTAGCTTCGTTGAGTGTTCAATCTTCAAATTTTCAACCGCTATAGAGTCATCATGTTATAGGAGGGTACCGCTCTAGAGTCCTCGTGTTATGGGATCTATAAGGGAGGGCCGCTCTACAGTCCTACTTCCGACCTTCACCGGCCTACAGTCCACCGCTCAACAGTCCACCGCTCAATAGTCCTGCTCCCGATCATATGACGTATAATTATTAATTAGTGATGTGACGTATAATTAGTGATGTGATCAACCAGCAGCCAGCTATGATTTACAGACCATGTGAACTCTACCCTATATATAGCCCAGTTTAACTCCATACTTTTGATTTAAATGGGGGGGGGGGGGGGGGGGGGGGGGGGGGGGGGGGGGGTACAACGGTCATTAATGGCAGTATTATAGAATTTTGCTGAAATATACATATACATTAATGCACATTAATGCCCATTTATGCCCATTTATGCCCATTAATGCACATTAATGACCGTTGTATGCCCCCATTTAAATTAACAAGTCAATAGACATTTTTTCGTAGGATAATTAATCAAATTTACTGAATACTGAATACTGAATACTGAATACAAATTATAATTTACTACATATCGTGCCCAAACACTGAGGCTACAGAAAACAAATACTCGATCTTGCTAGAGTATGTGGAGTAAAATGAAGGGCAATGAACAGATATCGTGGAGTTGGGTATGACAATTCCTTCCCCCTTCTTCTTCCGACAGTAGATGAATCCATCAGAGTCAAGTAGCTGTTGAGATTGATTGATTTACAGAATTGACATGTGAACTCTACCCTATATCTAGCTCATTTCTGGGTCAATTAAATTCTACTGATGGATCACATCACTAATCTGTAATAATATTTATATTGGTGAGACGTGCAGGAGGGCACATGATAGGCTCGGAGAGCACCTAAGATATGCTAAATTTCCTTTAACTCCTTCTAACACAAGTCAAGCTTTTGCTATTCATTATAACAGTTTACATAGGGGGTCAGAACCCAATTTAGAATTTGAGATTTTAAAAACAGAAAGCAACACAGCTAGAAGAAAGATTGCAGAAGCAATGCTTATTTTGAAGTTCAAACCTAACATTAACAAGAGAGATGAGTTAGAAACCATCAAACGTTTTTTAGTAACAAGTACATAATAAACAGGGTGTAACATATTTTATACTTTGCAGACAGGGGATTGTCTACACATATGTAGTGATATTTAGTGATATTTATAGGTTTCGTTTACTTTCTGAGTACAGAGACCACATCTCACACACACACACTTCCGCCTCCTACACACTAACCCTTATAACATCAATCAAACCATATTAGGCTCCCACGTTTCACACTCCTCATTGGTCAGTACGATTCCCGCCATTTTCACTCCACACTAGATACATACCTACACACTTCACATCATGCACCTGTTCACCGTTGTAGCACTCCATGCTTCTGTATCATGTGTAGTATATCTAGTAGTAGTTTTAGGAATGTACAGTATTTACTATAAAAGTTTGTCGTCGTATAAACTAATTTTGTTATGAATTTTGTTATGACTTTTTTGTATCGAATTTTTGGATAAAGTTGATTGAAAATAAATTAATGTACACAAATTTTGCCTCAGATATATGTTTTTTACGTTTTGAATTTTTAACACTTGTTTTTAGATCATGAATACGATGTAGTTACATTGAAACGTCGAGTAATCTCCTTTCCCTAATAAGAGCATTTTTACTTGTCGCAACAACCGGGATAAAGATAATTTTACCCAGAATACATTACAACAATGCGACTCATAAATAATACTCCAATCCGGATTTTACACTAATTATACGTCACATCACTAATTATACGTCATATGATCTGACCCCTAATAATCGAGGGCCCCCCTTTGTCGGCCTCCCATTTCTTCGCTATCAAATGCTCAAATCTTTAGGGAACTGTATTAATTTAGGTACGTTAGGAGCTACTTATGTAAATTATATTCCTCATACTAAATAGCCAGCACTTTAAATTGGCGGTTTTATCCGCGTACATAGATAACATTTCTATTGATAATACCAAATCAGGCAATACAGAAACATGTGGAGGAGGTTACAGCAACAGATTCTACTGACCCAGGACTCTTCTACTGCCTCCTCTTCCTCATGTTCGAGTACAGCTTCAAGTACATAAAAGCTGTTGACTCTTTCTCTCTCATACTCGTTAAATCGAATGACAAGCTTGAGCCACCTAAAGTGAGTATTCTTGGTACAAAATATTTAAAAATATCTAATTGTAGTAAGGTTTTTTTTTTACAAATGTCTCAGACCCATAGCTAGATCTGTGAATTTTAGGCAGACCCACTCGACAGCGGCCAAATTTTGCGCATTATGAGCCCCAAGCCCGATACCCACTTTGCCTCCCAATTATATTATCATCTCGTAACTTCATAATGAAGGTTCCGTTATTCATTTAAAGATTAAGTTTTTTCGATTCTGGGCACGTAGCCCGACACGACACGTAGCCGGGGCGAAGCTCCTTTGGTTGGCTAGGGAGGGGGGGAGGCGCAGCCCCCCAGAAAATTTTTGAGAAATTATGTGTTTTAGACGACATTTGGCATTAAAGAAATTTGTAGGACAGTAATAATCAGACATCACAATAATACAAAGTTGGGGGGGGGGGGGGGGGGGGGGCTAGGGGGGCGCAGCCCTGGCCTTCGGAAAATTTTTGAGAAATAGGGTGTTCCAGACGACATTTGTAGGACAGCAATAATCAGACATTACAATAATACAAGGTTGGTGGGCTGGGGGGCGCAACCCCCGGAAAATCAGAAAATTGTTGAGAAATTATGTGTTTTAGACGACATTTGGCATTAAAGAAATTTGTAGGACAGTAATTATAATCAGACATCACAATAATACAAAGTTGGAGGGCTAGGCAGGCGCAGCCCTGGCCTTCGGGAACTTTTTGAGAAATAGGGTGTTCCAGACGACATTTGTGGGACAGCAATAATCAGACATTACAATAATACAAGGTTGGTGGGCTGGGGGGGGGGCGCAGTAATAATCAGACATCACAATAATATAAAGTTGGGGGACTGGGGGGGGGGGGGGCGCAGCCCCCGAGAAAATTTTTAGAAATTATTTGTTTTAGACGACATTAGGCATTAAAGAAATTTGTAGGACGGCGATAATACAAAGTTGGGGGTGCAGCCCCCGGAAAACTTTTTTGAGAAATAGGGTGTTTCAGACGACATTTGGCATTAGAAATTTGTAATTTCAGACATCACAATAATACAAAGTTGGGGGCTAGGGGGGAACTCAGTACTTGTCACATTGAATGGAATAAGTACATATTGTATAGTGGGATTTGGGAATAATTTACGAAATGCTAAAGTCGATTGCCTGTCGTGTCGTTTAATCAAACAGTCATAAACACAGCCCACTTACCAGGCGACCATGGGGACTAGGGGGCTTATTTTTTTTGGGTTCAATTTTTTTCCGGGGGTCTTCCCCTTGGCTACGTGTCTGCATTCTAGTTGCCAGACCCACTCTATTAGAGTGCAGACTCAACATTTTGGTTGCCAGACCCACTATTCTAGAGTCCAGACCCACAATTCTGGTTGTCATATCTCCTATATTCTAGTTCATAGACCCCCAATTCTGGTTGACAGAGTGAAGAATTACCATTCTGGTTGCCAGATTCACTCTTCTAGAGAGGAGACCCACTCTTCTAGTAGGTATAGAGTCAAGACCCACTATTCTAAAATGCAGACCCACCATTCTGGTTGCCAGACCCACTCTTCTAAGGCGAAGACCTACCATTCTGGTTGCCAGCCCCACTCTTCTAGAGTGTAGACGCACCATTCCGATTGCCAGACCCACTATTCTTGAGTGAAGACCCACCTTTCGGGTTGCCGGACCCACTATTCTAGACTCTAGACTCCAGACGCACAATTCTGGTTGCCATATATCCTATATTCTAGTTTAGACCCCCAATTCTGGTTGACACTTGACAAAGTGTAGACTTACCATTCTGGTTGCCAGATCCACTCTTTTAGAGTGAAGACCCACTATTCTAGAATTCTTACCCGCCATTCTTGTTGCCAGACCCACTTTTAGCTAGAGTGAAGACCCACTATTCAAGAATTCTGACCCACCATTCTTGTTTCTAGACCCACTACCCTAAGGTGCAGACCCACCATTCTGATTGCCAGACTCACTCATCTTGATTCCCTTGATTGCAGACCCACTATTCTGGTTGCCAGACCCACTCTTATAGATTGCAGACACACCAATCTAGTTGCCAGACCCACTCTTCTAAAGTGTAGACCCACCAGACCTATTATTCTAGAGTGAAGACCCACCATTCGGGTTGTCCAAACCCACAATTCAGGTATCCATATCTCCTATATTCTAGTTTATAGACCCCCAAATCTGGTTGACAGAGTGTAGACTTACCATTCTGGTTGCCAGGCCCACTCTTCTAGAGTGAAGATCCACTATTCTAGAATGCAGACCCGCAATTCTGGTTGCCAGACCCACTATTCCAGATTGTAGACCCACCTTTCTGGTTTCCAGACTCACCCTTCTAGGCCGAAAATCCACCATTCTGGTTGCCAGACCCACTCTTCTAGAGTGTAGACGTACCATTCTGATTGCCAGACCCACTCTTCAAGGGTGCAGACCCACATTCATGTTGCAAGACCCACTTCTAGATTTCAGACCCACTATTCTAGCTGCCAGACTCACTTATAGATTGCAGACCCACCATTCCAGCTGACAGACCCACTCTTCTCAAGTGCAGATCCACCATTCTGGCTGCAAGACCCACTCTTGAAGCCTGAAGGGTGCAGACCCACCATTCTGGTTGCCAGACCAACTTCTAGATTGCAGACCCACCATTCTAACTGCCAGACCCACTTCTAGATTGCAGACCCACCATTCTAGCTGCCAGGCCCACTCTTTTCAAGTGCAGACCCACCACACTGGTTGTCAGACCCACTCTTCTAGAGTGAAGACTCATTATTCTCGAATGCAGATCCACAATTCTGGTTGCTAGACCAACTTCTAGATTGCAGACCCACCATTCCAGCCGCAAGAACCACTCTTCTCAAGTGCAGACCCACCATTCTGGTTGTCAGACCCACTCTTCAAGGGTGTAGACCCACAATTCTGGTTAACAGACCCACTTCTAGATTGCATACCCACCATTCTAGCTGCCAGACCCACTATTCTCAAGTGCACACCCACCACTCTGGTTGTCAGACCACTCTTTAAGGGTACAGACCCATCATTCTGGTTGCCAGACCCACTTCTAGATTGCAGACCCACCATTCTGGTTGCCAGACCCACTTCTAGATTGCAGACCCACCATTCTAGCGGCCAAACCCACTCTTCTCAAGTGCAGACCCACCACTCTAGGCAACAGGGGTGAATAATATCAACAAATAAAGATTGTTTAATTTTTGCAAAAAATTTCTCGTCATGTGACCACCCTTCCCAACCCCCCTCAACCCCCTACCCCTCCCCCCTAAAAAACTCATCGGATTTTTGCTTCCCGCGAACATGATTTTTTCTGAAAATTTTTGTCAAGCCAGATCTGTAAATCTATCAAATATGTAAAAAAAAAACCTTAAATTGTAGTGTGTGTAGTCAGTGTAGCTTTCTAATTGTAGACGCTTTTTTTTTCTTCAACAATACTTCCCCACTGTCTCTGTCTCAGATTGCTGCAGTTCCTGTCGACGAAGAACCAGCTCGGAAACGGCGAAGAACACTAAGTATAACGGAGTCGAGTAGTAACATTCTCTCCTGCTTTTCTATAGCCCGCATGTCTCACAGGTGATCGTTATTTCAGTCTTCAGAGTAAAGTTACCTTAGTAACCTTAGTTACTATAGTAACCTTACTTACCTTAGTTACCTTAGTAACCTTAGTTACCATAGTGACCTTAGTAAACTTAGTTACCTTAGTAACCTTAGTTACCTTAATTACCTTAGTTACCTTAGTAACCTTAGTTACATTGGTAACCTTGGTAACCTTAGTAACCCTAGTTACCTTAGAATTACCTTAGTTACCTTAGTTACCTTAGTTACCTTAGTTACCTTAGTTACCTTAGTTACCTTAGTAAATAGTAACCTTAGTTACCTTAGTTACCTTAGTTACCTTAGCAACCTTAGTTACCTTAGTAACCTTAGTTACCTAAGTTACCTTCATAACTGGGCCCTCTAAAGGTCATACAATTACATAAAAACAGTAGGCGGTTAGGTTCCTCTGATCACTTACAGTCATACCTTAAAAGGCTAAAACTGGGTCTCATTTAAGGTATAATTTAAATTATAACGTAATCAGTGAAACCCGACTGTTCATTAATTAAGACACACATTTCCCGATCCATGACTCCCCACCCACGTACTGCACATTTCTCGATCCATGACTCTTGTGCCGGCACAAAAGAGTCAAAGACTACTGTTAGCTAACGAGATGTTTTTTTTCTATATGCTATGGTAGCTTGTGTCCGCATGCAGAAACAAGAATAATGAATCTGCAGGTATCTACAACAGAAAATGGGTAAGCAGTACAACTCAGTCGGAGAGGAACTGAACGCTCAGTCATGGAGGTGGTATTCCCTATTTCTTGCGGACGTAGCCGTCTTCAACAACGACACAGATCTCGCTGCTACTCAACAGAATCATTGCAAGGAAAATCCAATGGGTTCGTTTAAAGTTAGGTCTTTTTTATGGTGAATAATCTTGTCGTGAAATCCGAAGATGTACGAATAAAGACAAAATTGTGTGTGCTGTGTATTTTGGTAAATATTGGTTTATTGAACAGTTATCACCAGATCAATTTCATGGTAAGACAATTTGATCATTACTAAATATTACTGATGCATTAATATAAATATTGATAACAATTATCAAGTCGAATTTTCTCCGAATGATACCTTATGTGTCCTTCCATGCAAATTGTTCGAAAATGATGGGTCTAATTTGAATGAGTTATGGGGGTTTTGAATCGGGTCTAACCTCTTAGAAATATGGGGTTGGATATGCGGTGGGGAAGACTCGAAAGAAGTGTCGAGTTCTCCGTATTGTAATGGCAGAGATCGGCTTCTTTCTGCGTCATACGACTCTTCTAATGCTCTTCTTAGTCGATCTATCTCCTGTTCCATTTTAACCTTTTCAATATAATCAGGATTTTGCAGTTGATTCCTCCATGGTCCTAGTTCCAACCAACGTCGACCAACAGCCTCTTTAACATGCATACCTTGTCTCCTTGCGGTAACTGCCGAATTTTTTAACCATTTACTGAGTTTACTTCTTGTTGCAGGTGTTTTTATTCCATAAAAAGGCGTCCCTTTCTTTGACCTACACTTCAGGTCAACGTTGAACCGAGCTCTAATGACTCTAGCGAAGTACGGGGTCCAGTATATGTCACAACAACCGCACTGCACTAGTGGATGCTCATAATCAGGCTTGTTCAGATTTGGGAGTATATCAATCAAAGAAGAATTCTGTGTAGTGGTATCGGTGCTTTCCACTGTCCTGAGTTCAACCCCGTCTTTGTTCGGTACCTTGAAACTCGTTTCTTTGTGTTTTCTCTTATCTCCTTGTCCACTGCTAGGTCTGTTGTAAGTGTTCGAAGATAAATTGATTTGAGAAGAGCGTGCAGAGTGCACTTTTGATATTGGACAATCTGTTTCATTGGTTGGGATTGCAGCAAATACGTTCCCCTGCATTATTAAGATGAAAGTAATCAATAGAACACAAATACTGTAATGAGTTACTGTAGGCTGCCTCAAAGTAAATACTCCTTCATAAAGAAGTTTATATTTGATACAAGAGAAACGCCATTTTCGGACGTAAGAAGAGTAAGGACTCCATCAACTACATTAAATTAATAGCTTCTGTAACGTCCTCAATAAATGTAATAGATTTGTAGTGTTGTAATTAGTTTAAATGACACCTTTTATTTTTCAGACGAGTTGAGGATCCTCACGCAGCAAGCGCTCGGAAGCAATGGTCCAAGTAACACCTTCAAATCATTGTGGTCTCTCTTGGACAACCTTCCAACCCACTCCGAAACGGCCCCTCAATCCGTCCCTGACATTGGCCTCTCAAACCCCGACACCAACGAGAACTTTTCATTCGTAGTAAACACACGGTCAAAGCTTTGTCTCCACATATGTAGAACACTTATAAACATGGTCCAGGGTAGGGTGTCTAAGACAAAACAATCGGACATCCTAGCCCTGCTCCTTATCATCTATCAATTCGATGTTGATACTTTTGAGACGGAGCTCGAGCGAACTGTAGAGGCAGTGAAATCTGTCAAAACTTTCAAATACAAGGGTCTTCTGGGTCAAGTTACTGAGGTTGGTTTGTTAGAGGAGTTGTTGCACCTAGCCGTTCACACGGACATTAGGCTGGATATTTCTAGCGATGCCAAAAAACGGTACAATAAGGAGGATGTGATAAAATGTATAAAACAGCACGTGGAACACTGCAAAGATTCAAGCGAGGAGGATGTTATACGGTTTATTTTAGATCACAAGGAGCTCATTGAGACGAAGTTTAGCCAGTTTGCGTTTGCTTCTAGTTAGTGAAGGTTTATCTATTGTAGGACCTGCGTGATGATGAACTGTGTGTTAAATTATTGACTATAAATTACAAAAGAGAATTAGTGAAATTGTGTTTTATTTCAGTTGTGATACACTAGAAGCAATAGAGTTAGTGCGATCATGTTAAAAATTTTTAATCGTTTACATTTTTTTCAATTCAGCTCAATTCAGCTCATCCTTCTACTTCATAAAACGTTTACTGAATTACTCGTTGAATCAATCTCATTGATTCGCTCTAAAATGTCATTAGTTTTAGCAAAGAATCCAATCATGCCTGGGATGGAAGAAGAATATGATCCTGATAGGTCTGGACTGAATTACTTTTTCTATTGTATTGCTATGAAATACAACCTGTGGACCGGTGAGTGCGAAGTGCTGTTTTTTGTAAAATTATTGAGTATTTATTTCATGGCCGCATTTGTTAATTTTGTGTAACTCATATGTTACTTAAATCGCTATAAATTTCAATAGCCTTATATCTGCTCCACAGGTCTCTACTGCTTGGAGCCATGGGAACGAAATACCTTCAACTTCTTTCTAATAATCATCCTAAGTCTGAGTATTTACACATCGTACCTCTTCATGCCTGGTTACATCGCCAGCTCCGTCTCGATGTCATGTTCTGCGCTGGAGAAGGTTTCCTCCTCTCTTATTGAGATCAACCTGGCATCTAAACTACCTTTCTGTTGAGGTGAGAGTAGACACTAGATCATCAGATAGACTTCCTAATAAGGTATTTAAGGTAGATTAGATAGGATTAATACAGTTATACACAGACAAACATAAAATATGTAGGGGATGCAACGACTTATTTTGTCTACGAAATATAAATTTCCGTTAGTCACATTAATTGAATGACAACAATTTGATGGTAAATAAACAGTAACAGTACATCGAAAGGTTTGAGGATCAAAAATAAAAAAGGAGGAAAAACGTTCAACGATGAGCCTTTGCATCCCCGGCCCACCATAGCTATTTAGTGGCTGTTGAATGAGTTGTGTTTCAATTGTAGTGCAGTGATGTGTATAAGTTTATATTTACAATTTTCAGTTCAATTTTATCTGACCCTCGTTCCGGTGAATCTTTTGTAATATACTTAAGGTTTGTTTTTTTTTTCAAAATACTCTAAAGAAAAGTAATTTCAAGATTAACTTTCCATAATTCCACACTTTTTGTATATATAGGTTTATTTTATTGATATCTTATTTGACAAAAACTCAGAATTGGGTAGAGAGGACCGCTGCCAGTGTCTCTCTTTCCCAAACAAAGTTAAATGATATTAATTTGTATGACCGTCCGTAAATGCAAAATGACATTGATACCGAGAATGAAATTGGTCGCCCGCTTTTCCCATTCATTTACGGCTTACAAATTGTTTCGATTATTGTTTCGATTAATTACATCAATCACATGCTGTAAAAATCTCTTTGGGTTGCTTTCGGGTCGATACCTAGTATTTCGGGATAAGGCCAACGGCGGTATAGTTAGTATCCAATTAGCTGATGCTATCGAATCTTTATTGCCGAGTACAGCTGCCTTCGGGTAGTTCTTCTTAATCTTAATCTATTGCAATTGTAAATGAATTGGAAAAGCGAGCCACCGATTTCATTCTCGGTATCATTCTGTATTTACGGACGGTCATTCAAATTAATATCATTTACTTTCGTTTGGGAAAGAGAGACACTGGTAGCGGTCCTCTCTACCCAAATCTGGGCTTCGGTCAAATATCATCTCTTTTTGACAAAGTCGAAATGTTAAACTGATAACTTCATTAATAAGGAGGTAATTTCAACGATTTCGTAATTTTACCTTTGAAAACATTTACTTGTGTTTAGGTAAGCATATCTGTCGATCACTGACTGAATATGCCACTTTTTACTCATTCAAGTTGCATTAAATTCATATATAATGCCATTTAACTGTCGCGGGAAAGCAGAATCTAATCGAAATCACGAATGAGCAAAATTCTCACCTTTCGCACGTGCAAACTTTGAGCGGACGTTGCATGCGCATCCAATATTGAATCACCGTAAATTTTTGCATATTAGTATTTTTTATATAGTTTGATAAGCATGCAAAGTTTCAAAAGATTTCAAAAAGAACTTGTATTACAACGGTACTCCAAAGTTGATAAAAATGGTGAAAATAGCAATTTTCAGTGATTTTAGCAAATTTCTGGATCAATTTGGGCGTGTCCCCACGTGTGCAACTATTTGATTTTCAACTTTTAAACTAGCCTAACGCACAATATATACCTATAGGAAGCATAACTGAGCTTACTTTAATCTTTGACATTGAATTAGAATGTTTTGTTCAACTTAAAGTTAAAATATGCCTGCTGAACGACTTTCGATGAGTCTTGATACTTGGAAAAACAGTATAGGGGTATAATACTAATAGTATAGGGGGTAAATAGTATAGTGAGTATAACTATAATGACGGCGGTCGTGCTTGCCAGCACTGTGATTAGCTATTCTGATGAGTGGTTTATAAGAAGGGATATTTATTTTAGAAAACTAAAATTTAAAATTAGTTTCTTGAGATTTTTTCCAAGCGTTTAATATTTAGGGCTAGTGTGTATGTAATATTTTTTGTTGATGGATTGTTTTATTCATGTACTTGTTATATACCAATGGCAATATTGTTCATTTATATCGTCAAATTATGCTTCTTTAATTTAGACCGCGTGAATGCATTCTCTCGTTAAATTTATAAATCTTCCAACAATTTATTCATCTGTTATCTGTTATCGCCATGGGAATGGGATGCCAGAACCGTTAACGGGTGATACTCGTAAAATATCTGACCGTCGACGAGTCCAACTCGGCGCGCGTCCTGGTAGGTTGTAAACCTACAACAGAACCGTTAAGATATTGGAATATTATTGGAAAATTTTGCATAGACTAGAGAAATACTTGGTAAGGCGATACAGTTTTAAAAGCCGAGCTCCGTACTTGACCAGCCGAACCTTGTATCACGTTGTGACCCCTATTGTCGTTTCACTAGCTTTTCTAATTTCTACGCGTACGATACAGGGCCACGATACACCCAGCAAACCCTACCGGCCGGGGAATATCTCCAAAAGTAAAATAGATAGAACCTTCCGGTTTTCAACAAAATGTCCGTCTCGTAAATTTAAAGGAGGCTCCCCAAAAAAAAGCAAGCCCAGCTGGCGGTAAGGTTTTCTGGGCAGGGCAGGGGCCGGGGAGCCGCGCACTCGTGCGCGGCGGGTCATACAACGTATGACAAGCCGAACCCTGGCCGGTTCAGTGCGGAAAGCTGGGCATTCAATTCTTTTAGACAGTCTGATATATTTGTTTTGGTCAATTAAAGGGGAAAATTGCCCTTAAAGAGACAGAAGCAGAGGCAGAGGGACGACAGTTTTCACGACACGACTCTCTTGTTTTATTTGATGCATTTAATTTAAAGTGAAATTTAAGTTGAAGGAACAATCGAAATCGTCCTTAATAAGTACTAGTATTTATTCGTTACCTATGGCCTATGCATATGGTTTCAATGCACGATAATTTTGATGACAGCTCTTCGAGTTGCGTCTAAGTTCAAGGTTAAGGTATATGCTAAACTTTGCTACAAAGTGAAAACTACATTTAAAAATCTAACGAATCATCCCTAAAACCAAGACTACTACATCATAACTGTTCCATCTCCAAACTTCTGGTGTATCCAATCAATACTAATTTGAAATGAAATGAATAATCTAAGAGTAATTTACGCTCTACTAAACACTTTTAGTTTTACAACATTATTTAAATCGTCCTAGTACGAATTTGAATACCAATTGCCACCACACTGGAAGTGTTTAATAAATCATTATATAATTATAATTATATAATTATATAATTATATAGCATGCAGGGCAAGGCTTCTCAAGATTCTTTCTTAATACTATTTGATAGTCTTAATAAAGCAAATATGATTAATGATTATTTAATAATGCGTGCGTATGTCCTTGTCTTATGCGTATCATGCTTTAGGTCCCTAACATTATTACACTCAATAGAAAATCTAAAAGAATGCAGCCATCAGAAGAGCAGTTACAATCACTGAACTGCGAGAGAGCAAGGTAGTTCCACTGTAAGAACCATTGTCGTCACCATGAATGTCGTCACCACTGTCGTCATTATTTTCTGAAAACAGACCTTTAAGCATTTCTGTTTGTACAATTATATGACTTATAGTGAAAAGGTTACCCTTGTATGTTATTTATTTATTTTAGGCTAAAGTTTGCTGTAGCTGTTAGGCACACCGTGGCCCTCGGGTGCTAGTATTTATTTAGAAGAGATTAAATCAAGTGCATTATGTCAAATTTAGAGCGAAATTCTTTAAGTTTAACAATGAAATTAAATTTCTTATTTTATGAAATATGACACATTTGGTGAATACTCAACAGCGCCTTTTACAAATACCCATTCTTACCTGGTTCTGCGTCCATAGGAATTGGGATAAATCTGTATCCATCAAATTGTTCATTAGCATTCCAACCCATGAAGGTTACACTTTTTAATTCTGCAACCCAATATGGTTCCCATTGTACTTTCCCGTCTGGAAACTCAGTCGGATTTTCACAATCGAATTCCTCACTAACACCAGGATACCCATCTCTCAAAAAATCTTCTCCATTATAAAGAACGTTCAGCTTTCCATTGTCCTTCCACACTGTCCAAATCACCTCTTCCTCAGTAAAGACAAAATTCTCTGGCATAGGAAGCCTTCTCTCTGACCCGATGCACGGCGCTACAGCCCAAGTTGGAGGTAATGGATTTCCGGACAGGGGGCCATCTTGATATGTATATCCCGGATTTGAAAAACCAAATCCAACCTTCGCTTCTTCATCGTTTCCGTTGAGATTTATGATGTACCAATAATACCCATTATTGGCGATACCCCATTTTACTTTTAATTCCACTGCTTGTGTAGCCTCATCGAATGGTATTTTAGTTTTGGTTGGTACTTCGTTGATCCACGGAATTTGAATTTCCTCATCGGCTGTTGTTGTACCCAGTATTGCAGCTACCACTAGTGCAGTTAGCAAGACCAGCATCTTTGTTTCTACTTTGCTTCGTTGGAATACTCCTACTAAAGTCAGGTAAAGTTAATAACAAATTCACAATAAATAACTGCGTTTTTACGAAACTCTGAGAAC